ATTGTTCTTGCGTGGTGGTTATGCTGGTGCTGAATGTGAAAGTGATATTTTTGCTTGCTACAAGATGATCAGTAACAAACCTGCTTTGCTTGCTAAAAACTCTCTAGCTAATTCTGTCTTGACAGCAAGTATTGCTATTCCTTCTCAGGTTATTACTCCTCCAACCTTCCTATTCCCTGATCCAGTCTATCCTTATGTTGGAAATGGAAGTTATGGAATTACATACACATATGATGAATTTGGCAAAAATCTAGTTGATGAGGTTGGAAAAAGAGTTGATGAATTGAATACACTCCCATGTGATTTCATCATTAATAATCCAGATTCTTTAGGAAAACTCATCATTGTTGAATTTGGGGGTGTCTATTGTTTGAGGGACAGTTGGCTAATTGAAGGTCACAAGTTTGTAATTGTCGGAACTGAACCTGTAGTGTTCAGAGCACCATATATCCATTATTATGGTGCAGAATTCAAATATGAAAAATGTGCCTCATATAGAAATGTATTCTGGTCTACTTATTACTTTGGCAATACCGTTTCTGATTGGATCTTAAGTACAACACTTCACGGAAATGTCTTTGTCAATCATGTTCATGGAACTGTTATTGCAAAGTATGGTCAAGAATTTTGGGTTGCAGGTAAGATACACGGTGCAGTTTGGGTTCATTCTGAGGAATTGGGTCAAGTTACTCTCCAAGAAGCTTCATTTGATGCTCCAATCACTTGTGATCCAAAGGAGCCTTATGTAAATTCTGAATGCTTGGATATTTTCTCATGCTATTTAATTGATCATCACTCTAATCTCACATGTGCAGGAAAAGGTCAATGTATTGACTACAACAAATGTATTTGTAAGGAAGATTCCTATGGCGATGACTGCTCTGTCTCCATTTGTTATGGTGTTTATGGTAATGAAACATATGTATGCAGTGGACATGGTAACTGTGCTGGAAGAGACAAGTGTGTATGTGATTTTGGTTATTATGGACAAATGTGTCAATTCACAACTTGTAATGGTATTAACAATACTTCACCTCTTGCTTGTAACAAACGTGGTGTTTGTGAATTCTACAATAACTGTACTTGTAATTTAACTCTTGGATATGGTGGTCCAGATTGTGAAATTCCAATATGTAATGGATTAGTTGGTTTATGTTCTGGTGCAGGAAGAGGAGATTGTATTTCACCAAACAATTGTTCTTGTGCTGATGGTTATTATGGTAAATGGTGTGAAATAACAACATGTTATGGTGTTGAATCCACCAACTCTTCCGTTTGTGGAGAGAAGGGTAATTGTACTGCTTTTGACAAGTGTTCATGTTTAGAAGGTTATTATGGACATACTTGCCAAGATTTTGAATGTTTTGGTATCTCTAGATTATCAAACGAAACTTGTTCAGGCAAGGGTTCATGTGTTAATTATGATACATGTGTATGTCAACCTGAATTCTATGGAATCAATTGTGAAGTTACATCATGTAATGATATTTATAGTAATGAAACCAAATCTTGCAGTGGTCATGGTAAATGTGTCGGCCTAGATACTTGCAACTGTACTCAAAACTATTATGGACCTTGGTGTGAACTTACAACTTGCTTTGGTATTGAAGCAACAAACCATTCTACGGTGTGTTCAGGAAGAGGATCTTGTTCCAGATTTGATGTTTGTTCTTGTCTTGATGGTTATTATGGACCACGTTGTGAATTTACATCCTGTGATTCTATTTCTTCCAATTCTACAGAGGTCTGTAATGGTGTAGGTACTTGCATTGATCTTGATATTTGTGTTTGTCCAAACACTTACTCTGGTGATTTCTGTGAAATCACCAGTTGCTTTGGGGTACCAACTAATATTCCTAGTGTTTGTTCTGGTCGTGGTTTCTGTACACATTTGGACATTTGTAATTGTGATGAAACCTTGGGATATGAAGGCTCAAACTGTGAAATTCCAATTTGTAACGGCATTCCAGCTGTAAATTCTACAGTTTGTAGTTCTCATGGTTCTTGTACTGGAGCTGATCATTGTAGTTGTGATACAGGATATTTTGGATCAAATTGTGAAAATACAACTTGTGGCGGAGTTTCCTCTACTAGTCACCAAGTTTGCTCCCGTCACGGGTTCTGTGCAACTTACAATAATTGTACTTGTAATTTGGGTTATTCTGGAAGTATTTGTTCTGTCTTTTCATGTCGTGGAACAATGAATACCGAAAAAGCTGTTTGTTCGGGAAGAGGTAATTGTTCAGATATCGATACGTGTGTTTGTCTTTCAGATGCGTATGGTGATGATTGTTCCATATCTAAATGTAATGGCACATTTAGTAATTTTACCAATATTGTTTGTAGTTCAAGGGGACACTGTATTGGAACAGATTCTTGTAATTGTACAGAAGGATATTATGGTAAATTCTGTGAGAGAACATCATGTTATGGAGTCGATATGGCTAATAAGAGTGTTTGTTCTGGAAGAGGTCTTTGTTCTGATTACAATCAATGTAATTGTTCAGAAGGATACTATGGAGATAATTGTCAATATCATACATGTTTTGGTTTGAATAACACAGAATCTAAAGTTTGCTCTGGACATGGTCTTTGCTCACGTACAGATGAATGTAAATGTGCTTCAAATTACTTTGGATTGAACTGTTCTGTTACTATTTGTAATGCTGTTTTAAGTAATGAAACAATGGTTTGTTCTGGAAGAGGTGAATGTTTATCACCAAACCAATGTTCATGTAGAGAGGGTTATTATGGTGATTATTGTCAAGTGACAAATTGTTATTCAATTGCCTCAAATCAATCACAATTAGTTTGTTCAGGTAGAGGACAATGTTCTGATATGAATACTTGTATTTGTGATCCAGACGCTTATGGTCCTGATTGTTCATTGTACAAATGTAATGGAGCGTTGAGCAACGAATCAATTGTTTGTTCTGGTCGTGGTCAATGCATTGAAACAGATCACTGCAATTGTACTGAAAATAATTATGGTCAATTCTGTCAAGTTACTTCGTGTTTTGGAATTCCGTCCAATCAAACAGATTTGACATGTTCAGGAAAGGGTGTTTGTGCTCAATTTAATTCCTGTCAATGTTTTGAAAATTCATTTGGTTCTGATTGTTCTGAATTCAAATGTTTTGAAATTTTAAACGTCAATTTGACAGCTTGTCATTCACGTGGTTCATGCATGTCAACCAATAATTGTTCATGTTTCCTTAATTATTTGGGAGACGAATGCGAATTAACTAGTTGTAATTCAATTCTTTCCAACGATACCAATGTATGCTCTGGAAAGGGACAATGTGCAGATTTTGATTCTTGTGCATGCGATGAAGGATATTATGGTGATAATTGTGAATACTTTAATTGTAATGGAATTGAACATTTGAATTCATCTGTTTGTTCCTCAAGAGGTCATTGTACAAGCTATGAAAAATGTGAATGTGATGAAGGTTACTTTGGAAATAATTGTCAATTCTTCACCTGCAATAGTGTCAATCACACTGAATCAACAGTTTGCTCTTCAAGAGGTGAATGTTCAAGCTACAACAATTGCACTTGTAGAGACAACTACTTTGGTAACGATTGTGAATTGACCACATGTGGTTCAATTCAATCTAATGATTCTAAGGTTTGTTCTTCAAAGGGTTCCTGTATGGATTACAATATTTGTAATTGTTCTGCTGGTTACTACGGAAGTGAATGCGAAAATTTCAATTGTTTCGGTGTTTCAAAATTCTCCAATTCAACATGCTCTGGTCGTGGTGATTGTATTGATGGAAATACATGTGTTTGTATGGCCAATATGTTTGGTCCAATGTGCGAAGTTACCATTTGTGATGGTATTTTGAGTAATGATTCCAGCGTTTGTAGTGGTCATGGTTCTTGTGTTGATGTAAATGATTGTGATTGTGATACAAACTACTACGGTTCAACATGTGAAGTTACAACATGTAATGGAGTGTCCTCTAACACATCATCAGTTTGTTCTGGTTTTGGTAAATGTGCTTCATTTGACAGATGCCAATGCGAAGAACATTATAATGGAAATGATTGTCAATACTTTACTTGTAATGGTGTTAACCACACGGAAACAACAGTTTGTTCATCAAGAGGTGAATGTTCCTCTTTCAACAATTGTTCATGCAGAGATAACTACTTTGGTGATACATGTGAATTGACCACATGTGGTTCTATTCAATCTAATAATTCTAAGGTTTGTACATCGAGAGGTAATTGTTCAGATTTCAATACTTGCAATTGCTCATCGATTAACTATTTTGGCACTGAGTGTGAATTGGTACAATGTTTTGGTGTTCTTAACACAAACTCAAGCGTTTGTTATAGCAAGGGTATTTGTGTAGATTATGATGTTTGTGATTGCGAAAATGGGTACTTTGGAGGTGAATGCCAATTCTTCACTTGTGGTGGCATTAACAGTACCAATTCATCCGTTTGTTCATCAAGAGGTGAATGTTCCTCCTTCAACAATTGTTCATGCAGAGACAACTACTTTGGTGATACATGTGAATTGACAACATGTGGTACTGTCAACTCAAATAACCCTTATGTATGTTCTGGAAAAGGAAAGTGTATTGATTACAACACTTGCGTTTGTAAATATGGCTACTTTGGTGATATTTGCGAACATTATAGCTGCTTCAATATTACTGAGGGAGAACCTCTTGTATGTTCAGGTAGAGGTAATTGTACAAACTTTGGTGATTGTAAATGTAGAGAAAATTATATGGACCTTGCATGTGATGTAACCTCTTGCCATGGAGTTCTTTCCAACGATACCAATGTATGCTCTGGAAAGGGACAATGTGCAGATTTTGATTCTTGTGCATGCGATGAAGGATATTATGGTGATAATTGTGAATACTTTAATTGTAATGGAATTGAACATTTGAATTCATCTGTTTGTTCAACGCACGGTAAATGTACAAGCTATGAAAAATGTGAATGTGATGAAGGTTACTTTGGAAATGATTGTCAATTCTTCACCTGCAATAGTGTCAATCACACTGAATCAACAGTTTGCTCTTCAAGAGGTGAATGTTCAAGCTATAACAATTGTTCATGCAGAGATAACTATTTTGGATCTACTTGTGAATTGACCACATGTGGTTCTGTTCAATCTAATAATTCTAAAGTTTGTACATCGAGAGGTAATTGTTCAGATTTCAATATATGCGAATGTAAGAGTGATTTTTATGGACCTGTCTGTGAGTTCTATGATTGTAATGGAATTGAACATTTGAATTCATCTGTTTGTTCAACGTATGGTAAATGTACAATTCCTGAAGTATGTATATGCAAAGAAGGTTACTTTGGAAATGATTGTCAATACTTTACTTGTAATGGTGTTAACCACACGGAAACAACAGTTTGTTCATCAAGAGGTGAATGTTCCTCTTTCAACAATTGTTCATGCAGAGATAACTACTTTGGTGATACATGTGAATTGACCACATGTGGTTCTGTTCAATCCAATGATTCCACTGTTTGTACATCGAGAGGTAATTGCTCAGATTTCAATATATGCGAATGTAAGAGTGATTTTTATGGACCTGTCTGTGAGTTCTATGATTGTAATGGAATTGAACATTTGAATTCATCTGTTTGTTCAACGCATGGTAAATGTACAAGCTATGAAAAATGTGAATGTGATGAAGGTTACTTTGGAAATGATTGTCAATTCTTCACCTGCAATTATGTCAATCACACTGAATCAAACTCCTGCTCCGCAAGAGGTGAATGCTCCAGTTATAATAATTGTACCTGCTTCACCAATTATTGGGGTGTTGACTGTCAATTAACTAGTTGCGGTAATGTACAATCCAACGAAACAACAGTTTGCTCGTCAAGAGGACAATGTATTGATTTTAATAACTGCTCTTGTGATGAAGGTTATTATGGCCCTACATGTGAATTCTACACTTGTAACAACGTGGAACACCTTAACAACTCTGTTTGTTCTGGAAGAGGTAAATGTTCTGAGTATTCTAACTGCACATGTGATACTGGATACTATGGAGTTAACTGTGAATTCTATACTTGTTTAGAAGGTAACAACACTGACCCATCTGTTTGCTCAGGAAGAGGAGTGTGTGCAAGCTATAATAATTGTTCATGTAGACCACACTACTTTGGTAATGATTGTGCCTTGACTACATGTGGAAATGTCAGATCAAACAATAATAGTGTATGCTCCAGAAGAGGTCAATGTATAGATTATAATAATTGTTCTTGTGTTGATACTTATTACGGCTCAACATGTCAAGAATATGATTGTTTCGGTGTTTCAAGAAACGTAAAATCTGTTTGCTCAGGAAAAGGAAAGTGTGTAGATATTGACACTTGTAATTGTAAGACTGGTTATAATGGTACTAATTGTGAAATTATGATAATGTATGGTACTTGTAAAAAGGAAATCAATTGTACTAATCATGGTGAATGTTTAATCAGTGGTGCATGTGAATGTTACACAGATTACTCCCAAGGATTTTGGACAGGATTTACATGTAACAAGTGTGACCAAGATTATTATGGTGAGTTGTGTGCTACAAAGGTTGTAGGACCTGCTGTTTTCTCCTCAGATTTTAGAGGACTCATCTTTAATCTCTATGTTCCTGACTCATACACAAAGATTGATATACCTTGCAGTTATCTATTGAGTGAGACTGATATTAATAGAAACTTGTTTGGTACACTATCAAACCTTAAATGTCAATTTATTGATAGAACCAACAATTTGTTCATTATTAGCTTTGGTTCTATGGATTATACCTTGCAACCAGAAATTGATACAATCAATATCAACACTCTTGTTATTGATAGAATCAATCACGTTACTCAACAAAATTATTATGTTCAAATAGATGTTGCCATGCCTTCCAATATTTGGCCAACTGCTGTTATTTCTACTTTGGATGAATTTTACAGTTCATGTGATGATATTACTATTGATGGATCTATGAGTCACTCAGAGGATGGAAAATCACTGCATTATTATTGGAATTTACTTGATTCTACAACCTATCAAGTTTTTTATTCCAATTTTGCAAACAGCCCTTTCATCAAATTGCAAAATTCTAGTCTTTTACCTGGTTCATACCTAGTTTCTCTCCAAGTTGAGAGTACATTTGCTAGAAAGAATAGTTCTATTGTTTATTCTAATGTATTTACTAAGGCATCAAAGCCAATTCCATCAATTTATGTTCCAATCACTCACCAAGAAAAGGATGCCTCTCAATTCCCTGTCTATTTTAAGAAGACTGTATCAGAATCATCTTGTAAATCACAAAAATCTGCTGTTAAATGGGAACAACTTACAGGACCGATAATAGATTATCAAGTCGATACCTTTGGAAATCTTTACATTCCTTCTATTTCCACCTTTGGCTATCAAACATATACTTTCTTAGTTACAGCCTTCTATCCATCCTATCCTCAATTGAACACAACAAGTATCGTAACATTAATAACAAAACCAATAGATATGGTTTTATCTATTATTCAAAGAGAAGCTAGAAAGAATTATACTATAATTGATGTTGAATACTCTGACCCTGAATCAACATACCACACAGGTATTACTGAACAATGGACTTGGACTTGTTTGGAAAATAGTAACCAAACATTATTGGAATTCCTTTTCAATATTTCTAAAGATAGATCTACTGAGTTTACAATTGAATCCAAGATATTTAATGAAACTGTTCCATCCTATATTACTCTTACTTTGACAATTGAAAAGTCTGATGGAAGATCTATTTCTGCAACAACAGTAGTTTACTTTGTAAACGTACCTCCTATTGTTAATATTGTGGATGTTGAACCAAAGACATATGTTATCCAAGGTCAAACAGTTACTATTCAAACATATACCTCCAGTGATCCTTCACTTACAAGAACCAACTTGACAATCAATTCAAAGAACAAAGGTATTGTCGATTCATCAACAATCAACATTGATACAAGCGAATTTGAAGAAGGAACAAATAATACTGTTGTTATCACTGCTTATGATCCAAACACTGGAGCCTCAACATCTACTACATATACTTTCGAAGTTGCAACCTCTCCAAAACCATGTTTGTGTACAATCAATCCTCCTGAAGGTATTGCCCAACAAACAGATTTCCAATTCTACTGTACAAATTGTAAAGATGATGCAAATCATATCGACTATGTATACGGATTTATTGATGATAGATCAGGTGCCAAGCTTCCATTATATAGTCTTGGCGAGGTTTATTCTTCAAAACTTCCAGCTCCATTTACTGGAAGTATTTTAACATGTTACTTTGAAGTAATTAATACTCTTACAGGTGCTTCAACAACTACTTACACTAACATTACCATTGATAAACCATTTGTTCAACAAGTTGAAGAAGTCCAAACAACAATCATCGCTTGGGCAGATGCAGGTCAAAGCTATATTTTGGAGGGAGAATACAGTAAGAGTATCTACCAATCTTCTTCATCTTCCAGAACAGGCTCAGTAATGTTGGAAGAAACAATTTCTGATACTATTCAACATTCTAGTTCCTCTAGTTCTTTGGAATGTATAAATGGTGTTGATATTGCTGGTTCTTGCAAGTGTAAGGATGAATGGATAGGCCAATATTGTGATATTGAAGTCAAAGATTTTAATAATATCCAATTATCAAAGATTCACGCACTCGATGATATGAACAATATTGCCAATGCAACAGGAACTGTAAGCGTTGAATACTTATCTTTGCTTTCCTTTGCTGTTGATTCAATGTTATTGAATTATCCTTATCTTACTAGTGTGACTGTAGATAGATCTTTATATACTTTGAACACTTTCCTTACATTCTCACTTTCTGATCCTAGCTTGAAGCTTACCTCAGGAATGAATATCATGTTAGATGGTTGCATTCGTTCTGCATATTACTATGTAGTTGACAAACAATACCTTATTGATCAAAAAGTCAACTCTAGAAGACTATTGTTGACATTGAAGATGACCTCTTACTTGATGGCCAGAGGAATGTCTGCTGGTAGACTTAAGAAGGGATATCAGGGTCCATTCTTCCATGTCGTAATTGGTAAAAGTACATTGAACGATTATCCAACATATGTCCAAGAACCAATTACACAAACCAGTATTGATGTCTTGTCAGGTTTCTTTGAATTTGAAGTGTCAAAACTTTCATACCTTGTTAAGAAACCATTTATTTATGTTTTGTGCGTTTCTGAAGATATTTACTCACTTAACTCGCAATTGAAACAGTCTAAAAAGATTACATCAGCCAGTAGTTTCTCCAACGCAAATACTTTGGCTAACTTGATTTCACCAATTGTTTCTGTTGAATTTATTGATGTTGCCACTCCAATTAACGAGAATGACATTATCTATACAATTCCACTTAACTTTAGTAAGGTCGAAACAGAAATTATTCATGATGTCCTTGACTTTACAACTGTTTCCGAAACCTATACTTGTGGTGATTTTGAGGATGGATCTTCTTTGATCAGAACTGAGTGTTCTCTTGTAGCTCCAATTTCTAGAAATGATACCTTTGCCAAATGTCGTTGCAAGCAATTCACCAACGTATTTGTGCTGCAAACAAGCACTGTTATCTATTATTCATACACCTATGTTGCTGCTTTAGGAGCTGCTGCTGTTATTATTTGTGGTTTCTCTCTAACTTGTCTTATTTCTTGCATTATCTTGTGTAGAAATAGAAGAAGATTTGCAGGATTCTGTTGTTGTTGTTGCTGTGTTCATAAAGAAGAAGTTGTTGTTGGAGGATCAACTGAATCTGATATCTCATATGATGAGGAAGAAGAAATGAAGATTCAACAAATAGCTATTAAGACTCAAGCTGCAGAAGAATATAACGAGGAAACTGAAGTTGAAATGGAAGTTATGAACAAGCAAGGTCTTAAGGTTGAAGAACCATTTGTTGCTTATAGACCTCTTAAGAAGACCGGTAGATCTATGAGAAAGGTTCAAATTGTTCCAGGAGATGCCAAACTTGTACAACAAACCACTGGTGGAAAGAATAAGGTTCTTCCACTTCTTGGAGGTACACTTGTTGACTTGAATGAAAATCAATACGAAGAAACAGAAGAAAAGGAAGAAAAGGAAGTGAATGTGAAGAATTCAAATGGTTCTATCTGGGATTTGAAGGATGATGAAGAAACATTTGAAGAAAAGAAGAATAAGATGACAATGCAATCAATCAATCCTTACGCCAAACAAAATTATACTGAAGAAACTGAAGTCCAGCCAAACGTAGTACAATCATTCACACCAAGGCTATCAAAGAAATCAAATATTATTCAAGGAGAAAGAGATGTTTCAATGCAACATAGTGTCACTGAAGATGAAGACGAATCTTTGGTTGAAGAAACTGACGATTTGAGAAGAAGTAGCAACTCTGTAAAACTTGTCAAAGAAGGTCTTGTTAACGAGTTTGCATATGCCAACGGACGTGTTAAGGATGAACATGAAGAGGAAAGTAGTGTAGAATTGGTAGATGAAAAAGATTTTGTACAACGGGGCACAAAACCAAAACCTGCCAAATTATCATCATTAAATCCATTCTCGATGGGATCTACTGAAGATGAATGTGAAGAGATGGAAGAAAGTAGCATATTTAGAAAGACTGAACAAAACGAAGAAAAGACTATGGATGACTTGTTATTCAACAAGCCTATTAAGGTTTCTTCTCAAATACTCAAGGACAAGAATACTGAAGAAAAGGAAGTGGTTAACCATAGAGCCCCAGAATTTGCTCCAACACAAGTAAAGATTCCAAGAACTTCCACTGAAACTAAATCTCAAACCATGAGAGGAGATGTATTTAGTGAAACCAATCAAACTGAAGAAAAGGAAGTTGTTAATCATAGTAGAGCCCCAGAATTTGCTCAAACAAAGAGTCCAAGAGTTTTACAAAGTAATAAGGCTCAAACCATTAGGGGTGATTTATTTGGAGAGAAGAGTGTTACTACTGTCGATGAGAATGCCAATTTGATTACCGGTAGTGATGTATCTAGTAAGCCAATCGGTAAAGTTCCAGAAAAGAAGCATATTTCAAGTGCAAATACGGAAACCTTGAAGGGAGAACTTTATGCAAACTCTAAGGAAGAAAAGGAAGTGGTTAATCATAGTAGAGCCCTAGAAGTTGCTCAACCAAAGAGTCCAAGAGTTTTACCAAGTAACAAATCTCAAACCATGAGAGGAGATGTATTTAGTGAAACCAAGCAAACTGAAGAAAAGGAAGTTGTTAATCATAGTAAGACGCCTGAATTTGTTCAGCCAAGAGTTTTACAAAGTAATAAGGCTCAAACCTTGAGAGGTGAATTATTCTCAGAAAAGGAAAAGAAGCAAGTTGTGGAAACAACACCTGAAGAAGTTAAACCTTCCAAACCAAGATCCTATGTTGCTCCTAAATCTCAAACAGTTCAAGGCCAAGTTTATATTGATGAAGAAGAGGAAGAGGAAAAATCATTGCAAAACGTTGTTTTGAACAATAAGAGTGCTCCAAGAGTTACATCAAACCAAAGCTCATCAAGACCTCAATCTCACGGTAGTCCAAGACTCCCAACAAGAAGAACTAGAGTTCAGTCAGCATCCAAGGAAACTAGAGATGTGGAATTGAATTCAACAACCAGTAGCAGACCATCAAGTGTTAACTCTCAAACTGTTAGAGGACAAGTTTATACTGAGGAAGAAAAGATAGTAAAGGCCTCTCCACTAAATGTCGTACAAGAGGAAGAAAATAAGAAGATGTTACAATCTTTGTATGGTGACATGTTTGCTGCTAATAAGTTCGAAGAAAGTGTTGTAAATAAGAAATTCACTTCTGAGGAAACAAGACCACAAGTGTCTAACAAATCTGCTGCTTCTGAAGAGGTTGATGAAGATGTTTATATTGTTGCAGAATCAGAACAAGCCAAGAAATACGCTCCTCCAGTTCAAGAAGATATCATGCAAAACAAACCAATTAAGGTTTCTTCCAAATATATTGGAGATTCTAGTGAAAATTCAGTTGTCAACAGAAGCAAGCCTCCATTGTCATTTGATGAAGAACCAACCCAACCAGCAGTTAGGAGCTCGCCATTATCTCACAGAGAATCAATAATGGCTACAGCAACAGAAAGCAAGGACGAAGGAGAGGATGTATTCGTAGTTGTAGAATCTGAAGAAAAGAAGATGAAACCAGTCAGCAAACCAAAAGAAAGCAAGCAAAAGATACCAACAAGTAACTTATCTGGAATGCAAGCACAATCGATGCAACAAAATGTGACCAATTCTGTTGAAGAAGATGAAGGAGAAGATGTTTTTGTTGTTGTGGAATCTGAAGAAAAATCAAAGAAGAGATCAAACAAGAAGTCAAAGAACGGAAAATCATCCACAAAATCTTCTCAAGAAAAATCAGTTGTTAACAGAAGTAAGCCTCCAGTATCTCTTGATGAAGAACAAGTCCACCAATCTAACTCTACTTCTGGTAGTAGAAAACTTCAAAAATCCTCAAATCAACAATCCAGCGAATTGAATATGGCAGCTCAAAAGACCTCAACTCAACAATCTGGTGCTTCTGAAGAGGTTGATGAAGGAGAAGATGTTTATATTGTTGTTGAATCTCAAGAAGCATCATCAAAGAGAAAGCCTGAAAAGTCTAAATCTAGCAAATCAAGTAAGACTTTACCAAACTCTTCTTCCAACAATGAAAGTTCCTTTGAAGAGAATACTGTTGTGAACAGAAGTAAACCACCAATGTCTTTCGAAGAGGAAAAGAACGAAGATATGATGTTGCAAACCTTGAGTAGTGGTATGTTTGAACGAAACGTGGGTAGTGTTGTTAACAAGAAGGAAGAAGTTGATGAAGGTGAGGATGTTTATGTTGTTGTAGAGTCAGAAGCAAAGGAGAAGAGAAAGAAATCTTCAGCATGGCAAGCATTGAAAGATATGAAGAAGAATAAGATGTCAATGAGAGATGCTGCCAATGCATTGATAACAAAGGAAGGTAGATCATCTGATTACACCCAAGAAGATCAATTAAGTACCTATCAATCTACCAACTCTATGATCAGCAGTAGATCAGCTGCTTCTATAAATATGACATCTAATATGGTAGCTCAAAAGACCTCAACTCAACAATCTGGTGCTTCTGAAGAGGTTGATGAAGGAGAAGATGTTTATATTGTTGTTGAATCCCAAGAAGCATCATCAAAGAGAAAGCCTGAAAAATCTAAATCCACTAGATTTTCTTCACAAGAAAAGACTGTTGTAAATAGTAGCAAATCTATCGAAGCAAGTGAATCAGGTAAAATGGTTAGTCAATCCTCAAGTCAACAAGTTGTGTCCAGTAGTAATGGTCAACAAGTAGCACAAGAAGATGATGAAGCAGAAGATGTTTATGTTGTAGTTGAAGAAACTGGAGTTGAAAAGAAGAGAATGCCATTTGGATGGCAAGCATTGAAGGGAATGAAAAGCAAGACTTCCATGAGAGAAGCAGTGAAAGGGGCCTTTGGATCAAAGCAAAGCTCTTCCACTATCACCACAACAGAAAATTCAAACTCATCAGCAGTATCCGGACAAACAGTGATAACAAGTTCTCAACAAGCCATCAGTAGTTCAAATATTGTCACAAAGCAAACCAGTAGCTCTACTGTTACTAACCATTCTTCTAGCTCTAGTAGCACAGTTGTAACCGGTTCCACTCAGCATGTTGTTTCCTCAAACATTAGCACACAACAAGTTGCACAAGATGATGATGAAGCAGAAGATGTTTATGTTGTAGTTGAAGAAGTACAAAATACTAGAGCTGCTATACCTCGTTTGGATACAAAGAAATCATTCTTTACTAGAAATAAGAAGACAGATCCTGAACAAAATAATGAGACTGAAGGAAATGATTTACAATCGGTAGGTGAACTTCAAAGCATTAAGTCTTCATTCTTTGGTAAACCATCCTTCCTCAAAAGAAAGTAAATAAACAGTAACTTTTTATCTTAATAACGCTTGCGGATTTTCATCCAATGTTGCAGGACCTTCCCTAATTGACAGCATGTTATCAAACATTAATGGTACCATTCCTAACAATATCAATAACACTGCAATCCATTCAGCAATTGGAATAAATTTGGTTAAATAAATTGGAATACAAATAATCGCTCCAATCATGCAACTAAAATGGTAAATCATTGAAATTGAAAAGCCAGAAACAGATAAAATGTACATTTTTCTCTTGTTAATAGTCAATGAATTAACATGTCTTATAAAATGAAATGGTTGAGTTTTTCCTCTACAAGCTCTGAACAATCGCCATGCTTGAATAATAAACGAGAAACCTGTATAAATAATCAAGAATAACAATCCCAAAAAAGCTGTGACAAAATGCACTGTTCTCGTTGCTTTTTCATCAGGATATATAGCCATAATAATAAGTAAAATATTAGCAGAAACTCCTGGAATCAATTGCACAATGATCAACCAAAAAGGAATCGACAAAAACTCTCTTCTTCCAGGGAATTTAATATTACTGAACTGACATGTTAATAATCTTCTCCATCTAGAGGTATTATAATTATTATTGGTCTCTCTCCATCCAAACCATTTCACATACAAAACCAAAGCCCTTATCACAAACACAATCGAAAACAAAACTCCATTAATACAAAACGTAGCCACAAACATTGGTCTCAAATGATGTTGATGTGTTCCACAATATGAAATTGCAGTCGTCACCTTTGTATCAATTCCACAAACAATCAACAAGGCAATAATCAACATGTACGGAATAATCCACAATGCAAATATCAACACTGAAATGAAACTCATGAATGAACTACTCGATGGACAACAAATATATTTTCCAATTCTAATTCCATTCATTGATGATGCTCTAAGACCATATATCGGATCATTTGAAGAAGAATAATGATTGTTTTGTTCATCATCATCCAACGCTACTGATTCAAGATTGTGATTATTTCCATAATAGGAAGTGGTAGTTGTTGGTCCTTCCGAGAGTGTTGTTTTAAGAGTGGTGGTGGTCGATTGTTGTTGCTGTTGTTGTTGATAGGAAGCAGGGTCGTTGGTAAAAACGAGCGATGCCATTTTTTTTGCAGGTTTTTTCACAACTTTTTCACACATTTCAATTGAGCGAGTACTAACTTTCATTGTAAAGTTTGAATGTTACTAATTTTTGGACAAATGTTTAACTATTCAAAATATTATAATTTAATCAATAAATTTACTGTTTACGAAGAATTGGAATGGCAGCTTTTAAATTTCCAAATTCATAATCAATGCCAACAATGGTATTGTTGACTAAATCCATTTCAGTGTGATCCTTATTGAAAGGACACATGCAAATGTTGTTGCGAGTGAGTGGTTGTGAGATGGTGGGATCTAATTGTTTAGAGGATTGAGTTTGAAGCCAGAATGCTCTGTCAAATGCTTTCAATAATTGATAATCGTACTCGCCACTGCCTGAAAAGTAGAGTTTGCTTTTCTTCTGGATGGAATTGACGAATTCATCCAAAATTCTGTGATTATTGAAGAGAATGTACTTTTGATTGACTAGAAGTTTCAATTCCTCACTCACTTCTGAATCTTGGAGAATTAAATCTCTAATGGCAGAATCTATTCGATAGCTCATTTCACAAACTCCCTCCTTTTTCAATAATTCCACATATTTCCTTAATGGTCCCTCTAATTTCTCCTCAAATTCATTCTTTAAACCCAAATGATCAAGAACTGCCTCCACAAAATGTTGACAATTGCACTTCCTATTATCGTAATATTTTCTAGTGTTGTAATAGGTACAAATGGCTGCCAGTTTATCAATGGCCTTGGAAACCTCAATTTCACCCTCAATTTTCCCAACATCCATTGCAAAAACTGCCTTTGAACTCGATCGATTTCTCACAACTGCTATCGAGCTATTTCCCCATTCCAAATACCAAGGTCCAATAATGAGAGCTGCATGAAACTGTGTTTAAAATGCATGATTTTCAAAGAATGAACAAGAAATTAAAACATACCATTCCAAATTTCATCTTTTGAATGGATGGATTATTGAGAATGGAGCCGAATCTTCTGATAAATCTGTGGAGGGAGCTATCATCCATTTCTGTAATGATTATTTTGACCTTCATGAAAGGTTCTACCTTATTGGAACCATGATCATATCGAGGAGCACACATACTATTCAAATATTTATATCTGAATCTTTCAGAAAATGATAAATTTTGACAAACTGTACTAGTTGACTTTTCTCCATGACTTTTTACCATACTCTTCAATTTTTCAAAACAATACTTGAATTCTAATATGAAAATTGTTACAAATTCAATCAAATAAAACTCACGTTCTTTCTTTTGATCACTCAATTCGTCCAAATTCCACATTTCCACATCAACAATGTGAATTGGATCAATAACATTTGATAAATTCGATACACATCCAATATCTCTATCTGTTTTACTAATCTTTAGACCATGTTCAATATCAAATGCTAATTCATCTTCCAATTTATCTGTTTCTTCTTCTGTTTCTTCATGAAAATTGGAAGAAACTGTGGAAACAGACAAAGTGGAAGCTTCCTCCTGGTTTTCTGGTTCGTCTTCGTGTTGTTTCTGCACAACTTTTGCTTGGAGTAAAAGAGTTGCCTCTGACTTACGTGGTAGGAGAGGTGGTTTCTTATTATTATTCGAATCTCCTTGATGCTGATGTGGAGTTGTTGGAGGAAGTAATTGATGATTACTATTGTTGTTGTTACTATTATTTCTTGGAGAAACCGATGTACTTGTTGTTGTATGTGTTGTTAGTGGTGCTCCAACACTATTCGAATTATTATTCGAATTTCTAGGTGAAACATTTGTTCGAGGTGAATGAGCAACTCCAGCACGAGGGCTCTTAGATAATTGCAAACCAGTTGCCATATTACTATCCTGAATCAAACCAAGTTGTACCTGTTGGTCTACTAAATCTTTGACTTTTGACAGTAAAGAAAGAGTAGCTCCTCTTGGAATACCAATGTCTAGCAAATCCTCTGGTTTGATAATAATAATGGCCGATCCATCAAATTGTTGTTTATAAATTGCTAAATAGTTTAGAATAAGTTTCGTCCAAGCAAACAAACGGTTAATAATAATAGGAATATAAAACAGTAAAAACAATAACAATAACATACGATCAACAACTGTCTTTTTATCGTAACCAGCATCCAACAACCACTGTTTCAAATTCTCACTTGACCACTGTTTGAGACTGAGTGTTGTGGTGAGGTCAATCTTTTCAATCTTGAAGGGAGTTTTACTTGAGAAGAGAGGCATTTTGTTTTTAAAAAGAAATGATGTGGTTAGGTGGCTAATAGTTCAATGGAACATTAACATCTGCGTGAAGAGCAGCGGTATTGACGTTTGGTTGAATAGGACCATAAATGTCATTGACTTGTTTTTTTGATGAATTTTTTCAACGGTAACCAAAAGCGTTAGACCTATTTTTAAAAATTAATTGTGTGCTGTATATGATTGGTAATTTTAAAAATAGCCATGAAGCAGACTTGGCCGAGTGGTTAAGGCGACAGACTTGAAATCTGTTGGGGAAACCTTCGTAGGTTCGAATCCTGCAGTCTGCGTATCAACTTTTGATTTTATGGTATTCATAATATTTATTCGTATTTATTGCCTTATGTAGCCTTCTGTGTTGCTTTTGTTGTAATAGAAGAGTAGCCAGCTACTCTTTGAAACTTTGGTTTGGGTGGAATACAAAATTTTTGCGTATTGGCGCCTTTTTCATGTTTGAAACCGTTGAATGATTTAAAATAAAAACTCTCAAACTGTGTTTCAATTAGAATAAAAAATATGTCACCACCATCAGCATCATCATCATCATCAAGTGAACAACAAGAAGCATCAGTTCTTGGGAAGAGAAGTAATGATCAAGTTGAAAATTCCAAAGAAGAAGACTCTTCGGAAAGTCAATCAAAGAAGGCCACTTCATCCTCCAACATGGAACAAAGTTTAAAGAATCACATTGATAGTCTAGTAAAGAGTTGGTATTTTACTCCAATGCCACCGATTAGACCTGGAGTTGGTGAATATACAACCTATGAATGTTTTTCCTATGATGAATTACCTAAAATTGAGGATATTTACAAGAGTGAAGAAGGTGATGAATGTCAATTTAAACAACCATCATTTGATGGTACTTGGGAATGGAAATTAAAATCAATGAAGGAACAAATTGAAGAATTTAAACAATTAAGAGGCAATGAAAAGAGAAAGAACAATAAGAGAGAAAAGTTTGGCTTGACACAAATTGATCCGACCTATACTCAATCCGATGTTGATTTGCTCCCACCAGTTCTTAAGGTACTATTCAATGATGTTTACTTCCACTTTTTGACATCAGATATTGAATCTCCAACTGCTTGTTACTTTAGTTTGATGAAACCAATTCCACTCTCATCCTACTCTCCAAAACATGAATTCTGTCTCGTTCCATTCTTCAATGATCAACAATCTTGTTTGACATGGTTTGCACTCTTTGATAGAAAGGCCTCTAAGGAAGAATTCAACAATATGCCAGGATGTTTTGAAAATCCAATTGTTGTCACTGGAATAAGCATTGCTGATTTGGAAGATGATGATTCACAAGTAGTTAAATTGGATGATTTACAATTCCAAGCTCCATCCATTGAGGAATTTGTTTGGAGAACTGCTGTGGAAAGTAATTTGTGGATGTGTGTTCATCCACAATGTGGAAAGATGAAACCAATCGATATCAAATACAAGCCAGGTCAACGATATGCTCTCCACTATGAAAACTTGCAAAAAGCCAAACAATCAACCACCCAAAAACAAGACGAAAAGAAAGAAGAAGAAACCAAACAATAATCCACAATAACCACCTTGTCAAAAACGAGCAAAATGCTTTTTAGTTAAAGAATTGTTGCAAACTTTTCACAAGTTCATAAAAAAAGATTCTCAAACCAGAAAACATCAATCCATATTAATATTAATCAAACAAAAACAAATATCAACACTAATCACACAATGCAGAGTCTCTTCAGAATACTCTCAGCCAAGGCAATAATCAACAAGAAAAAGTTACTCCTAACCACAGCAGCAGCAACCATCACAACCTCTGCCTATTTCCTTCTCAACAACAACAACAATCAAGTTAAATTTGCTCCCAATGAAGACAATCATGATGTTGATCAACATCACCGATCAGTATTAGCTAATAATCTAATTATTCAAGCAGAAGAAAAATCATCACCAACTAATAACTCTCCCTATCAACCAAAGAAGAAATTAGTAATTCTTGGAAGTGGTTGGGCATCAGTGGGTCTGATTCAATCCATTGATTTGGATTTGTATGATGTTTATGTAGTTAGTCCTAGGAATTATTTCCTTTTTACTCCAATGCTTCCAGCAGCTCTTGCAGGAACTGTTTCCATGCAAAGTATTACAGAACCAATCAGAAGTGTGATTAATAGAGTAAGAAAGGATAAATCTCTGATTGAGTATTATGAAGCTGAATGTTATGATGTTGATTATGAGAGGGGTGTGATCAAATGCAAGGATATTTCAAATTATGTAATTCATCATCAGAATGGAAGTGATATTGCTAATGATTTTGAATTGAAATATGATAAGTTGGTAATTGCTGTTGGAAGTCAACCAAATAGTTTTGGTGTGAAAGGTGTTGATCAATACAGTGTTCCAATGAAACAACCAGAACACGCAGTCAAGATTAGAGAGAAACTTTTGGATGTTTTGGAATCAGCTTGCATGCCAAACTTGACAGATGAAGAAAGACAAAAGGCACTCAGTGTAGTTGGTAAGTTTCTACATTTCTTTACATTTTATTGACTTCTTCAAGTTGTGGGAGGAGGACATGCTGGAATTGAGACACTTGGTTACTTGGTTGACTTTGTAAAGGAAGATATTTCCAAATTATTTCCAAAGGATATTGTTGAAAAACTCAAGATTACAGTTATTCATAGCTCAGATCATATTTTAAATACCTATGATTGTAAAATTAGTGAAATGTGCGAAAAGGAATTTATATTCAATAATGTTGATTTGAAAACTAATGCAAGAGTTGTGGAAGTGAGAGAAAATGATCTAGTTGTCGTATTTAAGGATCAACAAAAGAAGAGTGAACCAGTATCATTACCTTTTGGAGTTTGTATCTGGACGACTGGTGTTGCTCAAGTTCCACTTGTTAAAAAATTGGCAGAAAATATTTACAAGCAAAAGAATGAAAAATCACTCGTTGTTGATGCTCATTTACAAGTTGTTGGATTGAATAATGTTTATGCTATTGGAGATTGTTCTAAAATTGACCAACCTAAACTTGTTCAAAAATACGAGTCATTCTTTGAACAAGCTGATATCAATAAGGATGGAGTTATATCATTTACAGAAATGGAATCATTAATCAAGGCAAAAGAAAAGGAATATCCAAACTTTGCCACAATCAATCAAAAACTCAAAAAGCTTTTCACACAAGCAGATGTGAATGGAGATAATGTTCTTTCCAAAGATGAATTCAAATCTCTCATCCAAAGAATTGACAATGAATACTATGCTCCACTACCACAAACAGCACAAGTCGCCTCCAAGCAAGGAAGTTATCTTGGCAATTGCCTTAATGACATTGAAAAGGGAATTACCTATGTACCACCATTTACTTATAAGAATTTGGGCTCATTCGCCTACATTGGCAACAACCATGCAGTTGCTGACCTTTCTGGAACTACCGTAACCAGTTGGCAAGCTTTCTATTTATACAGAGCTGCCTATCTTTCCAAGCAAGTTTCTTGGAAGAATAGATTTTCACTCGCTTCTGATTGGGTGAAAACAGCAATCTTTGGCAGAGATGTCAGCAGATTCTAATTGTACCATAATGAAATACTGTATTTATTAAATAATGTTCACTCCAAGTCCATCGAAATATTTCCTTCCTCCTCCATCCTAATTCCTTTCCATTCTATTCGAATTTAAATTTGGAGGGAAAAGGAAAAATCAAATAGAAAAAAATAGAACAACATCAAACTCTCTCAATTTTTTCATTGTTTTGATTTTATAAATAGAAGAAAATGAATAATCTCGGAGGACATGAATACTTTCAAAAATTGATGGATAAGGCAGAGATTAAGTTTGTCAAACAGGCTGATCCATCCCGAACGTATGGCTCCTATTTGAAGGCTGGAGAGGAAATTTATTCATCAGTAGGTTTTTGAATTTTGATCAAAATTGCTAAAGGGAAGATTAATTGGCAATCAAATGAATAATTGAATATTAACAAAGGCGAATCATTTTCATAAGGATGGATTGTTAGAGGAGGCTTTTATATTATATTGTAGATTTGTATTGCTTTTTGTAAATATATTAAAGAAGGACAAGTTGGCGAGTGAACAGCCGTATTCAACCAGGTTTAGTAATTTGAAGAAATTGGCTTCGTATGCAATGGATCAATGTGAGGTGATTAAGAAGAATTTGTTGGATCAAGAGAGGAATGGAATTGTGTCATTGAGTGTTTCGGAAATTAAACAGAAAGAAGTAGATGAATACGAAGGGCTAAAGGTTGACAATGCTATTCCTAAAAATTCTTTGCCAGCAGGATCAAAGAATGAACCAATTAATGTACAGACAACTTTAATTAATGTAAAAATTGATATGAAACTGATCGAGAAATTTAATCAGGCAGCTAGAAATAATACGGCAAATAATTTGGAATTTTGTGGAATTCTTTCTGGTTTTCTAGTTGGAACTAGTAAGGAAAAATCTTTCCAAGTAACTCATTGCTTTATTCCAAAGCAAGATTGTACAGAGGATAGTTGCAGAGCACTGAATGAAATTACTGTTTTCAATAGACAAGAGTTGCTGGGCTTGGTAACTCTGGGCTGGATCCATACACATCCAACTCAAGATTGTTTCCTGTCAACAGTAGATTTGAAAACTCAATATGGATATCAATGTAGCTTACCAGAGGCAATAGGAGTGGTTCTAGCTCCAAGAGCTAACAAGAAATTAGGAATTTTCAGAATTAAGGATAATTTCTCAAAAGACAAGTCGATTAATGGAATGGAAAAGATACGTGGTCAATTCAGAAAGAACATAGACTGGGGAAATAATCACGAAGCAACAGACAGTGTCTGGTTTGAGGATTGCTATCATGTTCAAATGACAAAAGCAGATAATGATGAATTTTCAAAAATTGTAGATTTAAGATAAATTTATTATAAGTTGGTTACAGTGTCATTGAACATTTTCTTGTAATTCCAATAATTGCTTGGTTCATACAAGGTTTTCTTGCTAGCACTTTCCTCATTAACTATTAAAGGTTGCTTGTTCAATGTTCTAATGTCTCTTGTCATTTTAATTTCGATAGCAAAGAACACAATAAGAAGGAATAAGGTTAAAATTGCCTCAATAGTAACATGGAAAATAAAGTATTGACTTTCAGGAGTTTTGAATGCAAAGAATAGCATGCAATACACTGTAAACATAATAAGGGCAACAATACACAATTTGGAAATCAAGAGCATGGATCTTCTGTGAGCAACGTAATCTGTTTTGAATCCAAACAAGCATCCAAAACTATGTCTCACAACTGCAGGAGAAATAGTTTGGTCTGCACTGTCACTGAGATAGTATCCCTGACTTGTGATGAGATGCCTCTTCTTCTTGTGATGATGCTGAAGGAGTCTATGTGAATAAATTCTTCCAATGGTGAATCTCTCAACATAATACCTCAGAGTGAAATAAATAAAGGTCACCAGTAAGATAAATGGTGAAAATAAACTAAAGGTGAAAACAATAGCCATAATAAGGATCGAATAGGCATAGGAATACTCGAGAGAGAATGAATCTCCTTCGGCCCATTTCAATTTGTCTTTTGGTTTCATACTTCTGCTTATTCTGAGTTTCTTACTGACACTGCTGGTACACAATGTGAAAACCGAATAGAGAATCAATGATAAGAGAGGCATTAAAGTAAATGCCAGCCCATATAGTGTCTTATTCAATATAAAGTTGATGAACAGAGAGCCATTGTCAGACATGAATAAATTCTTAAAGACATTTGCCAAACTGTCTGGATTTGTGAAAAAGTTTGTTATGCCATCCAAAGTTGTTAAAACTAGAGTTGGTAGAATGAACACGTTGAGCCAGAGGAATATTGTTATTCTTCTGAGAATAGTTCTACTAAACTCACTGAATGTTTTCATATCCTCAAGTTTGGTCAACTGGTAAATGAATACTGGAATCAAAGCAGAGCTTGCCACCAACAATAATGAGGGAATATACTGGAATATAACAGACATCATTGGACCACCAACTTCAACAATCTTCTTAATAGTCTCTGTAACTGGTGGAATTGCAAAAAAGGTATCAATGGATGAAACAATAACTACGGGTGTTGTGAAAAATACAAATATGATCAGAATAACGATAAAGATTGTAATTTTCAAAATAACTGGCTTGATCCATGAATGTTGATACATTGTATAGAGAGTAGTCCAGAAGCAATCTCTTTGCTCATAATTGGTATTAGTGGCCCTCATTCTAATGCATGTTACTTTGGCATCTATTGGAAGTTGGTTTCTTTCTGCAGGAGTGAACAATTTTTCAATCTCTTGTCCATTATCATCAGTTTCCTTCATTTTGTAAACTTTGAATGTTCCCAATTTTGTAAACTTCTTGAGAGCATAAACGATTGAACTTCTAGAAGAGAAGACCACATAACCAATGCCACTTCCCTGAATGGAACTACTAATTCTGTTTGGATAATTACTGGAAAGTGTTAATTCTTCCTCTAAATCTTCAATTTCTGTATTCAAGTTTCTAATTTTCTCTTTTGTAAAGACGATTGCATCTTTGCTCTGAATTAGTTTTCTCTTGGAATCGCCATCATCTTGCTTCTGAAAGAAACACTTCTTCTTGGGTCTCGTATTCTTTGTTTCAAGTTGCCAATTGTAACCTTCAAGATTATCCAATTGAGTTTCAAATTTCTGTTGCAGCTTTTCTCTCTTTGCGAAATTAATAACATGATAGGATGAGAGAATATGTGGATTTGTTGGAGCATTCAAATCAGTTGCATTGTGACTGAATATCTTCTTCATCAATTGGTGAAAAAGCGCCTTATTTGTATAATGCTTGGGAATGTTGTGAATTTCCAATGTGAATGGAGATAGGGATTTGTAATTGAGATTTTCGTGAGGCGTTCCAAGGGACATGTTTTGAGTTTTCAAGGCAAATTCTGCTCCAAAGTAATGAGGCAAGTAAGGAGAGAAGGATCCATAGATTCCCTCTTGATCACAACCACAGTAATCATAATCTCTCAATGATTTATCCCTTGTGAAGAGAAGAAGCATTGCAAGAACGAGAGCAACCGTAATGACTGATAGAATTACATGTAGAATCAATATATCAGGTCTACCAATCACTGTATTAATTGAAGAAACGACAAGAAATTGATCTGATGATCCAACCTTTAGTCCAGTAACATTCTTGGAAAATTTCTCCTTCTGTGCTGGATCCAAATTTCCCTGATTGGTTATGTGAATTGGATACAGCAGGGCACTGAATAATACTAACATAATGGTAAAGACCCACCATAAAAGCTGATGGAATTTGATATATGTCAGAACATCTCTTCCATAATTTCTAATCACTCTCTTTTCCTCCTTGATGGCTGCACCGAACCATGACTTGTTTCTTCCATTAAATAGAGTTCTATAGATGATTAGAAAAGGTGCCTGAATCAAACTCTTTGTAATTCTCCAGAAAAAGACACTTCTCAAATACCAATCAGAGAGGCAATGATTGCTTAAATATTTTGCTCTCAAATCTTTAACTTCGAAAAAGGAAGAGTCATCTTCTACATGTTGGTCAACTGTTTTGGAAAGAGATTTTCCCTTGTTTGATTCATGATGTTCTCTTTCACTGTTTGATTCTTCACGAATCTCGTCTTCTTGATTGTTGTGATTGTTTTCAGAATCTCTTGTGTGTGACTGTTGTTCCACAAATAATTCATCCTCTCGTTTCAAACATTTGGCTATGAGTCTCTTCTTCTTTCTCACATTGAATATTGTGCAGTATCGAATGCAGCAAACATAGATGCTCATAACAATTACCAGTAAAATAACGTTTATAGCAATTGTTACAAAAACACCACCATTCTTGAAAAAGGGATTTGACTCCAATTGTTCTATGAAACCAGATCCTCCTGAAGACATTTTTTCTAGTGATGATTGATTATGCTAATTGATTCACCAGTAAAAGATTAGCACCAGTTTCGTATATTTTCCAAATTGGGTAAACTTCTACAACATGAAATTTCTAAACGTGTTGTGGTCTTGGTAAAATGGACCAACTGGATTTGAGTTAATGAATATTTAGAATGAAGTTAAAAACTTACCTCTATTTTCAATTTCTGCCGGTAGCATTTTGTGAAGATGAATGGCGACCTTCTCAGCAGTAGAAGTACTGTCAAGGCCATATTTTCCTTTAGAATAATCATATTGAACAACGTAGGCAAATAATGAACCATCTTGACTGAACTTTCCAACACCTACCTCTCTTGCTGTGTTAGGAGTGGTGTAGATTTTTTGCTTGGAATCCTTATCCCAAAAGTATGCCTTCTTATCAGCTCCAGTTGTAGAAAATGTGCCATGCAAAGGGTTAAAATCTATTGAATTTGGTGCAAACACATCGTTGGCAGTTCTGTGACATTTGAAAATGAAATTACTGGACACATTCTTGCTGTCCATATGGTGAATGGCAGCTCTTCCCTCAATTGTTGATATAATAAACCCAAATCTGTCAGAAAAGAATTTGAGACAATGTTTTTGAGTTTCACATTTCAGATTACTTTTCCAAATCTTGACAGGTATATGAGGCATTGTCAAGTCAAAGAGGATAATATTTCTTGGTGCTGTAGTAATGATAAGAAGAGGAAAATGTACATCCATTGCATGAACTGTTCCTTTCAAATCCAATTGTAGCAGTGGTTGACAACTATCATCATTAATATCCCAATATTTAAGAAAACCATCCCACGATGCACTCGCAACACATCCAATTTCTTCAATATAGAAAACATGATTTACAGCATCATTGTGTCTTCCAATTATTCTATTATTCACATGCATTAAATTGCTCTTGTCAACAAGTACTTTCTTTGAAGCTAAAAACTTTTTAAAACTGGTCTTTTCCACACTCTCCGAATCATCAGTTTCATCCATTTGCTGTAAGCTATTCGAATCACAAAGTTTCCAATACTCTGCCTGATCTGATCCCAAAAAATCCATATAAACTGCTCTCTCCTCTCTCGATTTTAAATCATACAAGAAATTACTTCCCGAATTACTAGCAATATCATCAGAGCAATCAACAATATTTGACTTGATCAATTGTTGTACCGATTTGAAAGGATAATGAACACGAACAGTTCCATCCGTATTAGCACTATAGACAGCACCACTCGATCTATCCACATCAAAGTACAACACTCCAACATCTTCCTCCTCACTTGTTTTAAATTGAAACAAGAAGGAGGAGTGTAATTTAGTACCCTTGGTTGCTCCACCAATTTTAAAACAACAAATAGTTCCATCATAGTGAGAAGACAATAAATAGTGATAATCATCGGGTTCATCACCAAAATGATCATCATTGATCACCACTGCATCCATACTCCTCGTAGAAACTACCCTCCGATCAAAATTTACAAATTGAAGATGGCTAACCTCGACAAGATCCTGTATGGATTGTGGAAATTGGAGTGTGTGTTCGACCATTTTTTTTTCTTGTGTTTTGAAGAAGATTTTTGTTTTTTACAATGAAAATTTGGAAATAAATATATTTATGTATTTAATAGTTATTACAATAAAAGTGTTAAAGACCTCTTAAATAGTAAACAGTTCATCCCAATAATATACCTCTAAATTGTCCATTTAAAAATACTCAACCCAATTTACATGTAGTTCTCAATAGGCGAACATAAAAGCAGCTGCATTCCATTGCATTGTGGTTCGTTATTATAAGCACCACTCAACTGTTGTAGCTTATTTATCTCCACTGTTGTGTGCATTCGATTTTATCTAAATAAAAAAAGAGGAGAGGTCCATTTCATTGAGACACAAACTCTTAGAAGAAGGAGCACATTTATTAAAACACTCTCTGTGAGTCTCTTATTACTTCTTTGAAAAAGCATTCCGCTGAAGGTCAGAGCCTTATTCTCCCATTGCATTCCCTATTAGAAGAGGAGAATCATCAAGAAGAAGTAATATTACTATTGAACATATTAATAGCCCAAGAGACATTGTTGAACCAACATCAACATCCATACAAGTCAAGAATAACAGCTTTAAAAAGCAGCAGCAAAAAAGTGCCTCACTATCAGCAAGAACATTCTTTATGTATTGTGTGATGGAAGCGCTTTGAGTTTATCATCTTTTCAAATATGAGTGGACAACAATCCTTAATCAACCTCCTAATAAGAAAAAACATCACCCAGTGGATGAAGCCAGAATTACCTTCAATACTTCACTGACAAATAATGGAGGAATGGTTCTAGAAGATGTTCAATTCCATGCCCCTGTTGTAGTTGAAAAGAAGAGAGGAAGTTTAAGTCTTGAGGGTTCTTCTATCGATATTGCTCCTCCTCAGAAAGAGACAATATCAAGAAGAGCTCTAATTCAACAACAACAACAGCAACAATATGGAAATAATCAAGACTCTCCCAGAAATTCCCTCGATACGTCTTCTTCTTACTTTCCTGGTGATAGTTCAGTGTCAAGCTCTCAAGTAGTCAGAATCAATACTGGAAATGTGTTTTCTCCTTCTAAAAGGGAAGCCATTTCGAATATTGTTCAGAGTCAGCAGGATCCATCTGTTAAGAAGATTACCTATGATATTGTAATGCCTTCAATGAGTTTTTATCAAATCGAAAATAAGGAAGCATTCGATCAGCATTACAGGTCTGTATCACCCACACCTTTAAACTCGAGCAACAAATCAAGTCAAATAAGGCCACCCAAATATGAGGCCCATCTCCAATCCATGGATATTCGAAATGATAGAAATAATTTAGAGACATTGAATAATTCTCTAGAAATTGAAAAGGCCAACATTAGATCTGTAAATAATAGCATTGTGAGTTCTGTTGCCAACTCACAAGTTTTGTCATCTCCAATACATCACCCCCAAACAAGATTACCCAACATTCATCAAAAGAAAGATATTGTCTTTGACAAACATAATAATACCCTTTCACTAGCTCATGACAATCATCAAAGGACGATTAACAGTGCAATTTTAAACACAACACTTGAACGAGAACATTACCATCACATGCCTCAAGGTAAACCCAATACTACACCCACAATATCATGTACAGCTCTCAGTGGTTTCATATTTTCAAAAGTGCATGGTGTTCAAAACATTTCTCCTCATTCCTATTCAAAACGATACAATCCAACAACTCATACACCAACAGCCAAAAAGCCCTTCTTCCATGGAAATACTAAGAAACCATACAATGGTCTTGTGGAGATTTCCAGTTTTGCCAAAACGAGAAAAAAACCTCATGTCGATCCAGATGTGATTGTAAGGTAGAGTGTGAAATGAAAAATAAATTAACTTTCAAAAATGCTTTATTGAGTTGTAGCAGCAATTTTTGACTTTGGTTGATAAAAGTGATAGGTCAAACCACTAGAATCTCTAATTGGTTGCTTCTCTCTGTCAAAGTTGTGGAACTTCCAACCACTAGATGTAGACATCTTACATGGTTTGGAAATACCTTGTGGAGCCTTTGGGGTGTTTGAAACGAACTGAATTTGAGGAGTAGGTGTTGATTTTTTGGTTGCTGGCAATTCATATCCACTGTCACAAAAGGTAATTTGTTTGTTAGGATTGTCTGGTTGCTTAGGTTTTGAGTGGGTTTGAACATTTGAAACACCACTATTTGAGTGGTGGATAGCTTGAGATTTGCTTCTAGATGGAATAGAAGTTTGTGAAGAACTTTCACTTAAATCGGAGGCAGTAGATTGTACTGTCTCTTTTGATTCAACCCTAATCAAGGAAGGAAAAACTTCATTTCTCAAATTGGAAGGTAAAATTGGTTTTTGAGATGATTTGTTTTTAGAAGGTCTTCTAAGGGATTTTTTAGACTTGTCAGCAATGCTCTTATCTTGGATTGGTGGAATGTAGTGAGGCAATAAGGAAGAGGGATTGTTTGGTTGAGTCATCAATAGAGGAGATGGAATAACAATACCATTCAAAGTATCCATATTATGTTGAGGTTGTGAATACAAGAAGGCATTGGTGACTTCTTCATCATCCATGAATGGATCTTCAGAATGCAAGATAATTGGTGTGAAACTATCAAACATATCTTGAGAATCCATATCTTCAAGTTGATAAGAGTCAAAAGCACTAGCAGAATAGTTAACTCTATCACTACAATATTCAGTGATTTCTTCCTCCTTCAAGAAGACATCATCTTCGTCAATGGATTGGTCAACTTGAGAAGTGTTAGAGTTTTCAGGGAATAATGGATAAGTTTCACTATTCACACTAGAGCTACTAGGAGTCTTCAATCTTTGTGAATAATCAAAACCAGTATTGGTATCGATAGAAAGATTTGAAGTCTGAGCTGGAAGTGAGGTAGGACTTGATGACTTTTTGGTATTGTTCATTGGCTTTCTAAGTCTTCTAAGCTTTGAACGTTGTGGTTGAGTTGTGGTACCACTTGTTGGGATCTTTACAGAATTCACACCTTCTGTCGGAGGGGAAAATTGAGGAACGGAATTTGAAACTCCAATGGATTCGGATTTTTTGTGAGAAAGTGAGGATAGATTTTTTGTAGGATGCAAGTCAATTGTTCTTCTATCAAAACTTTGGTTGTTGGTAACTCTACGCTTTGGTTGCTGTTTTGTAAGTAATTCGGAGGAAAGATTGGGGAAATAAGCTGCATTGGTGGGAGGATTGTCAGTAGTTTCTTGACGGAAAGTGTTGATAATTGGTGGTAAAAGGGATGGATTGGGACAAAAATCAATACAATTGGAGAAGGAAGGTAAACTGTCACTTGTAAAATCAAAATTTGATGGTGTCATTGTTAGAAAATCCAAATCGGATGTACCTTCTTCTACAACTTCAATAGTAAGTGAGGAAGACATTTCAATGTTGATGATTTTTTCAATTAATTGTGTGGTCTAAGATATTTTGTGATAATATTATGCAAAATCCTAGTTGATGAGTAATGACTTGATTTTAGAAAAATGGGTAATGAATTGTTGTTTCAATTGTGTTGTTGTTGATGATTGAATATTGTGTATGTTATCGTATTAAATATGATGTTGTTTCGTGTAATTGAATAGTAGTAATAATTACTAGAGAGAGATGTGAATGATATATGGGAATTGTATAATGCAGCCTTACAAAGAGCAAAAAAAGGAGAGAAATTTCAGCAACCAAACAAACAACAAATGCAGCGTTGAGCTCAACAACACACACCTAGAGTGAGGAAGTTTAAAGCAAGGTAATCGATCCTACAGAACCGTGAGGAACGTTTATTAATTTTTTATACTTGGTTTCCATCATGACGAAGAGCAGACTTGAATTTATGAGTGAAGCGCAAAAAATCAGCAGACCTCAGGCAAAACGGCGACGCTAACAATAGGCTTGAAGATTCTTTGTGCACTTGTATCTCATCACTTTTGTATAAAACACCAAAATTGATGTATTGTCCGCTATACATTAAAAAGTCGACAATACCATTCTAAAATCGAACGTATTTCAACGGTAATTGAAAGCAAATTAGAGAGAAACTTTGTCAACAATCGGTACGTTAAGGTTGTTGAATTGTAGTTGTTTTTATTTATAAAGGTTTGGTGTTTGATGGAATTTTGTTCAAGAGGCAATTTTTTCATAGTCATTGTTGGATTGAATTCTAAATCGAGTTTGAACGTTTTTGAAATCCAAGTTGCTTAAGGTTCTAGAATTTAAGGAAGTTCAAATTCCAATTGAAAAGACCAACAAATTAAGAATTTCAGTTTGATTTCAACATTGAATACCATAGAATACCATGGAACATGTGAAGTTATAAGGTGTTACAAAATATTTTTCCACAGTTTTTCCCTAGTTAACGAATATCATTTGAATTTAATTACATTTGAACAAAACAAAGACAAATGAACATGATCAAATATCCAATGTACGCAGAAAGTTGCGAATTGGCTTGAGAAAGAACAATAGTACTATTCTTTGGAATAATTACTGATGAGCTAGTGGTAGGAGTTGGAGTTTTCACATTGATCGACATGTAAATTGGATAGTGATCACTTACAGTGGCGGCATAGGTTGTGTTAAAACCATACTCACTATCAAATCTGAAAATGCCAACATTGGAATATTCAAAACCGTCTCCAGTAGTAATATTTCTCTTGGCAGCATTTTGGAAAATAACAAAACGATCATATGGACATGAGGAAACAGCAACAGTTGTATCCGCTTGATCTGATATGAGCCATGAAAATCTGGTGTCAGTTCTGAGAGCTACTTGTGACCATTGAGAATTGGAAACATATGAGCAACCTGCATTGAAATCGCCTGAAAGAATAACATTAGGATAAAATGTTTCACTCGAATATGAATCAGTAACATTGACCAATTTAGACATTTCATCAACAGCAGCTTCTGGCTTAATATGGCATCCTGTAATTGCAAATTGAGGAGAGTTTGAAACAACTGCTGATTGGAACACAAATCTATATATTAAATTTCATTCCAATTTCAAATAAATTGAATCATTTCCAAATTATTAATATTGATATAACAGACCACATTCGTCGACTCAATAAACACACAAGTCCAAAATCAATACACTTACGTATAAGGTGGTCTCTCAAACCAATCATTTGTATCAATATATTGCAATGTCTTGACAAATTTCACCTTCTCTGGATTATATAAGAATGCATATTGTTCCTTACTCGATGTTCTTCCCAATCTTTCACTCAATTGAAAATCATATCTATAATTTTTCACATAATTATTTAATTGTGATGTAAAACTTTGAATGGTGGTATTGGAACTATCTCTCACCTCCATCACAAATATCAAATCATATTGTGAAACAATTCTCATCAGAACATCCACAACATCGGTTTTTTGAAGTTTTGTTTGTCCGAATACTTGAATATTAAAGGAGGCATATTTAATGGTGGTTTGTCCACATTCTACCATCATCATTACCTGACTGAGCATGTGGATGCAAATTATCAACACCATTGCACAGCTGAGAGGATTTCGTGTTAGTTTATTTGCCGACATTTTTTTTAACAGATGATTTGTGAAACGGCTTTGTGGTCTTAATGATGTAAATGAAAGCTATTCTGTTTATTGGAGAAAACTTGCTCACATGATAAAGAAGTTGTGCTGTTGTTATCTGTGGTGAGGATGAATGTTGGCAAATAACTGGAAGAGCTCTAGAGGATTTTTCATATTTCTCATCATGGTTCTAGGAGTTTTGATATTGGATTGACCACGTTCGCCGAATGGATAGGGAGAGAATTCAGATTTTCCTAGATCTGCTTCTGATAATCGACGTGATTTTCCTAGACGATTAAGAATGTGTCTTCGAGGAGAGACCAGAGCTTCTAATTTATCCTGACTCATGCTACCAACTACACTGGCCACACCAATGACATCTCCCATATTGCACAAGATTACATCTAGATATTCTTTAGATCGTCTAAATTCTCTGAAACATTCCAATTTCAATTGTAAATTAATAACACTGATAATCTCTCTAAAAATTTCAACAAATTCTTCCTCGGTCACTAGAATGTCAGTATATAATGTATAGGGAATTTTTTTAACTCCTGCACCTTCTACATAAACTTCTCTATTTAAAAATTCTAGTTTTTCATTCTTTAGCTTTTCGAAAAGATCCAAAACTTTTTGTCGTTGTCTCTTGCTCAAATTCAATTCTTTGGGTGAATGTTCGAGAATGAACTTATTTACAAGATTGTCAATATGATACAAATTAAATCCGAAAAATACATGAGGTTGTTGGGATGGTTGTGAAATGATTGATTGTTGAATTGTTTGCAATTTTTGTTGTTTGTATCTCATTAAAATTTCAGAGGTTGAAATGAGGGACTTATCCTCAATAGTGGACGATTGTTTGGAGAGTTTGTTCTTGGAAATCACCTTTTTGAGAGTACCAATCGAGGAGATGGAAGAGGAGAAATGAGGCACTGATGATTGACTTTCAAAAGTAGAATCGTACAATGATGAGCTACCAATAAAACTGCTACTTGAAGGAGGAGATAAACATCTACCCAATTGATTGTCTCCATTATCAGGCAATGAGACAGAGAATGGTGTATTTTCATGGATATGAGCATTGGAGCTTGGTGATGTACATTTTGGAAGAACGGAGGCATTATCCTATATATATTTGCATAAAAATTAAATAGTTCAATTAACATATTCAATAAATTTCAAGAAAATAAATCATTCGAATAGATAGATATTAATATCACTCAAATATCGATGAAACTTACCTGATAGAGACGAATGGTTTCTTGTAGAAATTCAATTTGTTCAGAATGAGAATGTTTCTGGATGAATGCAAAGAAAATTTCTCTTCCATTTTCTGAATCCATTAATTGTCTAAATTCATCATCAGTTGTATCTAGATATTCAGGAGCATCGTCAATTCCGCTTCCCAAAGTCAATCTTTGAAATGAAACTCGTGGTGAGGTTGCAGATTTGGGTGATTCTGGATTGAGTCCAGAAAATGGTGACCCATTATCACTCAAAACTGAACCATTTGGTGTGAGAAGGGAATTACTGGCACTTGGACTGGATGAAATTGTATTGAATAAAGAAATTTTTGGTACATCCAATTGATTGGAAGCTGACTTGGATCTGTTTCTACTCCTATTGAACAAATTATTGGTTTTGATTGATAAATCCTCTTCATAATTCGAAAAACTATTCGAAAGTGATTTCTTTTTCTTTGAATTTGCAACTCTAGGTGAAGCTTCCAATTCAGCTCTCGTCTCATCAAATAATGAATCAATGGGAGGTTGAGATTTGGGCTGTTGTGAGCTACCTCCTCCAACACTTCCACCACTTGTAGCCTTTACATTCGTAATCATTGAAAGAAAGGATCCTCTCTTCTTTGCCTTCTTATTACTTCCAGAAAGTGAAGAAGATGAGCTATTAGTTCCTGGAGAGGATGGTGTTGTTGGAGTAGTAGTCGTGAATGAATTCTGCTGAGTAATTATTGTTGTATGGTTGCTATTGTTATTATTGGCACCATTCGAATAGTTTCCCATATTCAAAGACGAACCATTATATAGAGAATAAACTGAGGAGAATGAGCTTGTTCGAGAAGAGGGCGACAAGGAAGACGTTGTTGTAGTGGTTGGACTCGTAACTCCAAGATTATGATGATTCTGGTGGTGATGATTTGGCATGCCATTAAGAGGTGAAGTAGGTGGAGAGAGTGTATAATCTGTCATGGTGTTGGCAGTTGTCGTATGTTGTTGAACACTCAATAGAGTTGGATCATCCTCCACGACCATGAATGAAGTGGCTCGTTTCGTCTGTGCTTGTTGTTCAAAACTATTTGAAGATGATGATAGAGATGCTGATGTTGATGATGACGAATTATTATTATGATTGTTTGTTGTTGGAGGAGAGGAAGAACGTGGACTTAGAAAACCTCGTGAAAGTTTCCTCTTAAAACTTTCAAAGAGTGTTCTTGGTGTGGTTTGACCTCGAGAGGAAGAGGATGAAGATGTTGTTGTTGATGGTGGAGCATCTTGAGTGGATATTGATGAAGATGAATTGGAGAGTTTCTGAAGGGAGAGGGAGGGTATATGAGGCATTGAAAAGGTTTTATGAGGAGGAGGTGGTGTAGTTGTTGGTTGGTGAGTCGGTGAGGAAGAGGTTGAAACTCCTTCCTTGTTATTGTTGTTCATCATTAATTGTTGTGTGAGACTTTCTCAATCTACTCTCACAAGAGAATCACAGGAATGCACCAAGGTAGTGTTGATGAAATATTGCCACACCCAATTAACTGTATTATTGAGACTCAAAGGTTTGCGTTTTTGAAGAAAAATTCAGAGGTTGATGAAAGTTATTTTTTAATTAATTGAAAAAGTGTATTTGTGTTGACAGCAGTACGGATTTACTTGAGAACAGATAGCAAGATATTTATTTGGAAAGGGTGGCTGAAAAGAGATATTCTGCACAAAAAAAGTAGAAAGGTTGCTGAATTGGAATGAATTAATTTAACATTAAAATTTGCCTCCCTTGGGAATCGAACCCAAGACCTCTGTCTTACTAGGACAGCGCTACTGCCAACTGAGCTAGGAAGGCTTCACAATGGGGATAAAAATTATCTTAATTTTAGTTGGATTTCAACACATTTCATTTTCCATTATTTTCATAATTCATTTAAATCTATTGCAGCAACGTTCACAAATATTTTTCTTTGCTAGTTTTGACAATATTTAAAGCTGGCTTTACTTTTCACCTTATTTATCATCTCATTCTCCATTTGGACATCTTTATAAACCATCTATTTAAAGTTTCAATTAAAAGAAAAAGCAACAGAATAACGACAATGTATCACAATAACTCTAATCTGAACAACGCCATCCATTATCTACATACCGGTATGTATTCATGTCAATAACATTCTGACCTTTCTTTGAAGGCTTGTTTTCATCAACTAATGATGACAGTTTGTTGCTATCCGAGAAGACATTTCCAACATTGTTCTCTCATCATAATGCTGTAAAACTAGTATCATCCTCATCAAATTCACCAACCCTCCTCCAAAAGTTTTTCAATATAAAGAGCCAATTCTCTAATCATCAGCATCATGAAGAAATACAAAATCAAGTTACTTGTCCTTTGACTTCCTCTCAATGGTTAAAAAGAAGATAGAAATACCGATACTTGTTTTAAAAAGTATTCTCAATCACAAACCAAGCAAAAGAAGATGGCCCGATTAATAGTACCAATAGCTGTGAAATAGTCTGTCTTATTGCTTGAATCATTAATATCTTGTCGGCGTTTCTTTTCAACCAGAAAAATTGTCATCACACAACAACTACCCAAGATCATCAAAACTGTACGAATAAACCAAGTGCTTGCTTGAATCACAAAACGACCAAGTAAACGGTCCACATATTTTGCAATCGATTTCAAGTGTCTGATATTATTATTATTATGCAATGGAACAGTACTACGTTATAAAGATTTTAGGGAGAGGTTCGGAAGGGTAAGTTGTTTTATTAATATCAAATGGCTAATCATCATAACTTATGTTAGACAAGTCGTTTTGGCTGAACACAAGAAAACAGAAGAACAAATAGCAATCAAGAGAATGGAATGGTCTTCATTGGATGAGGCCAATATTCATTTGAATGAAGCTCAAAAACTTCGGAATCTTTCTCATAGAAATGTGATAAAGTATTTGGGAGCCTTTCTTCATCAATACAGTAAAAAGGCAGAGACTTTATATGTCTGTTTGTGTATTGAATATTGTCCTGGAGGAGATTTGCAAAAGCTCATTACTACAACTTGTAAAAAGGAGAGAAAGATGAAGGAAAAGGATATAGTAAATTATGCAATTCAAATTGCTGAAGGATTGAATTATTTGCATGAAAATAATATAATACGTATGTATTTCTATTACTATTATTATTGGAATTTATTATACTTTTTATAGATCGAGATTTGTAAGTTTCGAATTAATTTAAAATTAATTTTTTTATTCTTTTAAATTTAATTCTAGAAAACCACAAAATATTCTAATAGACGCATCAGGAGTTTTAAAGATTGGAGATTTTGGAATTAGTAGAGTTTTGGATACACTATCAATGGCTAAAACCCAGTGTGGAACAATAGATTTTATGAGCTATGAAATGTTAAACAAGGAATTTTATGATCAGTCAACGGATATGTATTCATTTGGAGTGTAGGTTGTCTATTCATCTTCAATATTAATCATAAACTTGGATAGGATTCTTCTTCAAATGATGGCTGAAGGAAAACAAATGATGGTGTCAATGGAATTGCAGAAAAATCCAAACTTTTTCAATGAGATTGAACATTACTGTGTCGATACTATGGGATATTCTAGGGGTTTATTCAATTTGACCAAACTATTACTGAGCTATCAACCAAGGGACAGACCTAGTGCTGCAAAAACGATTAAAATTTTGGATCGAATCATGGAAAACTTTAGGGAAGATAATATCAAACTCTCATTACAAAGTTTCAATACTCTCAATCCAACTTCTTTAAAGTTAAATGTATTTGCCTTCCTCTCATTGGAAGATATGTATCATGTTGCATTGTGTTGCAAGGAATTTTTCAAGATTTGGGAAGAGGAATGGTTTAAAAACTTTGTTACATCAACAAGTATTGGAAAGGAAATAACCAACTCAAACGCAGCAGGCACAAAATCAAGAAAATCTAGGAGTAACAGTACCAAATCGCGTGCATCATCAGACATTGCCAAGATTGGAAATGGATTGTTCGACAATAACATATTCAAAACTCAGGTCTATAATTATGTAAAAATTCACAAACCACGAACAAGAAGAGATAGAAATAAGCGAGGTAAAAATGTAGTTTCAGAGATTCATCCTGGTCAAATTGAGGAGGCTGCCAAATTTTTGGTTAATGTTGTCAAACATTCTGATAACAATCCACTCCAGAAGCTATTCATTGAAGCCAAATTGACTAACAGTACTGGTACTGGAAGCTCAAAATCCACAAGCACATCTACTGCTGAGGATTCACCAGCATTGATCATTCCCACTACTAATAATTCACCCTTTCTGAATTGGAATTCTCTTTTAAAGCATATTTTTAATGTGGAATCAATAAGTGAGATTGCAGAAGATGCTCTCTTATTTCTCTGTACTCTATTACTAAAATATGGAATCAAATATGGCAGAGTATATGTCAATATTCACTACTCACTCGCCAATCAGGACAAGGAAATTCAAGCTATTTCTATATGGCAAGATCCCTACAATACGAAAGGTATTGGTTTATGGAGAATGTTAAAGCTTGGAATTTTAAAATCACCCAAGAGTCTGTAAGTAATCCCATAAGCTTCAATTTCATTAACGTACCTATTATTAAGAAAACTTAAATCCATGTACAGATGTATCAAATGTGCTGAGAGTATGGAAGAATATCACAACTCTCTCATTTCCTCGCCTCATAAACCTCACTGGACACTATTGGCACTTGCTGTTAAACCTAAATTGAGAAAGAAAGGACTTGGCAATGAAGTGCTCATGCCAATAATCAAATCGTCTGATGAGGCTTCTCTTCCAATTTATACTTTTGTTTACAAGGATGAAGGTTACTCCTCTGTGGTTGATTTTCTCAAAAAACATGGATTTGAAGTACGGGATGAGCACAAGCCAGAACAAGGCCCTTCACTAGTTGGCCTTATTCGATATGGCAGTTAATCAATTCTGATATTTTCACTCACACTACGGAACAGTAGTAACACGGAAGTCATGAGGAAAATCTTTTCAAATTATTTGACCTTCAATAACTCCTCTTTAACTCCTCGACACTGTAGTGGAGGAGAAACTTGGAATTTCAAAACTGAAAGCAACCATTTGTCCACACTCAGGCCATTCAACTCCTGTCTCTTCAATTGTTTGATCAAGATGATACTCCTTGAAAATGACCGAATAATATTCATTATTCAATAAGGAGGGAACCAGAAGCAAATATTTACTTATTCATGCTGGCAATCTACAAGTGTTATCATTGATGATGCATCACAGAATGAAGGAAGCATAATTAGAGTTTTAAACTTCCCATGCGGACTTCTGCTATTTATTTGAGGTCCATGGTCTCTATTTTAAAAATCAAGTTTACTATTTAACAAAAAAAAGGATCCTCATCTCAACACTCGTTGTCCTCTTCCTAATATTAGTTTGTAGATTCTATTGCATCCCTGTTGCATCATTGCTCATTACATATCGTAAAATGTCTCATAGACACTATTATTACTCTAAGAGTACCATTCTGTTAAAGTTCTCATCATCATGGAAGATGATGACAATCATGATGATGTTTGCCATTGTCTTGATGATGTGTGCTGGTAATGCACACTCCGAAGTAGTTGTTGCCTCCACTACTTCTAACAGCAATACTGCTTCCGGACTTTCTGTTGCAAGTGTTGCTGCTTCTGTTGATGGTTCTATTGTTAGTGGAAGTGCTTCCACCAATATGACATCATCAGGAGAATCTGATAATACGGTTGGTCTTTCCCAATCTTCTCATTCTCGTAAAGTTCTAGTTACTGGAAGTGCTGGATTTATTGGCTTTCATCTTGCTGAAAAGCTTGCAAAGGAAGAGTTTGCCTATTGGAACAATTTTATGGCAACTCTTGTCAATGAAACAAAGGGCAATATTGAACAAATTGATTTGGCATTGAATAATGTTGAACGTAGTGTCATGATTGGTCTTGATAATTTCAATGACTACTACTCAACTGACTTGAAATACATGAGAAAGAAACAATTGGAAAAGACTGTTAGAGAAATCAATCAAAATTTGATTGAACAAGCGAGTACAATTTTGAGAAAAGAAGAAGCAGACATTAAGCCATTCATTGATTTTCAAGTCATTGAGGGAGATGTATGCAATACTTCAATTTTGAGTGAAATTTTCGAGAAATACACCTTTACACATGTTCTCCATCTTGCTGCCCAAGCTGGTGTAAGATATTCCCTTAAAAATCCCCAAACCTACATTAGAAATAACATTCTCTGTCAAATAGAATTGTTGGAAACTAGTGTTAAATACCAAAAAACTAATCCTCCAGTTTTTGCCTATGCCTCCAGTTCAAGCGTTTATGGAAACATTCAAGAATTTGATCCATCTGCATTCCATGAACAAATGAACATTAACAAACCTACCAATGTATATAGCGCCTCCAAGATATCCCAAGAATTATTTGCTGAAACTTATAACTACCTTTACGGTATTCCAGTTATTGGATTGAGATTCTTTACTGTTTATGGCCCTTATGGAAGACCAGATATGGCTCTTTTCAGTTGGGTTGATCAAATTGTTAAGGGTAAGCCAATTACTCTTTACACTCTCGAAGGAAAAGAGTTAATGAGAGATTTTACCTATATTGATGATATTGTTAATGGTATTATCAATTCTATGAATTATGGAGATCGTGTTAAAAGAGAAGAAGGAAGAGCTGTTCATGATGTTTTCAATTTAGGTAACCATACTCCTGAGAAGGTTACTGATATGATCAAGTATATTGAAAAGGCTCTCGATAAGAAGGCCAAGATTAATCATGTAAAGAAACCACCAACTGATATGACCATTACCTTTGCTGACATTACACACAGTCAAGAATTACTCAATTTCCAACCAAAGACCAAACTCGAAGATGGTGTTCGTAAATTTGTTGATTGGTACTTGAAATACTATCACTTTTCCAATAATCAAGTAACAGACGATGTTATTTTTACCACTTACTTTGTTACAAAGGGTCATCCAGAAAGAGATGAACAATATGGTGACTCTTGTTTTGAGCCAATGAGAGAATGGTACGAATCGGTTCACAAACATAATCTTAGAGCTGTGGTTTTCTATGACGATGCCAAACTTTACACCAAGTGTGGTTTCAACAAGTTAACTTCATATAATGTAAGATTTGAACTCGTTCAATTGGGTGAGAGATCAACCAATGATGAGAGATTCTTCATTTATGAAAACTTCCTTCTTCAAGCTCAAAGAGAATCAACTAAAGGCCTCAGTCTTTTACCAAAGAGAGTTATAATGACTGATCTATTTGATATCAAGTTTAATAAGAATCCTTTCGAATATCTTTCTACCTTTGATGAATGTGATGGTGATGTATGTGAAAGTACTGACAAGCTCTTCTTTGGTTCAGAGCCAACCACTATTGGTTCATCCAAGTGGGCTCAACAAAAGCTTGCTCAATGCTCCATCACTATTGATGAAGTCAATGGATCATTCTACTATAACAAATCAGCTCCTTATCCACTTAATACCCTTTCTAAACATCAAACACCTCTAAATAGTATGCTTCTTAATCCTGGAATTGTTGGTGGAAATGTTGAAGTTGTAATGAACATGTTGGCTATTTACAATCAATTCATGAGAGCCTCACCAGTTCAATCCAACTGCAACACACCAGTTTTCAATATTTTAATGTATCAACATGAAGCTTTCCAAGCTGAAAGAAATGAAAATGGACTTTCTTCCCTCCTTGTTACCGGCCAACCATTACATACAATTTTCAAAGCATTCGATGAAAGTGATCAATACTACATCAAGCATAAATAAACACCATCCACTACTTTTTTAATTCAAGTAAATTTTTTAATTTATTACAATATCTACAATTTAGAGATGTGTTTGTATGCTATCAGATATAACAGTTCTACAAACTGGACATTGTTTTCCAGTAGATTTGACACTCTCAGCACATTCAGCGCAAACACAAAGATGTTTACAAGGTAAGAACAAGGTATTCTTTCTCTTATCTTGACAAACCACACAGAGTAGCTCAACATCTAGCAAGTCTTTCTCCTTACTATGGATTGTGTTTTGAGTATCTAGGAGAATACGTGACAACTCTTTCAATTGTTCCAGACTTAAATTATTGATATCTTGTTGATTGAGTGCAAGTCTTGTCTTTACATCTCTCAATTTTTCATTCTCTTTTAAGGTTATTTCATGTTGTTGTTTCAGTTTTTCGTTAGAGGATTGTAGCTCTGTAATTTCAATTTTCAATTTTTGAATTTCAGTATCTTTTTGCTTTTGGAGAGAATCATTCACTGATTGTTGTTCTATCACATCTAGAATTAACTTTTTCAATCCATCACAATGATTCAGCATGTCATTAGCAGAATCATTTACACTTCTTTGAGGTGTCTCATTCTCTATTAATTCGAGTTTCAAATCTTCTTTAATGAACTTGTCAATATTGAACTTGAATTCACTTGGACTTAAAACCTTGATGGTAGTGTCAGAATCTGAAGAAGACAAAGTTGGTAAATATTGTTCATGAGCATAATTCTTCAGCTCAAAAGCTTTGGTATTAGCTACTCCATTCTTTGTAAAATATGCTTTAGAACCAATTAACAAAACTCCAACACTATCTCCAAAAGAATACAATCCAATCAAATTCTCAGTATTATGTTGATTTCCAACATTATGAAAAACATATCCATCATCAGCATGATATCCAATCGATTCATCATACCAACCAACCATTCCTCTATCATAATTAGGTTTTGCCAATCCAATAGCAAATATTGGCTTTTTCTCAGAAACATGCTGAATAAATATTTCAAAATATCTCATCGGAATTCCCTTCTCCTGATTTTTCACCATCAAACCTTTCTGATAATATTGATTAAACTGTAAAATAAATCGATCATTATTATTCTTCAATCCCTTTCCACCAACATCTGTACAATAAACGTTCTGAACATTAGTCTGAACAAATCCCTTACAAAACTGCACATCAAGTCGAGTCATTTTTTTTTCTATTTTTACAATTTTTTCGCTTGCCAAATCAAAATCTGGTTTTACGTATCACGTTTCCTGTCACGTTTTTGAATGGACAAAGGGAATAAGGTTGATAATCTATTACTGTGGGGTTTATGTTTACAAAAAAATTTTTGAGTAAGTTTTACAGTTCAGTATTCGAAATTGTAAATAGTGAAAGTTAAAAGAGTTAATGGAGCATGGACTCAATCATGGTTGCATTTAGGTATGAAATTCTTCTTGCAAGTTGCCATTTTCATTTTAAGGATTGGTAAGAATGTGTGAATCACTCTGAATGTGAACCAGAATCCTCGTGATGCGTATTTCCAACACATCCATTAAGGATTGTTTTATTCCCAGTCCATTCCTGTCACTCATTTCTCACACTGCCATAAATGAAAATGATTTGCAGAATCTCATTGGATAACATAACATCTCAGAAATAAATACTAAAACGGCAGGTTATCCAAAGAGATTTAAGTATCCTTGGCCTCGAGGGTTCAAAATAGCAAATAGACCGCATTGAGGCTCTTAAGGTTAAGCGGAGACAAATCCATTTCCATAGTTATCTAATGATGTCTGGTATAAAGGTGGAGCACTTAACAAGTTTGGTTTATCAACTAGAGGTAAATAGAATAGTTTGTATCATTGATAATTCTCACACATTGAAAAAAACAACTGCACAGCGTACCATGACTAACCAATTCAACTTTGTTGGAAATCGAATTGTATCTTCTAGCCCAGTCCTGACTGTGCCAAACTCAAATCTCATGGTAGAATCAATATTTGAGAGTAACACCAATCAGAATTCAGTCATACAGCAAAGTTCATGTTGCATTCAAACTAGTTTTCTCCCTCTTTGCATTGAACCAACATTTCTCCAACTGGATATGGATGATTTTGTTAATACATTAGAACAAGAATATTATACCCACATGCCAATACAAGCATCAGTTGCTTCAACATTGAAGGTTCCCTCTCCAACTACTCCACTATTTAAATGTAAGTGGATGAAGACATTGTCAAATAGATCATCATCACAACCAGTCCCACAAATTGACTTTAGATCCATTTCCACCATTACTCAACATGATGATAATAGATTGTCAACAAGTCCATCTTCAGAATCTTCCTCTCCAAACCCAAATACTCATAATATTAAGTCTAATTCTTCTAACCTTAAATCACAATGTAAAACTACAATCTCAAAAACAAAAATTCAAAAGAAACGAAACTATCAACGAGTATTTCATACAATACCACCTAGAAATACTTGCTCTGAGAAGAAATCTGGGAGTTGGAAATTCCATCTAATGGATGCAGAGGAGGATGAGGAATATCCATCAAATTACAAATTTCATATCTATACTGGGCGAAATAATTCCAATACCTCTAATGATTCTAGTAATTCTAATAATTCCAAACAATAATACAATAGATTTTAATTGTCAATAGCAGACTGCCACCATGATCTTCTTCTTTCAATTTCCTGAGATTCTGAGCTAGTATAGTTTTTTTCAGTTATTACAGTTTTCACATTTCTAATAGTTAGGGAAAGTCTTGTTGTGTTTCTTGGAATTATTTGTCCAGCAGAAACATTAGCAGTCTGCATATTTATGCATTTCTCTGGATTAATTACATCCTGATCCACATCTCTAACACCATGAAAATAATCCGTATAGGCTTCTTTACAGAAAATCAAAAGTGATCTAGGCTCCAAAAATACACTTGCGAGTACAGATTCCTCATTTTCTTCTGTAGGTTTTTCAGTATAAAAATCAATTAGTGAAGTAGTCTTCAATGAAAGAACAAGAGCAATATCACTATAGAGTGGACCATCCTTGTGTGGTCTAATTCCCTTTCCACACTCGTACTCATTCAGTAATACTTGATTATAGTCATGGTTTTTAACTTGATCAGAAGGTATTTCAATAAACTTGTCAATTGAATGTCCCTTCTGATGTAATAATTTCCTAAAATCAGTGATATACTTTGGCAAACTCTCCTTATACATGCCATTTGGATGAGGAATGCCTCCCAAATTCTTGAGCCTTCTCTTACTCAAACAAACCCATCCCTTCTTCTCTCCAACATATGAAGAACTTGTATCATCCTTATAAATAGCTTCCACACATTTTTTCTCCTCTTCCTCAGTGATATAATCAGGAATATAATAGATAGCTTCCATTGGAGCCTTTGATAATTTATATTTTGATAAATCATTTAATTGATGATCATTCCGATCCTGAAAAATAGAGCAAGCCTTTTTCTGTTTTAATTCTTCTCGAGCTTTTTTTCTTTCCTCGAGAAGCATTTGTTGAAAGTCTATTGTTGTCATCTTGAATATGGTAATACTGTATTAACAATTATCTATTATCACTTTTTTTTAGATATTAAATTTATTAATAGCTTTTTAAATTCTAATTCCCTTTACAAAAAAAATGAGTGGCAACAGAGAATTTGCATCCTTGATGGATAAACTTAAACAAATTGAAAAGGAATGTTCTCGTACACTATCAGAGGAAGAATTAAAAGAGCATGAGAACGGAAATGTTGAAAAAACAGGAGAACAAGAATTGGAAAGTGAAGAAGAATCCGTCTATTATAATGAAGAATATAAACGTTTGAAGGATGAGAAGGTTTAGGTGTAACTAACGACTAGGTATTCTTATTATTTACAAAATTATAATATAATTCACAACTCTTCATGTTGTGTTGAATGGATGGCCAAACATCATCAATCCATTGTGGTCTATAAATCTCGCATTCGAATAATAAATCCTGATATCTGTAACTGACAGAAAATAGTCCAAGAGATTGAGGAATTTGATATTCTCCTTTCATTATAATTTCGTCTATGGCCATTTCAATAACTTTCTTATTTCCGAAACCATGCTTTGACATGGCATTTATTTTCCATCTCCACATGTTATGAGCCATTTCCTTCCAATTTAAATTAAAAGAAGTTCTATCCTCATCATCAGCTGAATCTCCAATAATTTTGTGACCAATAGCGTACAAATGTTCTCTAATTTGATGAGTTCTATTATTTTGTTTGTTAAAAAATTATTATGAACATTAACCTTACCTTCCAGTTACCTTAAATTGAAATAAGAAACTATATTTCAGATAATAAAACTTACTGGTTGACATAAAAATACAGTTCTATTACTTGCATAATCTCTGTAAAGTACTTGGAAAAGAGTTTCAGCCTCCTTGACATTATTCCAATCCAATGGAGTGTGATGAAGGTAATGTTTCTTGATAAATTCTTTCGATTCCTCAGAATGTACTGCTCTCCAAATGCCCAACAATGGATCAATTTCCATGAGTGGATAATCTACTTTGAATAAACCCTCAGTTGGACATATTCCTTCAGCCACAGCAATGTATTGTTTTCCAACTTGTTTGGATTTTAATGAGGCTGAGAAATCCCTAGCAACTTCTGAGCTCTTTCCCAAAATTAAAACTCCAGAAGTTAATCGATCTATCCTGTGAAGAGGAAATAAATCCGCATTCGGTAACATTGTTGGATGAAATCTAGTATATTCTCTTTTCAAAATATCAATTAAATTATTTTTCACATATCGTCCAACCTCTTTTAAACTAATGTCAATAAAACAATTTCACAAACACATACTATGAACTGGTACATTTTCTGGTTTTGCCAAAACCAAAATTGAATCATCCTCATAAATTACTTCAATACTATCAAAATTCGTAGTAATTTTATCTGTTCTAACATCCTCCGTTTGATATGAGTCCTTATATCCCATAATATGATTCGCATCCTCCACTCGTTTCTTATTCAATTTAATAAAATCATGTTCACAATATTGCATGAAAACATCCTCCGGAACAACATATTCTGCACAAAAACTTTCAATAAATGATTTTCCCAACATTCTTCCTTTAGTTCGTGTATCATACTTTTGAAAAAAGGGTTTTGTGTGTCGTATAGTATTATCATGAGTGAAAATATAATCGGCTGATGGCTTGGATTTTAGCACAACATTTCGAAGCATTTTTTATTATTAATTTTAATGAATTTAAAAAACGAAAAAAGCAACAATTCTTTAAAGGTAAAATATCTAATGAATTAAATTTCTAATTCATTTAAAATTAAATAAAATCTTTTTGCAATTTTAAAATAGAAAAAAAATGGAAATTGATAAAACGCAAGAAATTAGTGACTGTCTGCAGAAAGCAAAATCACATCTTGTTAAATACGGAACGTCAGCAGTGGAGTCTAGTCTCCGAGTACAAATTGAACAATTCGATAATGAGGATTTTGTAACATTTGAAGTTTTAAAACGAGTGATTGAATATTTAAATAATAACACATCGGATGATAAATCATCATCAAAAACATATCTTCATAAATTAGTGAAAGGAAGTAAAATACGGTTGACAAAACAAACACCAACAATAACTAAAAAAGATCCAAAATGGTTAAAGTTGACAGAACAACTCAAAAAAAAGATGGCAGATGAAGAATATTCGAAAATGGTAAAGAATGTGGTTGGTAGACCCAGAGATGAAAGAGAAGCTATTAATTCATATAAGGGTCAATTAGGTGTTGGATTGGATTTAGTTGTTACAATGGCTACAATGTTCATTCTCTTTTTCACAATTTCTCAATACATATTTGAAGGAGAAAACAAGACTCAAAACCAAATGCTCTTTGGTCTCTTTGGTCTCATTGTTGGCTTACTTATTGATGCTATTCTTGTCATTGTGAGAGGTGAGAAATATGATATTATTGGAAAGCAACAACTTACACACAAGAATATTGCAACCAATGCTTATGGTATTGAAACAGTTCCATTGGAAATTAGAAAGAAACTTGCCCAAGCCAGAACCCAAAAGAAAAATGACTAATCTCCTCAGTGGTATCTCTTCCAATCGTGCATGATTTGATAAAGCAAATATATAGCTATTGAAAAAAGAAACATCAAAAACTCAACAACAGATGAAACCTATCAAGGAATGTTCAATAACAACATTAAATCGTGTAACGGTCATTCTAAATTCCTTACCGCCAAAATTCTTAAAAAAATTTACAGATTTTGAAATGTCATCATCGACACCTCGATATCGTCAGCAGAATCATTCAAGTAGGGTGGAGAATGGTAGTAGAGCCACTATGGGTTCTTCCATGAGTACTACCTCAACATCATCATCAAGGATTAAGACCAATTATAAAAACTACACTCCCAAACAATCAAAAACTAAGAGTGTCATTACACCTAGGAGGAGAAAGGAACAAGTAATGAATACAATTCCTAATGTTGATGAGGACGATAGTGAATTTCAAACTGAGGAACCTCTCGAAAGTATGCAAGAGATTGAACCTGAAAATGATCAACAATTCTTTATAATTCCGAAGAATCATTTCAAAATATCAGCCTATGAAGACAAGTACTTTATCAGATTTGCCACACCTGGAACAACAAATCATACAGTAAGTTTTTATTGAGGAATGTTAGGCTAAATTATGATTAAGAGTGTTATGGTTAATAGTGGATGTGATATAAGATATGATGATCAAAAAATGTGTTACTTTGAAATTAGTGTAATACGATCAGTGAAAAATGTTTCGATTGCAATTGGATTCAGTTCGAAAGATGGGTATTATCATGCATTTCCAGGATTTGATGATATGTAAGTTTGACTATTCTATTTATCAATTAATCAAGAATAGATCCTACGCTTATCACAGTGATACAGGTGCCATTAGTCACGATTCAAAACAATACGAAATTAACAAATCATTCCAAGTTGGAGACACTGTTGGTGCAGGTATCATATTACCTCAAAGACATGTATTTTTCACATTGAATGGAGTAATGTTAGGAAAGTTTTATGATTTATCATCCTTAGAGGAAATTGTAAGAATTCGAGAGGAATCAAAGTTGACAGAAGCAGCAGATATTGAACACTACCCATCTACCTATACAAAGTACGTATATATTCCTGGAGAAGGCATTATGAAAGGCACATGGACAGAGCATCCAGGAGAGCATTTATCTGGAACAATAATTGATGGTATTCCAGTTGAAGCTACTAGACATTTGATAATTAGGGAAAAGAGAGGAAAGCCATTGGAACAAAAAATTGTTGACGAATATTTGAACATGAATCCAAAGAGTGAAACAATTATGGAACCAGAACATGAAAATCCATTTGTATTTTATCCTGTTATTGGCTCAAATGCACCCTGTACAGTCACTACAAACTTTGGACAGATTCCTTTCAAATTCGATATTGCCTCAATTAATGTTGAGGAGCCAGTCCCTGCTAGAGAGGAAGTGATTTCAACTTCCTTCTCTTTCGACGATACACTAATTTCCCCTTCTAAATGTGATCCTTTTGATCTTGCAATGGAATGCGTCCAATCATTGAACATTGAGAAAATGGAATCTTTTTTCTCTAATGAAGGTTTCACTGATGTTAACAGAGTATCAGACAGAGGACAATCCTTGTTGCATTTGGCCTGTGGTTTACAATCAGAACCAGAAATTACTACTCAAATAATTAATTTACTGCTTGAAAAAGGAGCTGATGTCAACTTGACTACAAGGTCATTAGGAGCTCCTCTTCACGTGGCTTGTAAAAACGCAAATATAACAGCTGTAAATATTTTGGCAAGCCATCCAAACATTGATATCAATATCCTCCATAAGAAGAAGACGGCTTGCGACTTTGCTTACTATGTTCCAGAAATGAGATATGTGACTATTGTTCAAGATGAAGTAAAGTCCAGATTGGAAATAATTTCAAAATTGAAAGGTTTAGGATCTAAAATGAATCTTCACACAGCAGTTTTGTAAGTAAGAAAATTATTCTCAACCTATCATATTCAATCTATTCAGTTCTGGAGATTTTGAAGGAGTAAAGCATCTTGTCGAAATTGAAAAAGAATATGTGGATACTCAAGATGAATTTTATAGAACTTCTCTTCACGTAGCAGCCGCCATGGGATATGAGGAAATTGCTCAATACTTAATGGATAAATATGCTTGCCCTAATTTTGGCAATTTCGTTCCACCCCCTCTGCTTATTGCTGCTGAATGTATGAACCCAGGAATGGTCAGGGTTTTAGCAAAGAATAGAGCCGAGTTAAATATTTACACAGTTGACCACAAGCACATTTTAGAATATTTGATGGAAAAACATGAAAAATTTGAGGATCCAGAGAAGGAAGAACAATTCGAAAAAACCATGGAAGCTCTTTGTGAATCTGGTTCAGATCCATGCTTGGTTTTCGGATCAACAACTGGTTCGAGAGGTGACAACAAGTGTGCTCTGTTGATAGCCTTAGATCGCTTGGATTTCAAGATGTTTGCCATCTTTGCCAGAAATTCCAAGTACATCATTAGAATAAGGGGTGAATACGACGAAACCATTCTCCATCTTATTTGTAACTGTATCTATTATAATCAGGAAGAGGAAAAGATTCTTTATGATATGGCTGTCATTCTTGTTAAGGAATTATGTGTTGACATTACTGCTAAGGATGAAAATGGAAACACTTGTTTGCATCTTGCTTCTGGATCAGGAATGACAAACATAATAAGATTACTTTTATTATTTGGAGCTGATATTGATGCTGTTAATATTGATGGTTACCCTCCATTATTCATTGCCATTCACAACAAACAACTCAAAACAGCAAAATATCTTGTTCAAAGTGGCGCCAAGGCAAACTTCCAATTATCAAACGGTCAAACCATTCTTCATTTATTATATGATTTACAAGAGAAAAAGAAACATCTGTATATGAGTGAACTGAGCTTGGAAGAGATTCAATTTTTGGCTGGATTGTGTATTAATTCACTTGGAGTTAAGGAGACTCTAATGGATAAAAAGGGATTAACAATGAAAGATTATGCAATTCAAAACTCAATTCTAAAATACTATCCAGTTGTTAGAGCCGAAAGGCAACTTAAATAAATTTATTTATCATCAGGAATTTGTTTGAACAACCATTCAGCAAGATAATCAACAGGATCTTCTGGTTGCATTTGACACACTTCAATCAACCCTTTGGTAAGAACTGGAATGACATTTTCCATAAGGTAAACTCTAAGTGGTTGAGATTTGACTTCAAGCATGATTTTCTCTTGCTTTCTTATTTCTTCAAGTCTTTCAGCATCACTTCTTAATACTCTTTCTCTTTCTTCTGCTTGTTTTCTCTTTCTTTCCAAAGCATTTTGGTGCTTCTGTTGTTCTTGTTTTTGTTGTTCATCTTCTCTGGCAGCTCTTCTTCTCTCCTTTTCTTTTAATTCCTTCTCTGTTGGACCATAGTTGTGCGGCTTACCCAAAAACTCCTTAACTTCGGTCAGTATTTCTTTTTCATCTCTTTCAGTTTCAAAAACTACTTCCTTCGTTATACACTGTCTCTTTTGTTCAGTAACACATTCTTCAATATAGCCCAAAAGATATGTGGTTAAATTGTTAATATCGTTAGCCTTGTTAAAGGCTTCAAGTCTTCTCTTAAAACCATCTTGGTCATTGTGTCCTGGAGTTGGATCAGTTATATTGATTAATCTATCCTCCAAAACCTTCTCTTTACAATTGAAAATAATACAATAATCAGGGAACAAATGATCATCCACACCCTTTGGTTCATCATCTCCCTCTGCACGCTTAATAAAAAGAAGTTTAGCTTGCTCAACTGTTTTTGGGAATCCATCCAGTATCCAACCATGGTTCAACAACCTTGGTTGAGACAGTTTCCATCTAAACATTTCAGTAATTGCTGTATCATTATATCTTCCACTGTTCTCTTTCAAATCAAGAATGGCCTTGTATTTTTCAAATTCTTGTTTTGCAACAAAGATTGGTGAACCTTCCTCTTCTTCCTTATCCTCTTCTGCTGGTTCTTCTGGATCTTCTTCTTGAGGAGGTTCTTGGTTGTCTTCATCGTCATCTCCATCGTTTTTAGCTTCTTCTTGCTTTTTCTTCTTTTCTTCTAGCTCCTTCTTCTTTTGCAGTCTCAATTGTTTGGCGTGCTCAATCTTGTCTTTCTTTTCTTGAACAAGATTATGGTAGGTTGCTTCCTTCTCTTTCACCAATGCTTCAAAATCTGAAATTACAGAAGACGAGTTCACAACATCCAATCTATATTTTCTCTTCATTTGAGCAGAATAGTGGGATTTTCCTGCACCTGGTGGACCTATCATTAAAATTCTAAGAGGAGCAAGATTTCTCTTCTTTTCAAACTCTTGCTTGATTTTGTCGAAATTCTCAGCAAACCCCTCTTTGGAAACCCATTCAAAGGAGAATTCATTGACAGCACCAATGGCAAGTTTAACGTCAGCTGTGAAATATTCAAAGTAGTCATAAATTAAACACTCTTCTTCATCTAGCTTTTCAACCTTTCCATTAAATCCAAACTTTTGACTAATGCATTCAACTATTTGAGATTGAGTCAACTGGGATTCATCCACTGCAAGAAATGCTTGTTGATAATCATCCTCACCGTCCTTTGGTTGGGGTGGCTCTTCAATTGTTTTTTGAGTTATTGATACTAAATCTTGCACATGAATCATTGGAACATAATTTCCACCATCCAAAAAGACAGGCAATGAGTCACCTTCTCCATTCCAAGCCAATTTAAACCATTGATGTAATTTTTCTTCCTCTTCTCCATACAAAATTCCACAGAAGAACACAAAGGTTCTGAGATATTTTGATTTAGCTCTCATAACTCTCTTTTCAATTTCAACAAATCCTTTAAATGAGTTGTGAGGTTTTCTTGTGACAAATGCATCTTCAGTGAAAGCTTCATATGGCTTTCTTAATGGTTTTTCTGCTTCATCATCTTGATCTGCTTCAGTAAAACTTTTACGAGTCATTGCCCAAGACATACTTGTCGAGAGTAAGATCATTGTTTTAGGTTCATTGAATTCGGCAGCCTCAATAACTTTGATTGCAAATCTAGTATCATCAATATTACTCTCCTTCAATCTATATACAATTGCATCCACATCCATAAGTGCATTCCTAATTTCCTTCGGATCATTCTTTTTAAAGGTTGTAAACAATTATTTACATCACTATTAATCTTCCTTACCTGAATTAATTTATTTACGAATGGAATAGAGTCCTTTCCAGTTTTACTTGTTCCAATCACAAACTAGTTTATTGATAAATAAAAATTGTCGATCATGTTGATGACAATGATTCAATTGATAACCTACATTTTCCTCGGCATACAATCTCTCACAGAGGTACTTTTCGGCATAATCATCGGCCTCAAATACAAATACTTTCATTTTCTTTTGAAAACGTAAATATTTTTGGCGCGAAAACATCACCAGTTTATTGTCAGTCGAACAAGTTTCAATCCAAATCTCTGATAACAAATACATATTCATCGAGTTTCTTTTGATATTCTTCCCGGTCAATGGCTGCTAATTCAGCATACGGATTTTTCTCAGTTTCACTCAACTCTTTCCATATTTCTGCTAAAGCTTTCATTATCGTAATATTCGTAGTTTGTTCTTGCTTGCTTATCATTTCGTTTCTCATTTCCTCTCTTTTCTCCCTACAGTAAATCATATAAGATGACAATGGTCTCTTTATATTTGCTCTTTTCTTTACCATGTTAGGGAATAGTCCACATAAAACATCTTCAAAAACTGTATCTGGTTTTGAAAGATTAGTATTTGGTCGATTAATCTCACCATTATTGAAATATAATATTGATTGCTGTTCTTCTACAATATTTGGCAATCCAAAATCATCAAAAATAATCAAAATATCGTTTGAAACCTTTGCAACACTTGATAAAAGTTTAGAAATCTTTAACTTTTTCAAAATTTCATCCAATCTTTCTATTTGTTTTTCATTCAAAGGGCTCAATAATTTTTTAACTTGCTGAGCTATTCCATTCTTTTCAGATATATTGGAATGAAGAAACGATTGGAAACAATAACGAACCTAATTTGTACCTCATCTTGGAATTTGAAAACATAATGCAAAGGAAACATAAAAAAAACACATGACACTCAAACAGCACAACAAGGAAATAGCAATTCATCATCACAATCATCATAGTGAAGAGGATTTAGAGAGGATATATAAAAATTTTATTCCGATTCCCTTCTCTAGTGCACTTAGGGAAAGATTACAATTATTGTCACTCAATCCACCGATCGGATGTGTAGAAACAACACTCAGTGAACAATATTATTTTCATAGAATTAATGATAAAAACTTTCTGGGACATCATAATTTAGTATTGGCAGCAGATATTATTCCAAAAAGTGTCAAATTACAGGAGGGTACACAAGATGATATTGAAATAGTGAGAGCTGAAGGGGAGAAACTAAAGGAGAAATGTAAAAAGTGTATTGATATTCTGAAATATAGACATCCAATGTTGTGTGCCATTCCTACACTGAAGGATAAACTGAAGAAGAAAATCAATTCAAAGATTTCATCACATTCGGATAATATTGAAAAAGTTTTACACGAAATATGGACGAAAGAAATTGTACAATCACGTGGAACTATTCAATTCGAAATTGTGGATCAAATCACTGTGGATATTCAAGTATTATTGGATGAAAATTCGATAAATCCTGACAATATTGAAATCGAAAATGAAGAAGAGCTTGTAAAATTACTAATTAATCACGAGATTATTCATTCATGGGATATTTTACGAGATCCAAATTCAGTCCAAGCAATGTGGAGGTTGACCATCACAAAATCAAAACACACAGATGGGAAATGGGTGTGTTGTTTTACATTTTTTCATGCTCTTTGTGATGCTACGAGTATAAAAATCTTCCTTGAAGAGTTTGCCTCATTATTCGATTACATGTATGGAGAAGTACAGCTTGTCGATGTGGAAAAAGAGTTGATGGAGGTAAAGAGGAAAGCCTTAGAAAACATTCATTCTCTACTTCCACCCTCACCTATTCAAATTCTGGAAATGCTTAAATCAAAAACTGCTCCACAAAAAAAGAAGAATGATCAATCTCCAACAGAAACTAGCAGTAGCACCAGTAGCTCAACTAGCTCCACTCCAACTCACCACCATGCAGAGTCAGATATTCCTAAAAAACTTGGAAAACTTGGAGGATTATTATTCTATTCTAGATTTGTGAGTCAAGTGATTAGTTATAATGGTTTGTCTCCAATAATATCATTTCCACTAAAATCTCCCTATCCTGAGCCAGCACAGACTAAGGTTCTCATTCGACATACCAGTAAGTTAACACTTACCAAGTTGATTGAAAAAACCAAGACACTTGACCTCACAGTTACAGCAATAGTTCAATCGATTGGATGTTTGGCATGGGTTCTCTCTTCAAGGTCTTACAATGAAAAAGCGAGAGAAAAGACAACCTTTGGTTTTACTAATACCATAACAGTGGATTTTAGAGAAGGTATTCTCCTTCCACTCGGGAAACCAAAGGACATCTTTAGAAATTATTCCTCAGCACTTTTATCAACCACCAGATTGCACATTCCCCAAAACATATCCCCTAATAATGAATCGGATATTGATAAATTGATTGAAATAATATTAGATGGATCCTATCAAACGAGAAATTGTCTCAATAAGAAGTATCATGACACTCTATCTACCTATCAAATAGTTCACAAATTTCTGAAATTTGACATTAGTAAGAAGGAATCTTTCCAAATGGTATTCAGTAATATAGGTAAATTGGAGAATTTGACAGGACAGAATGTCAGATTTGAGCTCATCTCAGCGGCTTATTCTGCCATTGGCAACACGAATGGTATTTCCAATATTTTCTACACCAACTCAAGGACTGGAGAATTGATCTTTTCAATATGTTATCCAGAGAGCGTACATTACGAACATGTTCAAAGGTATTTGGAAAATATGATGACATGTTTGGAACTTTTTGCAAATCACACCTTAAGCCCTCTTCTTTTAAGAAAAACTGAAACCAAAGATATTGCCACTACTCCAGTAAAACCACATCAATAAAAGAAGAGAATAAGAGGCACCATAAAATTGTGAACATAATGTGATGTTATAAAGAGTTGATGATAGGATTAATAATATTAATTGAATTTCCCTCAAACCTGTGCTCAGTATGCTTAAACCTTGCCCCAAAAGAATTAATGAAAAATAAAAAATAAAAAATAAAATACATTAAAAAAATGCAAAAGCAACGTATCACAAACACCGCCAAAGCTGTTCTTCTTCAATCCGGCAAGAATGCTTTGAGCAAAAACATTTCTCCTTCATCGGCTTCAGTATTTTCACCTTGTTGTACAACACAAAAGAGATATTTACTCTGGGTTACCAAGGAAGAAGTTGATAAGAGTGGATACAAGACACCGATCCCTGAAAAAGATATTCCAAAGGAAGTGATTTATAATGGTCCAGAAACTTTGAAAGTAGCTTTTTGTTTGGAGAGGTTACCTCGTTTGGGTAATGATATGCACCCTATTGAGAAGGAAATGAACGAGCTTCAAAAACACAATAACAATTATTATGCCAGACATAAATGGCTCGATTATACCGAATATCACGAAGAATGGATGAAATTAAAGAAGAAGCAAGAGGTTAGTATTTTTCCATAATACATAATTCATCATAATAATAACAAAAACAGGGTCAAAAGAACGCTAAGAAGGAGGGTCCAGATGTTCACATTAAAGTACCAGACCCAGCTGAAATGACTGATAAACAAAAACTTGAATATGAAAGAACACAAGGTAAAGGATATATGACTGAAGGTACTGACTATTGGATAAAGAATTGGAAACCTCAACGAAGATGGACAAAGGATGATTTCAATGATAATAGAAAATCAATTAATAGACAATTAGAAAATAGACTCTATCTTATTTTCAAAGATAAGGAAACTGGTTTGTGGAAATTCCCAGAAACTGTTAGAACTAATCCACACACAATGAGATCAGCTGCTCAAGAATTTTTCGGTAAACAAATGCGTAATCGTGTAAATGGTCACTTTATCAGCTATTCACCAACAGCTCACTATGTGAATCCATCAAACCCACTTGAAAAGACTTTCTTCTATCGTGTTATTTATATCGGAGGTGTTCCACCTTTCAAGCAATTGGCTGAATACTCTGACCATGCTTGGGTTACCAGACATCAATTAGACGACTACAAATTTGTCGACGAACAATACAAGGATGTTGCCTTCCATATGCTTTTCGATGGTATGCAATACGTGAGTTACTAAGGTTTTATTGGCAAAGAATTTTACATGAGGAAAAAACAATAAAAAAATTATTTTGATTGATTTTTAAAATAAATAAATTTTGCAATTAGAAAAAAATGAGAGTTGTTTCATCTTTGAAGGTGTGTTATTTGAAAGGAGGAATTGTCATCATGTTTATTCAATAATTAATTTTAATCATTATTCGGAAAAACAGAAAATGTGCAAACAATGCCAAATTGTTAAGAGAGGAAAGAAGAAGGTCTACGTTATCTGCGAGGAAAATCAAAGACACAAACAAAGACAAGGTCGTTCAAAGGACGTTTACGGAATCTAAACGATTAAATTGTAGTAATTCTAGGATGAATAATTTTCTTCTTGATTTATCAAGTTGATTTTACGATGAAATTTATAAATACCAAAATTTATTGAATTAGCTTCTTCTCCCTCAAATACTTGTCAACATAATTTTCAATTTTCCCTTTGCTGGATTCATGTTTGAGAGTTTCCATTGTCTCTTGTGGAGCAATTTTTTGAACTAGTTTTTGACTAATCGTTCGCTTTTCTTCTTCTTTCAATTTAACCACCAGAGCTACCTTGGCATAAACAATTTCGTATACTAATTGTTCTTTTGGTGGTAAAGTTGGATGTGGTACAATTGGATTGATAGAAGTCTGTTTTGGTTTGTTGGAACCATATTGTTCTACTATTAAATCCTTTGCAGCTTCATAGAAAGTATCTTCGTATTGGATTTTCAAGCGTGGAAGTTTAAGGCTTGACTCCCTTCTATATCTTTCTTGCTCTGGATCTCGATATCTGAATCTAAAGTAATCATTTTCGTGTCTATGATCTCTATTTTCTCTATTATCTCTGTGATCTCTGTTTTCTCTATTTTCTCTATTGTGATAATGATCTGATTGTGCTTGGTGGGAATTGTTACTTTGGCTATGAGGTTGTGAATGGTTATTGTGGGATTGATTTGAAGGTTCTGGATGGGTTTGTTGTGGTTGAGGCAAATTATTAGTTTGACCAGATTGGGATGGTTGAGATGATTCAATTCTCTTCTTTGGAATTTTAGAAATTTCCTTTCCAGACGAGTTTGAGTTGTTGGTTGTAATAGTTGTACTACTCGGCTGAGTAACTGAGTGATCTTTCTCCTTTGTTACAGTTGAAGAAACTTTTGCTGAAGAAGGTTCTTCCTTAGGTTTTTGAGGTGGCTCAACTTTTTGAATTTCTTTTTCCATTAATGGTTGAGTTTCTGGTTGTTTTTTTGGTGCAACTGTTTCACTAGGTCTAGAGGAGGAGTTTGTTGGAGTGGTTTCGGTGAGCTTTGGCTTTTTTGTTTCTGGTTCAACAGTTTTGGCAGGTTCATCAGCAACAGTAACAGTTTCAGGTTTGGATTCCTTTTTTTCCAACACTTCTTTTTCCTTTGGAATGGTCTCTGAAACTTTTCGTTTCTTATCCTCGGTTGGTAAAGGTTTTGATTTTTCCTCGCTTAATGGTACACTGATTGGCTTTTTGGGTGCCTCTTTTTTAATCGGTTCAGAAATTGGTTTTTTGGCTTGTTTTTCCGAATTCCTCCTCAGGTTTCTTGTTGGTTTTACTTCTTCCTCATCACTCATTTCATCATCTAATTCCAAGCTATCCACATTCATTACTTCCTCATCACTTTCCTCTTTTGGTACACTTTTTGGCACAGGTTTTTCCACATTTTGTAACTTGCTATTTTCGTGACGTTTCAAAATTCTTGTAATTAATTCTGGCTGTTTGTCACTAGCATTACTATTATTTGTTTCTTGCTTAGGATTAGTCCCCTTTGTTTCTTTTATCGCTTTCGGCTGTTCTACAACTGGTGTTGTCACTTTCTTGATTTCCTTGGGCTTTTTTGATGTTCTCCTTGTAGATTTTGGAACTTGTTGGACTGGTGGTGTTAGTGTTGATGTTGGAGTATTATCCACTACTGGATTATCTATTTTACTGCTTGGAGGAGGTTTTGTTTCTTCCTGTACTACTGGCTTAGGTTGTTCCTTAGCTTCTGATGGTGAGATTATGGGTTGTTTAACTTCCGTAGTTTGTGGTGTTGTGGGTGTTTCAACTTCTTTTTTATGGAATTTCCTTTTTCTTGTTGTTTTTTGCTCGGAAGGTGTTACAGGAGTTATTGGTTCTTTTGTTGTTGGTTCATCTTGTTGTTTTGTTGTATTTACTTGTTCATTTGTTATTGCTTCCGATGATGGGAATTGTGGAGTTTCTTCGCTCGAGCTTGTTGGAGTTGCAACAACTTTAGACCTCTTTAATTTTCTCCTTGTAGTGTTATTTGTAGGTGATGATTGATCATTCTTTGTGGCCTCTGATGTTGAAGGTCGAGAGGTGTCGATTGTCGGAGGTCTCTCTTTTGGCATTTTTTTTAAAATGTAAAATTGGCGTGAAGAATTGTGTTAAGAATTATCTATTCATTTATTCACACAATTTACATATTTTACAAGTTATTTAAAGTTTCTGAGTCCCTTTTTGATTGGGAAGTTCTTTTCACTGGTACTATCAGAAAATTCACCAGGTTGAGTTCTCTTTGGTTGTTGCTGTTCCATGGTCTTGAGCTGCAATTCTTCTTCCATTTGTTTATGTTTTCTCAATTCTTCATCTTTCTTTCTCAATTCTTGAGTTAATCTTCTCTCTTCTTCTTCTAATTGTTGTCTGGCAAATTCTTCCATTTCACGTTTGGCTTTGAGCTCAACTTCGCTCATTAATTTCTTGAATTTCAATGTTGTGGTCTTGTGATATTCTAATTTCCACATATCCATACTATGTTGCATACTAGCAATTTGTTGTTGGAGTTTCATAATTTCTTTTTCAGTTTCTTCCTTCTTATTTCTTTCGAGTTCAAGTTGTTTGATTGTTTCTTCTATTTGTGCTTTACTGTATTCTCTAATTTCTTCTGTTTGTTTTTCAAATCTGGCTCTCATTTCTTCTTCCTTTTCAATTCTCATTTGTTCTAATCTTCTTTCCTTTTCTAAGGAGGCAAGATTTCTTCTTTGATCATCATCAAGGAGAAGCATTTCTCTTTCTTTAAGGATTTCTTCCATTTGCTTTTCTTTTTCTTTCAGAGTTTCATTATACTTCTCTCTAACTAGGAGTTCATAATTCATTCTCTCTTGTTGCATTTGCTTTCTAGCTTCTTCAATTTCCTTATTTCTGTCATCCAACTTCTTTTCTAAAGAGGATTGAACTTCGGCCAGAATCTTTTCATATTTAGCTTTGGTTTTTTGTTCAAAATCTAGCTTTGCAAGATCCATGACAGTGGATTTTTCTTGGAATTGCTTTTTAATTTCAGCAATATCAACATCAAAACACTTTTTGACAGCGTCAAGCTTCTTGTCATAACTCTTTTCAATTTCAAGCTTCTCTTGATAAACAGAGTCTTTGACTCTTTGAATTTCTTCTTCTAAAAGACCATTTAGTTTGGATCTATTTTCTTCCTCTTCTTTTCTAATGCTTTGAATAATTTCGATATGTTCATTCTCCAATTCCTTTTGCTTAGTGAAGTATTGATCTCTTACTGCAAGCTCGTATTGAGTTCTATTTTCTTGTTCTAATAGTCTTTGTTGTCTACTTTCGTCATGAAGCTTGGTAATCTCTTCATCATGGAACTTCTTGAGAATGTCTAATTCACTTCTCCACTTTTCGTCAACAGATTTAACTCTACTTTCATATCTAAGTTGGATATCTTCTTCGTATTTTTGTTGTTCAATACGTGAAGCAATTTCAAGTTCTCTAATTTGATCTTCGAACCTCTTATTGAGATCGGCCTTAAAGTGCATTTCATTAACTTCAAATTCTCTTCTAATTGCTTCTTCTGATTGGTCAAGAATCTTCTTGTATTTTTGAGATATTTGCTCATCTAAATCGGCTGTGATTTGAGTAATTTCAGCTTCTCTCTTTCTCATATCTTCACTGAATTTATCCTTTTCAGCTACCATTTCTCTATCCTTTTGTCTAATCTTGTTTTCATATTCTTCCACTAGTTGTTTGAATTTTTCATCAAAAGACTTTCTCATTTTTTCTTCAGACTCGGCAGCTTGTTCTCTAGCTAATTGTTTTCTTTCAATGTCTCTTCTTTCGAGATTATCTCTTTCTTGATCTACCATAGCCTGTATTTGTTCTATACGGGCAACATGAACTCTTTCTTGTTCTTCTGCAATCTTTTCATATTTGGATCTAATCTTTTGTTCAAGGATATCCTTTTCAACATCAAAGGATTTTCTATCTTCAATGCGTTTTCTTTCTCTTTCTTCCAAATCCTTTCTCATACGGTCCTTAATATTTTCTTCCATGAGTTTAATTCTTTGGAGCTCTTCTTTGATATTTTCTTCAAACTTCTTCTTGGCATACTCTTCATATTCAATTCTAGCAAGGTCATTTGCCAAAGTCTTTTCTCTGATTGACTCTGATACAGCCTCAAGTTCAAGATGGAATTGTTCTTCCTTCATCTTGATTGTTTGGGTGTGTATTTCTTGGAACTTGATAAGCTGATCTTCGATTTCCTTTCTATATTGATTTTGTAAGACAAGTAATTCACCATCTTGTTCTTCTTTTCTTTTAATGAATTCCTTGATGAGTTTGTCATGTTCAGAATTGAAATTATCAGTGGCTTCTTCAATCATTGTCTTGTAGTGCTTTTGAGCATCTTCCAAGATAATGTTGTACTTTTCTCTGACAACATGTTCATAATCAATCTTGTATTCCTCCAATTTTCTTTCCTTTTCTGAAAGCTCAACCTTTTCCAAATGTCTTTCCTCATTAATCTTTTGTTGGAGGGTTTCAATGATTTCATTACACTTTTTCTTTTCCAAATCCAAAAGTTGATCAAGTTTTTGTCTAGTATCTTCTTCGGATTTGATTCTTTCCCTGTGTAATTCAGTTTCTCTTTCAATGAAGGTTTGCTCTCTGGCTACCCATTCAGATTTTTCGGTCTCAACTCTTTCCTTTAACATGACATTAATTTCCTCTTGGACCTTTTGGATGAGAGAATTATATTTCTCTCTAATTTCAGCTTCATAGGCAATCTTTTCTTGTCTAATTTCTTGAATTCTGTCTGAAAGAGCAATATTCATTTGTTCTCTTTCCTTTTCTAATTTCATTTTTTCTTCATTAATTTGGAGCTCCATAGCAGCTTGCTTGTTATTGAATAATTGGAAGAAGTAGTCTCTTGTTCTATCTTCAAACTCAATTCTTGCTAGATCATTAGTATTCATTCTCTCTTGTTCCTTAACAAATCTGTTATTCCATTCGTTTTGTAGTTGTAGTTCTCTATCTTCAATGGCTTTGCGAAGAACTCCATCCAACTCTACATATCTATCTTCGTATTGTTTTCTAATATTTTCTTCGTGAGAAATCAATCTTCTTTCCATTTCCAAGCTGTTTTCTTGGGCTGCCTTTTGCAAAGTTGCTCTATCTTGCTCAAGAGCCTTCTTCAGTTCTTCAATAACAGAGTCATGGTGAGCAATCAATTCTCTCTTTTCTTTTTCAAAGTTAGATTTGCAATCTCTTTCAAATCTTTGATATTTAGCATTCAAATCTCTTTCTTTTTCTGTTAATTGTTGGAGAAGTGCATTCTTTTCTTCATCTAATTGAGATCTAAGCTTTCTCATTTCAGCTTGCGTCTTGTTGAGATTATCCATGATAATAACTTCATACTTATTCTTGATTTGATCTTCATATTGAATAATCTTGGTTTCGAATTCTCTCTCCTTTTGAAGCCATTCATCCTGTCTTTCAGCCCACTTCTTTTGATCCGCCATCTTTTGGCTTTCGTGATCGGCCTTTAATTGATTCTCTTTTTCTTCAGAAATTCTCATGTACTTATTTCTAACAGACTCTTCATAATCCAACTTGCTCTTTTCGAGTATTCTTTGTCTCTCGTTGAATAATTCAATATTAGAATCGATTTCCTTCTTAAATTGTTTTTCCATTTGAGATTTATCTTTAAGGATTTCATTTCTTTCTTTTTCCAAAATTTCCTCATATCTTCTTCTAGTTTGTTGCTCATACTCAAGTCTTTGAGAATCCATAATTTGCAATTCATTTCTGAGTTTGTCTATTTCAGTTTCTAACTTTTGCTTATCCTTCTTGTATCTATTTTCTGCTTCAGAAAGAAGGGCAATATACTTTCCTTCCAATTCTCTTTCTAACAGGTTATACTTTTCTCTCAATCGAGATTCAAATTCAAGCTTGTCTCTTTCAATTGATTCTACCTCCTTAGATCTTGATTTCTTCATATCTTCAATTTCGGTTTGGTATTGGAAATCCTTTTGTTTGAGCATATCTTTATATCTTTGATCTTGTTCTTGTCTCAAAGAATCATACTTTTCTCTGATAGTCTTTTCATAAGAAATAGTGACCAAGTCGAACTGCTTTTGAAGTTCATTCTGTCTCTTAGTGAGTAGGTCTCTTTCTTCTTCAATTTCTTTCTTTACAGTTTGAAGATTCTTTTCTTGTTCTTCTTCAACTTGACTCATAATCATATTGTATTTGGCACGAATTTCTTCCTCATAAGCTTTTCTTCTTTCTTCAAATATTCTAATTCTATTTCTTTCATTATTTTCAGTTTCATACATTCTTCTTTCAATTTCTTCTGTTTGTAGTTTAATATTTGCTGCAACAATTGAGGCTCTTTGTTGGAATTCATTTTCCATCTCCTCACGAAGATGCTTTTCAAATACAATTCTGTCCTCCTTTTCTCTCAATGCTCTGTCATTCATTTCTTTCATGAATCTGTTTCGTTCTTTTTCAAGAATTTCGTTCACTTCCAAGATTCTAGCATCTGTTGCATGTTCTAGCTTTACTCTAAGTGTGTCAACGCTTGCTCTTAATTCCTTTTCCTTGATTCTCAAATGTTCATCAACTTCTTGCTTGTACAGGGTCTTTTCTTCATGAAGCTTTCTAATAAGGTCATTATAGTATGTTTCCAATTTCTGCTTTTCTCTTCTGGCATCTTCCTCAACCTTTTTCACAAGTTCTAGAGCTCTTTCTCTAGCATCTTGTTCGAAGAGTCTCTTGTCTTCTTCCATTCTAACCAACTTGGCGTTCAACTCTTCCATTTCTTTCTGTCTTTCCTCTCTTTCCTTCTTTTCCTTCTCAAGTAACTCTTGTCTTACCTTGAGAGTATATTCTTGAAGAAGATGTGTATATCTCATCTTGGACTCTTCCTCATATTGCATTTTAGCAAACTCTGTTTGTCTTTGGGTATCAAGCAATTTTTCTTCATACATTCTCTGAAGTTCCTTTTCTCTCTTACCCATTGAATCAATAATAGACTTTTCTTCATCAAGTCTATTTTTCAAATTTCTAATGATATCATTGTAATGAGTTTCTGTTTCTTCAGCTGCCATTTGGAACTTTTCATGAATTCTGTCTTCCATCTTCTTTCTTTCATCTTCCAATTGCTTCTTAAGTTTAATCTCAAATTGAAGTTTTTCACTTTCAAATTCAATTTCTTGTTGCATTCTCTTATGGGTTTCTCTCTTAGAGTCGCCATTCATTTGTTCAACAAGTCTATTGTACTTTTCAGTCATTTGTCTATCAACCTCATCTCTTTCCTTTCTTAGTGACAATTCTGTTTCATTGAGTTTGTTCTCATATTCCTCTCTCTGTGTCTTGAGAGTTTGTTTTAATGATTCAACTTGTGTAAGATAATATTGTTCCTTTTCTCTGAACATCTTACTATAATTGTCTCGTATACTATTTTCATATTCACCCCTCTTTGAGTCGTTATTGAAAAGGCTGTCTTGTGTTTCCTTTCTGATACTTTGAACACGTTCCTCGGTTTGGGCAATTATCTTTTCCTTTTCTTCTTTGAACAATTTTTCTTTTTCTCTTAAAATCTTTTCATTTTCGATTCTAACTCTTTCTTGGTATTTCATCTTTTCATCTTCCATTAACTTTTGAAGTTCAATCTTTTCTTGTTCGAGTTTTCTTCTCAACTCAATTTCATTTTCTTGATATTCTTTTTGTCTCTTCTCAAATTGGGTAGATATTTCTCTAATTCTAGTATCGTAATCCTCTCTAATCTTTCTTTCAAAGGAAAGTTTTTCGTATTCAATTTCTTCCTTCTTGAGTTTTACATCACTATCCCTACGTTCTAATGAGGACTCCAAAGTTTTCTTTGCTTCTTCAAGTTTTCTTTCGAATTGTTCTTCAAGTTCCTTTCTCTTATCTATTATCTTGGTTTGCATTTCCTTTTCAAGGAATCTCTTTTCGTCATTCAATTTTTGAACTCTTTCCTCATAGTCGAACTTCAGCTTTGTTTCAAGTTCTTGGTGAGACTTTCTTACTTCATCAATTTCTCTATTAGTAGTCATTCTAATGAGGTTTAATTTTTCTTCATATCTTCGTCTCATATCTTCAATTTCCCTTTGATTTTTATCCTTTTCTTCAAGAACACGTTTACCTTCCTCCTTGGAAATTCTTTCCCACTGACTGTACAAATCACCTCTAAGTTGTTCAATATGATTAATTGATTCTTGTAATTTTTCGTGTTTGATTCCTTCTACCTTTCTCAGAAGATCTTTTTCTTGGAGTTTAATGTTATTTCTTTGCTCATGCATTTCTTTTTCAAACTCTTCTTCTTTTTTGGCAAATTCTAAATCAATTTCTCTCTTCTTTTCCAAGAGCTCTCTATCCAAGTTTCGTTTGTATTCTTCCTTAAATATCTCATACTTTGATTTGATATCTTCTTCGAACTCTCTTCTCTTTTTAGCTTCTTCCTCGGTTCTTTCTCTGTCTCTTCTGGCTTGTTCTTCAACATCTCTAAGCTTTTCTTGAGTGATTCTATCGGATTCTTTCTTCATCTTTTCTTCGAATTCCTTGATAACATTCATTGCCTTTTCCATTGCTTGTTTTTCAAAAAGAGTTCTTTCCTCTTTTTCAACTCTTAATTTGTCAAGAGCATCACGAGAAATGTTGGCAAGTTGTTTCTTTTGGTCATCAGACTGCACTTCACCTTTCTTTTCGAGTTGCTTTTCAAATTCCATAATCATGGATTTAGTCTTCATGAAAATATCATTTTCAAAGTCCTTCTTTTCACTAATGACCTTGTGAGAAAGATCTAATCTAGCCTTATCGAGTTCATCTCTCAACATCATTTCCTTGAGTCGAAGTTCATCCTTCTTCGATTCAACTTCTGCCTCTAATTGACTCTTCATCTTTTCAAACCTAGCGTTAACAGTTTCTTCGAAAACCTTCTTTTCATTGTCCATCTTGTCACGAAGCCTCTTGAACTCTAGATTCTTTTTCTCTTCATTTTCAAGTTTGGCTTCTTCCAATTCTTTCTTTAATTGTTCGTATTCGTTTTTGAGTTCTTTCTCTCTTTCCTTCAAAAGATTATCTTGCTCTTGTCTAAGAACAAAATCTTTCTTCTTAATATTGAGATTGTAGTCTCTCATTAAATCATCGGCTTTTTGTTGTGCTAATAATGGTAATGATTTGTTAAGGGAGTCAATTTCACTTCTGAACTCAACTTCCTTTTCTTGAAATCTGGCCATTTCTTCTAACAACTTAGCTTCAGCATCTTCAGCTCTTTTTCGGAGAAGTTCTGCTCTTTCGTCAATATTCTTACTCATTTCAACTCTTTGCAAATAGTTCTTTTTTTGAAGATCTTCTATTTGGAGTTGATATTGTCGAACCTTAAGTTGATATTCTTCTTCGGCCACTTTTCTAGCAGCTTCTTGCTTTTCAAGAAAATCTCTTTCATAGAGAAGTTTTTGATTTGCCATTTCTTCCTTTAGTTTTTCAACTTCTTTTCCAGCGAAAGATGCCATTTCTTTATATTTCTTCATAAGCTCTTCGGCCTTTCTGTACACTTCTTCTTGGGCTCTTTGGGATTGTTCCTTATGTTTGGTGATAATATCTTCAGCCTTCTTCATAATTCTTTGTTCAAACTCGGCCTTTTCATTTTCCTTAAGAGTGATTAGCTGAAGATGTCTTTGTTCACCTTCTTCCCTTAATTTATCTAGTAGAGACTGCATCTCTTCATCTTGTTTAAGCTTACTATTATCATAGGTCTGTTTCAAAGACTTCATGGATGGAGAAGGAAAACTTTCCCGCACTGGAATATTTGGGTGAGCTTTCTTTGATGAGGAAGGAGTTGGAGTTATACTAGGCTTTGGGGTTTCCTTTGTAGTCTCTCTTGGTGTTTCTCTTCCTTTTACTGTATCAATTCTCTTCTTAGGGGAGGGTGTTACAGGAAGAAAGTTTTCATCGTCAATAAAACTACCTTGATCATCAGCCCTATCTACATCCGACGAAAGGTTTTTATACTTTTTATAGTGTTCCAACCTTTGTTGCATGAGAGCATCTCTTGTTGGAGAGGCCTTTCGTTTGTTGTTATCGTCCTTATTAACATCGTACATCGTCGTTTATTCTCTAGTGTTTTTCGCAAATAACGATCGATCAATATCAATAAGGTTTGTAAGGAAAAGAATGAGTATTTTTTTTAAAGATGTAACTGTAGAATTTTGGTGGCATTTAACGCTCTGTGTGAAGCTTGTTTGTCCTCAACTGTAATAAGAAATGACGAAGCATTTAACGTCCACCAAAATTGAATTCTATAGTAACAAATATTCTGAAACCTCACAACCCCAAATTAGTTCTCAAACGTGTTATTTATTGTTGTTGTGTCTGGGGCTGTGAGGTTTCAGTTCGAAGCTTTTTAACTTCCTTAATTAAAAGCTTCTTGTGATGACCTAATTCCTCATTTTCTGTTTCTAATTCTTGAATTCTCTTTCTGAGGTCTTCATTTTCTTGTTCAAACTCTTGAATTTGTGTTTCGGTTTGTTTGATGAGATCCTCCTGATCCTGTTGTACATTCTTCACTTTTCCAGTGATATTTTCCAATTCTATATACATCTTTTCCATTGTTGACTTTAATCCTTTCAATCTTTCGACTGGGTTCATCAAATCAGCTACTGTCGAAGGAGCAAGTATGGCTGTTGGATCAAAGGTTGGCTTAACGTTCTCGCTTTCTGAATCACTAGTATCAAATCCAGAATCTGAGAAATCATCGTCACTAGAAGTTGCTTTTTTCTTTCGTGATGATGGTGTTGAAGTTACTTCCTTAGTTTCTTGATTTGGTTCGACTGTTTCAAGAGTGGAAGATTCGAGTTCTCGTTTAAGATTTGAAATTGAGGATAGTAATTTTACAAAATTAGAGTCAATCTGTTGTAATATCATTAGAGATTCATCCTTTTGTTTTTGAAGTCTATCAATTTTCTCCTTTTCAAAAGAATTTACAGTTGAATTTTCCATATTCTTTGGACCACTATTTTCTGATGAATCCAATTTAAACATATTTTCTGGTTGGTTTGTTGGTGAGTTACCATTCACAGCTACACTTCTCTTTCTTGCTGTTGCCTGTTGGGCTAGCTTTTCTTTGGAAGCACTCAATGTCATTACTTTATCAATAGCTCTTAACCATGCTGTTTTCTCTTCGGGAGAATCTGCAGCAAGTAAGAAACGTTTAGCTCCAGATCTCAATGTGAATCCATATCCGACACTTTCCGATATTTCTGCAGACTTGTTGAGAAAAGCATTCGATTTCAAGTAGATAATTCCTAGGGGATGGTCCAAATCATTTTTATCTTTAAAGTAGAATAAATAACCATCTTTCGAATTGTTATTGTTTAGTTAGGTTCCTGCTGTTTTTTTCTTAGTACATACCTGATACCAATACAAAGTAACGTTTTTTGAAAGTCTTATACTTTTGTCCTCTCTTTTTTAATTATAATTGTTGAATTAAAGACTAAACTAAAATACAAACCTTTACAAGAATACCTGTCTTTATAGTGTCCGGATGTTTGTCTATTCTATCATCGTCGATTATATTCACTGTCGAGTCATCACCAGTAGAATTAAACATTTTTTATTAAAGCTAAATAACGAATGATTTTATTGTTACTTATCAACATCAAATTTCACAACAAAAAGAGCTAAGTAAGTCATCAAACATTGTAATCATGAATGTTTCCCAAGTACCCTGAAGTAATTAAATGATGCACTCAATTCCAATTGTTTTCCAGAAATTAGAAACTTTAGAATACTACTCACGGTTGCAATAAGAGGCTTACCAGAAAACAATTTAGGAGAAATGGATGTTGTTCAAATAATTAAAAAAATATTTTGACAACATCACTTACCTTCTGCTTGTTTAATAGTTCCGAATCAAAAATTTATTTTAATGGTTTTTAAAGAGTGGGTAAGGAGTTTAATCAACAATTTGTGAAAATTAACATGTTAAATAGTTTAAAGTAAGAGATGGTCAACGTTTTTTGGAAAATAAGAACAACAAGGAGAAATCTTTGGATGGTCTCTATGGAGCTTTGAATATGTTGGATGATAAACATTTGGAAAAATTGAGGATTGTAATGTTTGGAGGCATTGCTTCTTCTATCACAAAAACACTCTATGCCCCGATAGAAAGATTAAAAATTGAACTACAAACATGTAGACATTTGAGGAGGCAAATCAGAAATCAAGCTGCTGCATCGGAAATCATTACCTATGCACTCATTGGTAGCTCGACAGTTTCTATGGATGTTGCAAAATTGGTGAGGACCAAGGGAATTGTTGGATATATGAAACATGTGGCAGAAAATGAGGGTTGGACAAGTCTTTTCAGAGGAAATGGATTGAATATAACTAGAGTAATACCAACAAGGTTTGTTTTGGATTGCTTAGTCATTCTTAATCAGACCTCTATCAAGTTTTATGAAGTTTGCGTTTTTTGACATTTACAGACATCTCAGTACTCACATTTTCACAAGCTCACAAGTTTTGTCAAAGCTTCCAGAATATGAAAAGGATTTTTTAATAGTGTTCACATCAGCCTTAATGAGTGGTATCAATTTGACAGTATTTGCCTATCCACTCGATCTTGTTCGTACCAGATTGACTGTTATCAAGTATTACAGCAAGTACCACGTAAAATCATCCTACTTTCCGTACTTTGGAAGTGCCTATCGGTGCGTGAGAGAATTGTTGAAACATGAAGGGATGTTTGCTTTATGGAAAGGAATGGGAGCCTCAATGGTTGGTATGTTTTTATTTTAAAATTGGAGGATTGACTTTTACAGGTATTGTCCCCTATGTGACGTGCTCAATAACGACTTATGAGTTATTGAAAAAAAACACCCACAGTAGGATTGAGGAGCTCAATGGAGGGCAAATTGAAAAAGGAAGTTTATTGGACCACAGTCTCAAGCTCAGTTACGGAACTATTAGCTCTTTTCTAGGGAAGACATTGTCTTATCCTGCTGACACAGTAAGGAGACGAAGACAATTGATGGGTACAATGCCTTCAGTTATTGACTCTGCTGTTATATCTCATTCTGATATTCATGACAGAAGTTTACCAAAACCCAATCTTATCAAATTGGAGGCTGACGAATTTTCAAGTGGAATAACAAGATATGGCAGTACCTCTATCAAGACGGAAGGAAGTGCGTCAACAAGTGCCTTAGAACCACTCTTTACTCAGAAAGGACAACCAATGTACAAGAATACTATGCATGCTTTCAAGAGAATCATTCAAGAGGAAGGAATGGGTAAGTTTTTTAAAATTACCAACATTAATATAAACCTCATCAGCTGCCCTATTCAGAGGATGGCGATTGAATGCCCTAAGGGTGTTTCCAGGTCATGCCATTCATTTTGTTCTTTATGAAGAGCTTAAACGAATGTTTGGCTATGATAAAACTCTCATAACAGATGATGAAGATGATGATGATGACGATGATCTTTGATTCATCATTATTGATCCACAGTAGCAAATTCTCTCTTTGGTATTTGCTTTATACAAAACCTCACACACCACCAGCAAGAGAATTTTGTAAGTCAGTTCTTCGGGGTACTGTTCCTTGTTTGCATCGATGGACCTCAATTAAGAAGCTTGAATTATCTTTTAAGAGAAGGATACGACTCGTTTTGTGCTAAATACGAGAGAGACACACAAGTTGCCTCTTAACTCAGGGAGATTATATTATTACGATTCAACGATTGATGATAGAGAACAGCCAACACAACACTGTCTCTTGGGCAAGTTTTTTGGGGACACTTTCAAAGAAAAAACAAACCTACCACTCTTTCCCTGTACGTCTACAAGAGTTTGTAAATTATCAAAATGCCTATCAATCCTTCCATGCTCAAGAAAGAAAACTATCATAGAGAAACATATCGAAATATCTTTGATATGTTCGACAGTGATATGGATGGTTTATTGGATGAGCACGATTTAATGTTAGTTTTTACCAAGTTGGGAAGAACAACAGAAACAAACGGAAAGGAAATATCTGATCTCATCAATGACCTTAATTCATCCTCTGATAAAAACGGAATAACCTTTGATCAATTTGTAGAATTAATTGGAGAAAGTGAAGATGAGAGTAAGGGCAACAAACTTTTATCATTCCTTACAAGTAAAAAGTCTAAAAAGGTTGCCGGAATGCATACCGAGAATGACTTGAAGGAAGCCTTTAATTTGTTTGATGAAAACAAAGATGGAGAAATTACAAAACAAGAATTTAGATCAATGATTTATAAACTTCAAGGATTGGGAAATATTTCCGAGTCTGCACCAGGTAATGTTTCGATGAGCGATGCAGAGATTGATTATTTATTCTCAATTGTTGATACAGCAAATAAGGGAGCATTGAATTTTGAACAATTTGTATCACTCTTCACCAAGTCAATGATCTAATAAAAAATTAAATTTAAAAAACAATTGTAAATATGAAATTTCTAGAATATTATAACAACAATAGATTCATACACGATATTATCAGCCCTCTGTTCTTTGGAATTTCCTAGTTCTTTATCGAAATGCGTTCTTCTTTTGACCAACCTGTCGTACGTTTGTACTCATTAGCAGGCTAGAAAAAATAGATCGACACGTTATTCTTTACTGCTGTCGACCAATTTGACTCGAAAAAGACAACTTGAAATAGACTTCAAATAACAGTGGCACTTCGGATCGGTTTAAAATGTTCAGAAAGAAGCAAATAGAAAAGCAACAAGTTGCTGCTGTGGCAGCTGCAGCTGATAGCCCACAATCATCATCACCAAAACCAACACTTCTCTCCAAAATTCAAATTCAGGATTTAATACAAAAAGAATTATCTTTACCCATTGAAAAACATTACGTTGCTGAGGAGGAAATTAATGGAAAAGGTGACGATTGTTCTATTTCTTCCTTATCAACCGGAACAACGAACTACTTTCTCTACATTTCTGCAGACATTAATTTACCAGACATTAATAACTTCCTCTACATTGAAATTCGTCTCTCCACTCAAATCATCACACCAGTGCAAAAACTTCAAGTTAGTGCAATGAAAGATGGCAGATTTTCAAAACTATCTTCAGAAAATGATGACGATGACACTCCTTGTGAACAATCAATCCATCTTCCTTCTGAAAATTCTCCAAACTATACCCACTACAAATTTGGATTGACAGTACCACTTGAATACCCAACTAAAGGATTTATTGTTCAATTACTTTCTTCGTATGGAAGAGGAATATCTGAAAATAATGTGACAAATCAATCAGTCCAAAGTGCTGCCGGTGCAAAAATGTTTGAAGATAATTTACATCAAAACTTTATCAAATTGGAATTACAGAAAGTTCTCTCTGATAACATTTTTTCATTTCCAGAGCTTGTAAAACGTTTGAGGAAAATCGTGTTTGATGCAGAAAAGAAGACATTTGAGTCACAAAAAACTGATGCTCTTTCTATGATTGTTGGAGACAATAGAGAAGCCTTATCAATGTTAGAAAGAATGTATTTTTTACCAGATTATGATTTAGTTGTGACAGAAGATAAAGTCATTGATAGAAGACATAATTATGTAATGAGACAATGCCTGTTTAATAATCAACAGTATGCAGTGAGAACAGTTATTTTCTCAAAACCAGAACAATTAGAATCATGGAAGAGAGAGGCTCTTCTCTTATGTACACTAAAACATCCATCAATTGTGGACCATATTGGATATGGTTTGCGACAGGAAAAATTTCAATTTAAAATCTTGATGGAGCATTGTAAAAATGGATTTCTTTATGATGTACTTTTTAAACCACCACCGAAAAAGAAGAGTTCAGAAACTATTAACCATACCAAAGAGAATCTAAAGCAAAGGAATAATATTTATAGGGTTGCCATTAGTGCAGCTAATGCATTGCATTTCTTACATGTCGACAAGAAGATGATTTGTGTTAATGTTAGCTCAGCTAACATTATGCTTTCGGATGACTATGATTGTAAATTCTTGGTTGATTCTAGCACATGTTATGTTTGCAACACTACTGCTTCTGCTCCAACATGTGGAGAGTGTGGTATGCTGATAATTCCACACTCACTGATCAAATATTATAACCCTAACGTTAGTGCAGCAGAGCATGCTGTAATGGTACAATACAAATCACCTGAGCAAATTCTACTTGCTAAGGGGAAATATCCACTTAGCTCAGCAGTGGATATATTTGCATTTGGTATTGTTTTGTATGAAATATTTACACATATCAATCCTTGGAAGGGCAACAATCCACAAGTAATATTGGACAGAGTTTCAAAAGGTGAAAGACCAGAACTTTCTCCAAATATGATACTTGTTAAAGAGCAAAATGAAATAGTCAATCTAATTTCTTGGTGTTGGAAACAAGATCCTCTGGAGAGACCAACTATTTCACAAGTTCTTCAAATTCTCAAATCACTGTTTGCTGCAAATCAATAAATTATTTAATGTTCTTAAGCTTTCAGAATTTCATACGAATTGAGATTTTGATTTTGAGGTTTTTCTTCAGAGTTACTTGTTGAAGGCTTTGGTGAAATAGGCTCTGTTGTGGCAGCTTCAGTTTGGCCTGTTAGCACGGGTTGACCTTTTGCCTTAGATCTGTTTGGTTTACCTTCATACCTCTTTTTTGAAATTACGAGTTTAAAACCATTACTATCACACTCCTCGATAGGTGCTCCATTAAACTTGTCACCCAAAATCCGTTTGATTTTCTCGATCCTTTTAAGTTCTTCCTCTTGTGTAAGCTTATCAATTCTGTCTTTTAACAATTGTTGAAGTTGTTGGTATCGTGCAGAATTGGTCAACACTTCACTCAAGAGAACAAGAGGCCTTCTTGCTTCTGATTTTTTCCTCAAAACAGCAACTCGTCTAAGTGGTTCAGGATCTACACCTCTAGATAGTATTCTATAATAGTCAGTAATGTTGTGTTCCAAATGTCTAAGTTTTTTCTTTCCAGGTGGAAAGATGAATTGTGCTTCATCTTCATCTGATAATAATAATTTATCCATAATATATTCCCATTGCAGAATGAGTGGTAAATTATCTCTTCCAAATTCAATCAATTGAGTAGCATAAATAGGTGGTATTAAAATATCAAGTAAAAGTGAAATATCGTCAATGTGATTCAATTTCAATCTTTCCATCAATTCAACGTTATTAGAATCCTGATTAGTTTCATATTGAAACAATTGATCCAAATCTAATTGGTACTTGTCTTGTGCCAATTGTTTAACTCTAGACAATTCTTCCTCTGTGACAAATTCCAAACCATGGTCATCCTCCTTCAATGAAGGAGCTTTAATAATCTTTTTAGAATTTTCATTAATTGGTTTCGATTGCATTTTCTTAGCTTCCCTAGCAAAATCTCTCTTATCCGATTTATCCTTCTTTTTACTTTCCAAAACTACAGCAGGAGCAATTCTTGTAGTGAATGCTCTACTCTGTTCATTCATAAAGTATGTTGTTTGATTATCATAAAACTTTTTTGTTCTTCTATTTTCCTCCTTTTTGGATAGATCCTCGGAAGAGGAGAGATCATGATTTAAAGAAGAAGAAGTGGTAGTAGAATTTGTTGATGTTGGCTGAACACTATCAGAAGCAATAACCAATACCGATAATTCTTCTTGTTTTCCTTCCATCCTGGATTGTTGAGAGTTTTAATGATAATTTTTTCAACTTAGATTTTTATTAATAGAGTTTCAACTTTTTTCATCACCATGACGTTTAACTTCAAAGTGGAGGTTGAAAAGCAGAATACGATGATAATGGTAAGTTTCCCTATTAGCTTCAAGTAGCTGAAAAATTATTGTTGTATTCAAATAATGTTTTTAAAAGGGTATTATTTAAAATATAAAACAATAAATATTTGAAATTAAATTAAAAAAAAATGTCGAAAAAGAAAAAGACCAATGAAGCACCGTTGACGGAAGAACAAATTAAACAAATTTTGGAAAGAATTATCAAGGATTCTGATCAGAGTATTATCAGGTATATCAACACTGCGGAAAAGTCAAAGAGAAAAACGACAACCTATAGAGTATGTCCAATGTGTGATCGTGCTGTGGGTAATTTTGGTACCAACTTTAAGAATCACTTTAGGAAATGTTGTCCGGTCATCTATGATGAATTAACCAAACATCAACCTCTTTATTTTGGTACTTGGAATCAATTGATAGAAAATGGATTGATAAAAGGGAAGGTTATTCAAGATGATGAAGAGTTGGAAATTGAACTTAGAAGAACATCAAATTATCACGAATTATGTAAAGAAGAAGGAATTTCTCCCACAGTTGCTGATGGTGAGGATGTTAGTGATGAAGATGATGATAACCTGAAGAAATTCATGAAGAGTATTGCTAAAGAACAGAAAAAGTCTAGTAGATCCCGTAGCAAAAAGAAGAAGGTTGAAACTCCATCAAGTCCATCCTCATCTATGGCTGCCAGTACACCTGCCACTCCAAGGACATTGGATACTCAAAATATAACATCACCATCTCTTGCTACACCAGCATCATCTTTATTCCTTCCTCTTAACACACCAGCATCACCATCTATTGGATTATTCTCACCAGCTGTGACAACTCCATATTCCTCCAAGGAATCTTGGTTTACAAATCCAGATGATACTATCAGTAGATCCGTTGAAGATATTAGAAGTTTAACAGTTACTTCTAAAGAACTTGATTTAGGGGATGAAGAATTTTCAATGTTAAAGGCATCACTTTCCATTTCTAAAATTCCAGCTCTTTCAGTTTCTGAGACTCACGACGAAACAGTCTATAATGAAGCACTTCAAAGGTATTTGAGAAATAATTCATATATTCATGAAATTTTCTTTGGAGAAATCAATCACGGAGAAGAATATGACGAATGTGAACATGTTGAAAGATTGACAAAGAATCTTGAAAAGATGATTGAACATAATAGTAATGAATTGGAGCGAGATGAAAAAATTATTGATACTTTTGTTTCAACACAGAACGACTTTTATTCAACAATTAATTCCATTCATTGCGATACTTCAGAAAGTGAACTGAAAGACAAGAAGAGAATTCTTTCACAAATTCTTTCCAAACAACATTACCATTCTCAATCAGCTAAAAAACCTAAACAAGAAGTCGAAAAACCTAAGCAACTCATTGAACTGTAAACCTAATGTAAATTAATTTCAAAAGGATCATAATAAATCTATTATTCTTTTATTGCTCTGACTCAATTATTTGAATGAAATTTTCCAAACTTCTCTTAATTTGTTTGAAAATTGACTCAAATCCACTCATTCCACCATAATATGGATCTTCCACAATTGAATTCTTCTTTTCAGGGTCATAACAACCTAATAATTGGACCTTAGCTTTTCCAGACTTGTTCTTTCTAATTGAATTAACATTTCTCAAATTTGATTCATCCATTACTAGAATATAATCAAAATCTTCAAAATCATCCTGGCAAATTTGTCTCGCTCTCATATCATCAGTATTTAACCATGGATAATACTTTTTACATGTGGAAAGTGTTCTATCATCATGCTCCTCTCCGACGTGATAACTAGCCGTACCACAAGAATCAACAATGAAATCAACTTTTGCCTTCTTTTCCTTTATCAAAGCCAACATGACAATCTCTGCCATTGGTGACCGACAAATATTTCCGAGACAAACAAAACATACAGAACAATTCTTCCCTGATTGAGCTGACATTTTTTATGTATTGTTTTTTCAATTTTCTTTGTTAACAAAAGCAATTGGATAAGATTGAAGGCAAGTCAAGTTTCGTCCTTTGCATTTTGGATTTGTTTTGGAAATAGACATAGTTCGTTCTGCTAGCATTGTTTTTTGCATTGTTTAAAGAAATAGAATTGATTCAAAATCAAAATTTCACTCTCATTTATATTATACAATCTTAGTATCTTTGAGTTTACAATTAATACTCTTAAATTACAATTTCAAAGCTAGATATCAAAATTATTGAATGGAACATTCCTTCTTTTCACCTTCCTGAGGAGCAGTCTCTGATGAGGCTGCAGCAACATCGGATGCACCCTCAAACTCTCCAACTATATACTTTTGCATGTCACTCTTAGCACTACTTCCATGACCAGCATCATTGAAGGCCTTTGTGCCATCCTTACCAGCCCATTCGAGAATGACATCTTCACCACCCGGATGTTCATCCTTATACGTTCCAAAGGCTACAACCTTTCCCGAGATAATAATCCAAGGATCTTGATGATTTGGACCATGTTCTTCAACTTCAGAGAGTGCAATGTTTCTCACCATTTTGTATGTTTCTATATTATTGTTGTTTTGTTTTTTTCAAATTGTTGTTTTACTGTCTTGTATCCAAAGCTGACAAATTTATTCTCCAAATAGACACAATGATGAGGAGTATTGGGAGAATGGGGTAATATTGGATTCTGAATATGTACAAATGGGAGTTTTTTACTTGGAATAAGGACGTTAGAGATTCGAATCTATATAATTATGTTGAAAATAATTACTGCTCTGATGGAATGGATAATGCATGTTATGAATTGATTGAATTGAAGATTTGAAATGAATATTCAAATAAAAAATGCTTCATGCTATTTATTCGAATGTGGAAATAATTAAATTACCTAAACAAGTCCACAAACATTTTGGAATCTGTTATCACATTCAGTAGTCCATGTTTGATTAGTTCTAATTCCTCCAATACATTGCGTGCTGGATTTATATGTAAGTACCTGAACTCTGGTATCATCTCTTTCGCATGTGTAAACCTTTGCTCCAACTCCAAAATCAGCAGTGGCATCACATTTTCCAATAACGTGACCAGTTGCTGATCTCACAAACTTTTCACATCTTCTATCATTGTAGGCCATTTCCCAGAACATTTTCTCTTTGGAGACGAAATCACCACAAGTAACTCTATAGGAACGAACTATATCATCTTCAATATTGACACAAACTCCCAATTTGAATACGATAGGGTCCTTTCCACATTCAATATGATTCTTCATGATTTCAAGATAACCATAAGAACCATTGCAAGTAGCGTATTGACTTTCAACATAATTTTCAAAGGAAAAACAACCCTCTCTAAAGATATCAACCTTTACATAGTTGGATTCTAAACAGTTACGAGAATTGTAATGGTAGATTTGAAGGTATTTAGCTTGGGCAATGCCAGAAATCACTACAAAGATTGCAGCAAACAGGAAGAAATCTGATTTAGACATTTTTTTGAAATGAGATTTGCAGCTTTAAAAAGTTTAAAAAGGAATTGTAATGTATTGTCAACTTGAAAATATGCGCTTCTTTTCATCTCAAGAAATATGGCTACTGTAACACTCAATACAAAAGAAGAGGAATTCGTTAGATCAGTTAAATATTGGACAATTAGTCTTTTCAAATGGACATTTTACAGTTTTGAAGACCAAAAATTTACCTTAATACCCCATGGCAACTGAAAATTTATCCTGTTGAGTTTACACACAATTTGCATATCGTCTCAATATCCACCTTGCTCCTTTCGTACTAGAAACCGATTAGCCAATTTGTCACATAGTTGAATTTCAGCTTGTTCGCTGTGGCCACCTTGATCGGAAATTTCTCCAACAAAAAATATTTAAAAAAATTTCCAAAAGAGCGAACAGTTGATTCGGAAGAGTAGTTTTTTGCTTGACACAAATAATAATACTACCATCACGGATACGACAACAATAACATCATCATCACTGATTAATAATTTTGTATATATGGATTGAATGTCACAATTTGTTGAAATATTGGATAACATTTATTCGTTATATCCCGATTACGTAAAGAATTTTAGTTTTGAATATGGAAAAACACCTCTGAGTCACTGGAGATATCCATTCTTTTCATTAATAGCCTATACAATATTTATATACCTTTTTCAATTTATAATTAATTTAAAATATCGGAAGGAGGAAAGGGTTTTTGAATTGAAAAGGTTTACCTATTTACACAATTTATTTCTTTGTATACTTAGCTTGTTTATGGCAACTGGCAATTTATTGGAATCAATACGGATTTATATTAGAAATGGATATTCTCTAGAGTCTGTATTTTGTGATCCACAAACATCGACAACTGTTGGTCCATTAAACTTTTGGACTTATATCTTTTATTTATCTAAACATTACGAGTTGATAGATACAGTATTGATGATTTTGAAAAGGAGACCACTAACTTTTTTGCACGTCTACCATCATATAGTGACACTTGGCTTGGTTTATGTCGCTCTTTGTGATAAGATGTCTCTTCAGGTATGTTTTTTATACTCTTTTAATCACTAACATCTTGTTATTATAGTGGGTTGCAGTTGTGACGAATGGCTATATTCATGTAATCATGTACTATTATTATTCAAGGGCGGCAATTGGAATTAATGTAACTTGGAAGAAATATGTTACAATACTTCAAATAGGTCAATTCGTACTTGATCTAGTAGTTCCTCAATTGTATCTCTATTATTTATATGTGGCAGAAGTCAAATGTAGTGGTAGTGAAGAGGTATTATGGCTTGGACAAGGTGTAATTCTAAGTTTCTTGCTCTTATTTCTTCAATTTTATGTTCATACTTACCGAGTGGAAAGGAAAAAAGTTCACTAAATTCAAAATTTCCTTATTCTTAGACTTTTTTATTATAAATTATTGTTTAGCAATTTGGACGGATTGGTTCTTTTTGATTTGGAAAAGAATTTGATCTTCCAGGAAAACTTCTTCAGGTAATTGGAGTTCGCAATCAACATCCTTTTCGAAACTCAATGGAGTAAAGAGGGAATCAACAACACTATCAGGAACTTTTTCAACTGATTCAAATTCCCAAACAGGTTCAATTCCAGTCAAAACAGAATTAACACCTTGTTTAAAATCCTTAGATTTGATCAATCGAGAAGCAATACGATAATCTCTTTGATAAGTTTCATCCAAACCTAATCCTTGGTCACATTCTTGAATAGCTCTGAAAGTAACCTTCAGACTCAATGGTGATAATTGATTCATATTTTCCAAAATATTAGCAGCCCAATCTCTTTCAGGTTTTGTCTTTGTAGAATCAGTAATAGTATTTTTGAGTGATTGTATAATTTCTTCGACAGATTTCTTATTTGAGAAGTGTTCCTTAATCTTATATAATTCAAAAGCGAAAGACAAAGCAGGAACATCAGATTCAGTAGATTCCACAATGCAGTTATGAATATCATCTTGGTTAGCTCCGGTTTGAACTTCAAGAAGACGTTCAGCAATGTATTGAGACATGCTTTCCATACCGAATGAAGTGGCAATTCCACAATTACTTTAAATAGTTAATTAAAAAAATTAAAATTAGAAACTTACACCAAATCACTTGATTTGACTTGAGCACCTGTCAGACCGAGGAAAGTTCCGAGACCTTCATGCTTTTGATTTACTCGTGAAAGCAACATGGTAACACCACAATCTGGGAAGTAACCATATGCAGAGTCAGCAGCAGAGAAGAGAGAACCAGGAGTGGCAATAACATAGTTTGCAGAAGTACCCAAAGATGTACCAGGACCGACTATTTAAACAAGTTAAAAAACTCTAATAATAATTGAAACATACGCATAAGACCATTAATAACACTCATTGTTGGAGTTTCACAGTTAGCAGCATAGTATGCAAGTTTGTGAGTATCTCTGACCAATGAGTAAACAGTTTCATAATCACCCTTATCCATCAAATTTTGAAGTTCTCTAAAATCATATCCAGCACTCAAAAAACCATTTCCAATTCCAGACAAAGTAATAAGATTAATAATTGGGTTGGTATCCATAACCTGTTGTTGATGAAGAATAATAATTATCATCATCATATTGTGATGAGAAACAAACCTTAAATTGATGCAATAAATCCCTAGCGACTTCAGAAGTAATTCTGTTAGATTCACGTGGACGATTAATTTGCAAACATCTTGTGAAACCCTTGCTCCAAACAGAGACAGACATCTGTAGAAAATAATAATAATAAATATATTCTAATACTAATAGAAATATTACATACGGAATCATTGACTGGGGTACCGACTTCAGTGGTGGAACCACTCAATCCATCACGAATAGTTGCTTTTCCTCTATAATTCAACTAAAAAATTTAAAAACACGGAAATTATTGTTGTTTACGTACGTTAATTGTCTTGTTTCTAACTTGTTGAGAAGCAAATCCTTTCAAGAGTTTGCTAAAAGCCTTTCCGTTTCTATTGTTGTTGATGATGAAAAATCGCAAAATAAAAACATACGAAGTTGAGCGTCCGAGCATTTTTTTATCGTTTTTTATAAACAATACTAGGAAAGAGCTGGCTGCTATTGGTTGAAGTCGTGCTAATTGTTGTGGAATTCGTAATTGAGAATAAATTATCTGAGGGTTTGAGAGAGGGAGAGGCTGCAAATTTGTTGAAAGGTTTGGCTTGCATTGGTTTCAATTTTGCTTGTTTCAAATTTTCAATAGCTCGTTCCTTTCTTAGATTTTTAATGGATTCCACTTTTTCAATGAGCTCCATGATTGGATCATAATTTGTGTTGTCAGTCGTCTTGAAGGATTGAATTATCTTGTCAGTATCGTAGGAAAATGGATTGATATCAATAGCTGGAGGCGTGTAAGGTCTTGGTTTGTACATTGAGCGAGCTGTATTATTTGGTCTGACAATTCGTTTTTTCTTTGCTTGCACAACTGTCTTTGTCACTTTTTTCTGTTTTTCAACTGGTTTCTCATTCTTATTTGATTTTGGAAGCTGATTATTATTAGAAAAGGATTGACTTCTCTTAAGGAGGTTTGGTCTCTTATCAGAATCTTTGGGTGGCACTGGTGGTGGTGTTGGATGAATTACTTTGGCAGAACTAGCTGTCCTTGGAGTATTACCTACTGAGATAGCTGATGGAGGAGCTGATTGAGGATTGGAATGATTCAATTTTGGTGGAATAATTACTGGAACTGTTATTGTTGGTTTGGAGTAGTTAATTGAAGTGGTACTAGAGTGTTGGCTACTTCGGCCAACCGAGGAATAACTGTACACTGATTGAGAGTATTCGGAAGCATTAGATCCTCTCCTTGAGGATAACACTCTAGGGGTAGGGATTTGGGAAAGTTTCTCAATGAGCTGAGGAGGTGGAACTGGCTCATCATCATCCTCTTCTGAGCTGGAATATTTGCTGTGATTAATTGGGCATTAATTTTGTCTGGATAATGTCAAATACTTACTCTCTTGTGGAATCTTCATCTTTGTATTTTTCTGGAAATAATAAATCTAATTCTTTGATAATTAGATTGACTTGAGTTTGTTCTGGATTACAAAACTCAAGTATACCCTGGCAAAAGTAGTGGCCCATCTGCTCGAAATGTTTACAAGTGAATTGTCTTCCCATGTGTATTCCAGTGTCTGGTCCACAGAATGATGCCTCCAATGTAAATGCATTCTTCACTCCACTCTTATGCATCACAACTCTTGCGGTTGTATCCTTTCCTTTTTGTTTGCCGAAATGACAATCCTTAAATGAAAAGTGAGGTGAAATCTTCCATAGAAGTCTTGGGAAAATTTTGGGTAGTAATCTCTCCACACCATATTTCGAAACAGTACATCCATACATGAACATGTTCTTCTTCCTACTATGTCCGTGAAAATCACAAAATAAAACTACTTCTCGTTCTTTTTGGAATTGTAAAACCATCTTTTTTGTGTGGAAAATTGTTGGATGAGTTTTGATGTTTGGATTATGCCATTTTCTATTCAAATCAGATCCTGAAAGAGCACATCTATAGTTTCCATTTATGACTCCATCTGGATTCAACATTGGAACTATTTTGAAAATGAAATTTTCTCGTAATACTTTCGATTCAATACTCGAACCAGTTAAAAAGTCGATGACTCCCTTAATAATCCAACTCGAGTTGGATTCTCCAGGGTGTACTCTTGCCGTTAAAACAATTCCTTTTCTCGTTTTGAGAGCAGAAGGATCTCCAGCAAAAGAAGTTATGGTTAATGCATCACATGAATTTCCAGCAAGATCATTACATAGAACTCTTCTTCTTAAATATTGACTCCTCACTTTGTCTTTTTCCAAATTATTTAAATAATTTTGTAAATTTGTGTATGTGTAAGGGTATGAATAGGCAAAATAGCAAACATCATTATCATGTGCAACCTCAAAGGTAAATGTAAGAGTGTAGTAAGATCCTCCTTTTCGTTTGATGTTATTCCTATAATAACAAACATCTGTTCCGGACCTGATCCAACCTTGCCCTTTTGTTAAAGCATCATTGGTTGAATAAAATAATGGCAGCATGCCATGATTATATAAACTATCTTGTTTCAAATAATTTACAATATTAAATTTGTACTTTCTTCCTCTTTTTGCATTTTGAATTGAGAAATAGAACCATTGAGTATGTCCATTTGTTTCAACATCAAATTTTAAAATTAAATCATATTCATAATCGTAAATTTGAACAGCTCTTCTAAGGTTTCCACTCTCAAACCTAGACTCGAATAATAAAGAATCGGAATTAACCATGCTAGTCACTTTTGGCAGATTTTGTCTCTGACAATTTGTTCCTAAATTTAAAGGTATTGGATTTGTTTCTAGAAATCGAAATAATGATTCCTCATCAAAATGTTCGTCTCCATGACCAACTCCAAAACAATCATATACAACTTTATGATAAGGTCTTTTTCCTGTTAACCTAGCTGAATCCTGTAACATCATCCTACTAGCTGTTGTTGGGTCAACATTGTATACCGGTTCAGGTATTGCTGACAATGAATTAAGATGTACAGGATTAGGTCCTAACAAAAAATCAGTACCAGTCTTTGGCAAAGCAAAAGCAAACTCCTCTTCCTCAATTTCATCTTCATTTGCTTCATCTTCCTCCTCCGCACTACTTGGGTATCTGTCAGCAAGGGCAAAGAACGAGGGATTTAACCTCGAAGTGAGACTACCTCCTGCTGGGCGATACCTTGGTACACTCATTTTTACAGTTTGTGTTTTCTCAGCTAAGAACCTAAACAACAAAAAGTAAATATGTGGCGGGAGATTTTCGAACAAATAGCGAGTTCAGTGTATTGATTTTTATTTTTATGAATTTTTTAAAAAATAGACAAGTGTGATGAACAAGGCCAATCAATCGGAGGCTTCTGGTGATGATTCAAAGATTTGCTCAACAACATCAGATCTTGTCTCTCATAGTACTACTGGTTCAAACCAACTTTATTCCGAAGGTTTGTTTTTCTTATTGTGTCATGTAACGAATTTCAGTTAATGCTTGTTGATTGAAGAATCTTTCAAAAGTGTTGGATTGGAGAAATTCACCATCATTCCGAGACAATCATTGCTAAGGCTACTAATTGTAAGAGGTCATTTGATCGGAAAAAGAGAAGAAAATATTGTGGATATGTTTTGTATTGGGAATGATTGGAAGAATGCAACATGGTCAATTTTATCAGAAACAAACAAGCAAGCACTGTCTAGAAAAATATATTTGACATGCTCTCAATCTAATATTGTCACATCCAATGATATTTCTGTTGAAAGCCTGTCAAATCTATTGAAAAGTGGTGATTTGAATGAGTTTAACAAAATATTAGTCTGGAAATCTATTTCCAAAGTTTTGTTAAATGAAAAAAAATTAATGGAATACGAAAATTGTCTACAAGAGATGATTAAATTATTCCCTCTGAATATTGGAATAATGTGGATGATGGTTGATTTATATTTGAATAGCAAATATTCAGCTCAACTGGAAAAACAAACAAAGAGCAAATACATCACCCAACAATCTTATAAACAATGTACCAGAGATAGATATTTAACTGCACTAGAAATGATAGATTACATTTCCAAAGGAATATATAATGGCACCTTCTCTAGAGTTCTGTCTAAACATGAGCGACTAGAAATCGAATTCTCTCTTAAGGAATACAAGGCGGTTGCCAAGTCGTACGTTGCTGAAAATGTGCAATCAATCGATGAGTCGAAACAATTAATCACTGAAATTATTGATACTCTCGACATTGCAAGGAGATCACAAAAATTAGACAAGAAAATTGCTCATCTTTACCAAGTATTGTCGCAGTTATCATTGAGGCAAGGAAATTTCATACAGGCTATTGATTATTCTGAGAAATGTCTTTATTTGATGCCCAACTCACCCATTCACCAAAACAGACACTTTGATATGTTAAAAAGCTTCGAGAAATTCAAACAAGACCTTCAACTCCTAGGCCAACTCCCAGAAAGCATTCAAAATAATTCAGCCGAGAAAGCCTGGCTTCAAATTTGTTCAAAGATTGGGCTAGAAAAGAAGTTGCCTCAATCCCGGCCTCTGTTTTCTTTGACTTGAAATTTTCCTTAATAGTTTGAATTTCCAAAAGGCAAAAGACCAGATGTCTATTTGTGGACTTGTATTGTGAAATTTGCTGGTTCATACATCACACAACAAGAGAGGTCACGATTCTCGCAAATGATCAACAAGCACCATGATCCGACTTCTAACACAATATTTCAGTTAATATCAGTTGTTAGTTTCTGACCTAATATAAGCAATGACAATCCCTAATAAAAAATTACCAAGATTACATTGATTCTTACAAACCAACTCATTTCAACAATATCAGTAAATAAAATACTTTGAGTCGGTCATTCCTCCATTAACAATAATCCACACATTCACTGAATCAACACAGAGGAGGTGTGAGTAGTTGTACCTTAGACAAGAAAAAAAGAACTGAATTTGAGAAACACGAATTGTTGTGCAGCACAACAGAATAAGTAACTTCTGCACATTTTCATCTCTCACATATCTATTTTTGATAGACGAAGAAAACCATCAAACACAACACCCAAAAAATTTGTCTCCTCCTCAACAATAACAATTATTGAATAATAATCACTTGACTTGTCTCTTGGATAATTCAAAAGATTTATATTTTCTGAAGGAATAATAATACCAACAACAACAATAACAACAGAAGAAAGAATTGTGTACGGACGATAATCTCTCTGTTTTCCGTCATTGTCTTCTACAACAACAGCTTCATTAATATTTATCTATTATAATTATAAAGGTACTTGAATACCTATTTTGAATTATAATTATTTAGATTCTCCATCTCCCTTCTCCTCCAATTCTTCCTCTGTAAACCACTCTCCATTTAATTTATTCCTACACTAACTTTTTTGATCTCATTCCTTTTAATTTATTAATAACAAACAACAACCAACACAAACATTTTATTCAACTCGATCAAAAATCATCATGGGAATCATAGCAACGAAGGACGATAGTGGTATATCCAATGAAACTCGTCAAAAACGATCCAGCAAAAGTGTATTTGAAAAAAGAGACGGACTTGTAACTATAGACACTTCACTGACCGTAACAAGTTCAACACCAACACCTACAACAACAGAAAAGAGATCAAGAAGTTCAACACTTCCAGTTTCTAACCTTTTTTCAAGTAGAAGAGAAGATAACGAAGATGATGCATTCTCTAAAATGTATGTCAACAAGGGTATGAAAAATAATGCCTCTCCTCATTCTCCAAACAGAAGTAGTTCGGGAAGATTGCAAATAGGATCATCTCTTGGAAAAGACTCTCCGAGTGAGGACGCTTATTCACCAATATTTGGATCAACCAATGATTCAGTTACCAAACTCACAAATTCACTACTTTTGAGCTCTGACGAAGAAGGTAATAAGATGATTAACGAATATACAGTTATCTCTACATTGGGAAAGGGATCATACGGAAAAGTTAAATTAGTTTTGGATAATAATAACAAACCTTTTGCGATGAAAATTATGAACAAGGCCATGTTGAAAAGAGTTAAAAAAGCTGGTGGTGGAAACTTGCTAATGGACGTTCAAAGAGAAATTGCAATTATGAAAAAACTTTCTCATCAAAACGTAGTTAGATTATTCGAGGTTATTGATGATAGAAATTCTGATTTCCTTTATTTATTAATCGAATATGCAGAAAACGGAGCAATTTTATCCATGTCAGAAACTAACACTGGAGAAGAAGTTCCAAAACCTTGTAAATTCAGACTCAATCAAATTAGATCATATTTGAAACAAGCTATTGAAGGAGTTCAGTATCTTCAGTAAGTAATCAAATTTCAAAAATTTTCAAACTAAACATCTTCTCAGCTCTCAAGGTATTTGCCACAGAGATATTAAACCTGAAAATATACTTCTCGACGGTTCGCTGAATATAAAGGTTTCTGATTTTGGTGTGAGTCACATTTGTGAAGGTAATGATGATACAGTAAAGGGATCTGCAGGCACTCCAGCATTCTTATCACCAGAGGCCTGTAAAGGTGAAACGTATAGTGGTTTCAAGAGTGATATTTGGGCATTAGGTGTTACTTTGTTTGCTCTTCTCTATAATATTACTCCATTCCAAGGCGATTCGTATATGCAAATTTATACAAGCATTCAACATGACGATTTTAAAATGTTAGCACCATTCGATCAAGATGATTTACTCAAAGATTTACTGAATAAGGTGTTAGACAAGAATCCAGAAACAAGAATCACTTTAGAAAACTTTAAAGATCATGCTTGGATGAATGCAACCTATGAAGCTGAAACTATTCCAGAAACACCACGTACACCATCTTCAACAGTTGAAGAGTTACCAACTCCAACTGCTGATGATAGTAAGAGTAGACTTTTGCTTATTGTTAAGATGAAGAGTAGAATGAAGAGAGCAGCTCAACAAGCCAAAGCTTCTCTCGAAGAACAAGAACGAACATTCAAAATGTTACAAGAACAGAGCGAGGAAAATAAGTTCAAATCACTTTTATTGAAAGCTGCTAAAACAGAAACATCTAGCCCAACCTCTCCTAAAAAAGTTGAATTTGCTGAACCACCAACCACTACTACCAATAATTAATTTAATATATTATACATTGTAAAATTATTACTGTTTTAAACTTGAATTAATAGTGAATACTCTTTCTTTGGAATTTGGAGAAGCTGCTCCAGTATTGTTAATAGGGAAAATTTCTTCTGGTTTTACAACGCCACTCTTTGAGATTGAGTAAGCCAATGTTCCAAACTTCTCTCGGAAAGCACTTCTGGTAGCCACATCGAAGAAGGACACCTGACTTGTGAGAGCTTTGATTTCTAACGTCAGCATTTCCACAACCTTATTATTTCCAGATAAACTATTTTGATTTCTGACAGACTCTCGGACTTTGCTTTGCACAGTTTTGTTGAATACTTCGCTTAGTTCCATTGTTTCCTTCTTCCATTTGGTTTCGTTTTTTTTGGACTTTTTCAAATCTTCTTCCAGAGAATCTAGAGATTTTTGTTTAAGTAATAGCTCTTCTTGCATTCTAATATGTTCCTGTTCCATTTCCTTATTTATTTCCTCCAGAATTCTCACCTGCTCTTTCAGTTCCTTATTTTTCTGTTCAATATCAAAATTGTCAGCTGTAAGACTCGAGACTTGAGATTGTAGGGCCTTATTCTTTGATTCTGTCTTTTCTCGTTCAACTTCCATTTTTTCAAAAAGCTCAGCATAGTCTGTTCCTTCGTCATCACCTATCGATGAGGTTTCTGACCCTGTTTGATCAAAGATTGCTTCGCTCGTATCGTTTGCAGTGCAAGCACTCATTGGAGAGTCTCCACCACTCTCGAACAAAGTTGCAGATCTGGAAACGAACATTGACAGTCTTCTTGGATTAAAAAGTTTTTGAGAACTCGATATGGAAATGGATCTATGTCTAGAAGTTTTTGTACTTTGTTTGACAGTAATCTCATTCATTTCCTCTATGATTTCCTTCAGTTTTTCCTTTTCTTTTGTAACAACTTCAATTTCTTGTTTGATATGAGAATTTTCTAATAATTCCTCATCAAACTTTCTTGATTCTTCAATTTGCTTATTTCTCAGTCCTGTTATAATATCTCTAAGTTCGTTAACCTCTTCTTTCGCCTTTTCTAACATTTGCTTCAACTCTTTGGCAGTCAGCTCTCTGTTGACCTTTGCCTTATTTTTGATTTTCTTTGCTCTTTCACCGAACCTCAATGTAGACAAAGTTTCCTCCTCATTGAATGAGCTGAACGAACAATTTATCACAAGAGTTGTTCTTGAGTTACCACCCAATGAATCTTGAAGTAATCTTGTGAGTTTTGAATCTCTATATGGTACATGTTTTGACTTGGTTGAAATGAACATTTAATGCTAACATGAGTGGACTTACATTTCCGTCTGTTAAAGCTGTAATAACCATTCCTAGTGCAGATAACGATTTGTTGATCTGCTTTGCTTCCTCCAGAGTTGAACCACTAGCCCCTGTTTTTTTAACTTTTTCGCTACCTGCCAAATCGACAAGAATCAGTTTACCAAACTTGGTTTCTGAGGTTGTAATATTTTTCTGACTAACCATTACAATTAGTATTGTATGAGATCTTGAACTTTCCTCGTTCATTTCTTTATATTTTGAGAAATGGAGAAATTCATCCTACTTACTTGTTGCTGCAATAGCTCTGTTTGAAGCTCCAATTTTTAATAATTGATAAATTTCTCTTGCACTTGTTACTCTCTCCTCTCTTGCTCCACTAACAATAATTCCTCTTGGTTCTCGCTTTTCAATTTTTAAATTCTTTTTGCTTGCTATTGAAATTGATAAGCACTGATTGATAAAGAGTACTTACGATCGAGTAAATCCTTAATTCTTTCCATATAAATCTCAACGAAACACATTGAGACAGCAAACTTGATTTCAGAATTACTTTCTAAATATCTAAACAAATAATCAATAGATCTTGGGATCACACCTTTAAATTCTGGATGTTCTGAATAACCTAATATCGAGTCTCCAGCTCCCATCATTGTAAATGTTTTGCCTAAAATAATATTAAATAAATTGTTGAAATCAATTGAATACTAACCTGAACCAGTTTGACCGTAAGCAAAAATAGTTCCCTATTATTAATTTCGATTGTTTTAATTTGAATATCTTCTCATACTTACATTATATCCCTTGCAAACATCTGATATTGTTAACAATTCTAAATATTACTTAATAGAATACTTACCTTCAACCACTGGTTTTCCTACCACATTAAAAATGTCTTCTTGCCTTGTTTCAGAGTTGAAAATTCTATCAAATGTAAAATTATGTACAGATCTCCTAGTCTAAATTAATTAATTAGTAAATAAGTATTTTCGTATGATGATATTTACTTTTATAGTACAATTTTGGTTTTCTCCAAATTCAACAATTGGTTTTTCCGATTGTGTTTTTTCCATATCATTCATTGGTCTGAATCTACAAACCACTTGAATATTATTATTATCAGAGTTTAAGGGTTGTACCAGCTGTAGCTGAACACCATTCTCTGCTCCACCTAGATTTATATTCGCATGAACATTACTATGATTATTAACAAAGAAGAGATGCTCCTGAATACTTGATAACGATGAAGATAAGGGTGATGGTTGCGCTCGTTGTACCACTATCGAAAATGGCTGCAAACCATTCGGTTGTGATGAATGCCTCGGTGAGAGTGATAACGTTGGCATTATTAAGGGAGGAGGCGTAGAAGAACGTTGTTGTTGTGATTGTTGTTGCTCCTGCTGTTGATTCTGCTGACCAACAGCAGTTGTACTCATTTTTTCTCTAATTTGGAAGAGTGAATTGTCTTAATAGAATTTTTCAAAACTTTCAGGAAACTGATCAATCTGGGTGGGCTGGTTTGTTAATTGAGGCTAATGAATCAATGAATTGATCACTTAGTGTATTGATTAATATTTTTTAATTGGTTTGAGAGATAGTTAAAAAATTTGGAGTCAAAACAATGTTAAGGTTTTCAATACAGCAGTTAGAGGTAGTTGGTTGATCTCAAATGTCCAACCATAACCATTATAAAGATTGTGAGATATTAATCTGTTATGTTAAAAAAGAGTTCAGAAGTCATTCCGGTTAAGAAACACACTGCTATGGAAAGTTCGTTCTGTGTAATGAGAGGATTGATGAAGGTGTTCAGTCGACATCTCCAACCCATCACTATGACAGCCATAAGTTATCATCATTTCGTTTGCAAAATAATTTGCAATCCTTCATCTGCTTTTACAGTACATCCTCTTTTTGGGAATATGTAGAAAAGGTATTTTTGTTATGGTTTTTGAAATTTAAAAAAATAAAAAATTACTAATTTTACTTTTGCTTTCTTTGTCTGAATAGTGAAAATGAGTTGAGACTTTCATTTTCAATATATTTCCTAGTTTCTTTAATATCAGAATTAATGTTATCTTGAACCCATCTTTCGACTTGTCTTTCAGTTTCACTGTCAGTGCTCATGTCATCATAAATTGTATCCTTCCCTTCTCTTTCCAATTTTTTCAATATCCTTTTTACAACTTTTGGTGATTTCCTTTCACAAAACTCCTCAAACATTTTAGATCTAACCTTTTGTTTCAAATTTTCTTTGCATTCCTCTTGTACTTGTTCAAATTCATCCAATTCTCTGAATTTTTGAGCTAGATCCAATGAATTCATCATTTGACTTTCCGTAAACGTTCCTTTATTCCATCTTCTTTTAGAACGTTTAGGAACATCTAAATCCACCACAACTGCTTTTCCTGTTTGACCAAAAACATTCCTCACATTCTTTCTGAAGGCTTTTCTTGATTCTTTTCTTTCCTCTGTTGTTGCAAATTCGTCGCTATCATATTCAAATACACCAATTTTTCTGTGGCTTCTTGTCATCAAGTCGTTTTTTTTAACTTTATTTCATGGTATGGTTGTATTTTTAGAATGAGATGACATTGAAGCATTACAATTCATGTCGAATGTTGAGAGAGGACAATTCAATCCATTATTGTTGCTTTTATGTTGATGATGTAAGCAAAGAGGAAATCTGTGTACACGTTTAAAGTTATTACATTCTCTTAAAAAAATGGACTTGGAAAGCGAGAGCAGTATTGGAGGAGGATCATTCCGTTCATTTGGAATGAAGTATCAAAGTTTTTTGGATAGGTGCGTAATCAAGATTTGTTTTCTTCTTGTTAAATACCAAGTGATTGTTTGATGATCGAATTAATAATAATTTTTATGCGGAATTTGTGTGGATTTGATGATTAAATAATTTGTGTGTATTTGATGATGATTAGATTGAATGGAAAGAAGACACTCCGTTGGTCGGTGTTAGGTTTCCTCTTCTTCTTATTCTTGTTTAGAGTTATATATTTCCATGGATGGTACATAATTTGTTATGGATTGGGAATTTATGTAATCAATTTGTTTATTGCCTTCATTTCACCAAAGTTTAGACCTGAAGAAGACGACGATGAAGATGAAGAAGACGAGGAAGCAAATCTTGGAAGTGCAACCCTTCCAAGTACCTCTGTTGGACGTAATTTTGCCTCTGGTGGATTGTTTGGACAACCAAAACAAGATGCTGATGATGTAAAGCCTTTTGTTCGTCGTCTTCCAGAGTTTAAATTCTGGTACTCATTAACAAAGGGTGTTGTAATTTCTCTCTTGTTATCATCTACAAGAATTTTGGACATTCCAGTTTACTGGCCTATTTTGTTGGGATATTGGATCATTTTGTTGGCTGTTACTTTGAGAAAACAAATCAGACACATGATTAAACATAGATATCTTCCATTTACTACAGGAAAGAAGAGTTATTCAGGATCACTTTTTGGAGGAGCAACAACTGCCAAACCAACACCATCATCATCACCATCTACTGGTATCGGAGGTGGTTTACGTGCAAGTGGAATGGGTTCTTATCAATCTGCTTTTAGTGCATATCAACCACAAACTTCTTTCACACCAACTTTGCTCAATGTTAATAATACTGCCAAGACAGTTACTGAATAATAAACACATTTTGTAATTTATCAATTATTACTCAGATAATACTTTATCATTCTTGTTTTCAATAGTTGTTAGTAGAACATAACAAATTAATTGAAAACCTATCAATCAAAAAATGGGACAAGAACAATCAAGTGACAAGCAACAACTCGTCACCAATTTACCAGGAACACACTTTAATATGAGTCAGGCCTCTCATGGACTTGTAGAATTACTTCCCTACAACAAACAATCAGGAATGATCCTTGGTGGAAGTGCCAGTTTATTAATTTCTGGTAATGCAGGAGCAGGAACCATCGATACAAACATGTTCCGAATCACTTGTAATAATTTGTTGAGTATTATCAAACCGCCAAGTGGAGTATTGGAAGGATTCACAATACCAGTTAAAAACATTGAGGAGATTGTAAAATATTATGATGACATTTCGAATAATTTTTCCAAACAGAACACACAAATATTATTCTCACTAACAGGAAAGAACAATAATAATATCTTGTTGGGAGCAAGAAGCACAGTGAGTGGATATAAACAGGCATTTGATGTCATGACTGAGAATATTATTAATCATTTGCAACAAACTAAAAAGAATTTGGAAGATTTGGTTGCAATTTCTGAAGCAAACGCCAGAAGAAGTTTGAAACGTTCAAGTTCTGTAACTGGAACCATGTCTAATTCATCTTCTAATGCTAATCTTTCATCTATGGGTTATGATTGGTCAAATATTGATAACAAACAGGTTTGTGCATTTGATATTAATTGATTCTAATAATTGTTTAGAGATATTTCGAAATTAAGGATGAATGTGAAATTTTGACAAGTCATCATTTGGAAGAAATGATTGGTTACAAGAAATTGGTGTCCTTCATTCACGATGCTGAATTACAGGGATTGGATTATTCTGATTCCTCTACACAATCTCAACTGAATACTACAAATGAAACTATTTTGGATGAATTCGGTGCAGAATTTTGGAAGAATAACATTGGTGGAAATATATTCTCTGTGAGCAAGGATAGTTTCCTTGATACATTGGATACATTCTTTGATTTTAACGTCAGAACAAAGAAAAATTGGGTAGATGAAATATCGTACATTATAGATCCAACATGTGATAATGTTGTTTCCATGATTGATTTTAAAACAACTTTGAAATGGTTTGGACCATTCTCAACTCAATTTTTTCCAATTCTCAACACAATTTTGGATATGAAACATTTCTGGGGAAGTATGTCATCAATTGAAGCACAAAATTTATTGGATGGTCAAGAACCAGGTACATACATTACAAGATTTGCAGAAAATGAACCGGGTTCTTTTTATGTATCAGTAGTAGAAGATGGTGGAGATACTTTTGGATACTTTGACAGTTTGTTAATGAATTCAAATAGAAAGACTTATCACTATTTAGTGAGAAGAAAGAGAGACGAAAGAGAGGGTAAAATGTACTTTGTCCTCATTGATTCAGATATGGATTACAAACATGAAAAGATTGAAAATCTATTCAAACAATATCACTTGACCTTTAAGCATCCATACTTGGATGATAGAAAGAAGGAAGAACATTCAAAAAAGAAAAAAGGAGAGGAAGAAGTGGATTTCGTCTCGTTTATGAAATCTCAAAAATCACTCAATTCCAAAGCCCTAACTGATGATGATGAAGATGAAGAATTGTTCACATCATTCAGAGGTAGAATTCCAGAAAATAAGAAGGAAGTTCAGAAATCAGTGGCCACACCAAGACAAACAGCATCATCTACTACCACAACAACATCTTCATCCAATAGTACAACTAATGCCTCATCGACAAACAACACAAAGCAAACCTCAACGACAGCTGCAAGTGCCAATACAAGTAAGGCACCTGAAAAGCACACCACCACATCATCCAATAATAATACTATCACAACAGATCATCCAGTCCTCACATTGACAACACCACGAGCTTCCACCACTGCAGAAGTGAAAACACCAGAGAAGGTCAAAAACCTTACCATCTCAACAGATGTTGCCAACAATTCTCAATCAAAATCAGAAAGCTCTGAACCTAGCTCTAGTACTGTAGCAATGAGTCCTCTCGTGTTAACCAAACAACCCTCAGAAGACTCTACAGAATTACTACTCGAAGAAAAATCAAATCATTCTTCACTACTTGACAACAATCAAGAATAAAAAGCAAACATAAATTTGTTTCCAATCAAACTTAATTGTTAGATGAAACAACAGTAGTCAGTCGCCTGTTAGTCGTCCGCTCCGAAGAATCCGATATATGCTTGTCAAATATTAATCATCATTCATACCACTTTACAAGATATTTGCTTTGTTGTGGATTAATATTTTTTGAAAACGTTGCTTGTTGTGGTTTTCTTTAATTTTTTAATTGTTTTATTTAACAAGGTGAATGGCAGATACCGAAAAATGTGATGAAGATAACCTAATCATTTCTCTTCTATGCTTGTTAATAATTATCAACCATGAATGGGTTAGAAATTATCCAAAGATTATTTATCAAGTGATATTCAGCTGTTGTTCAGAAACTAATAAGAAGGATGGTCTTTACTAAGGCATTTCATGAAAAGGGAAAGTAATGGAAATCAAAAACAGCATTCAGTGGATTCCAATTTTATCAAACATTAAAATTCAAAACTTGAAGGATAAAATTTTGTTGAGCACAAATCCGCAACTGAAGTTCAATGAAAATGCGAACAAAAATGAAAATTAAAACCTTAACAATGAAAATGATGGCATTTGCAATATAGAACTACCTAAAGCAACAAATTTGTCTTTAATTGAACTTTTAAAGGCAAACCGAGTTTTCTTCACACAAACACGTTCCCCGCCAAATGCAAATTGTAATTTTCAAAAAATAATAAAAAATTAAAACAAAAAAAAATGACGCCACTCAATATTAAAGGCGCACAAGGCTTGTTGAAGACTTCACTAGCTTTGTTGATGCTTGTAGCTTTAACAATTAGCAGTGTCATGGCTGTTAGTTTAGGAAGATGGGAACAAGTTAAAATTAAAAGAGGATCACCTCCATTGGAAAGACCATTCCACTCCTGTGAATTGGATCAGTCTGGCAAGAGAATTATTGTTTTTGGTGGAAGAACAGGAGTGACATCATTCAGCAATACATTCTTTAGTTATTCTATTAGCGATAGATCTTGGTCAAAGTTGAATGTGGAAACCATTTCAACTCCACAAGCTGAATTAAAACAAATCCCAACATTGGCTGGACATTCTATGACTCTCATTGGAGACAAGATGTACGTCTTTGGTGGTAGATCTGGCGTATTCGACTATAACCAAGATCTTTATGTTTTGGATGTCCAAGGTGAAATTTTGAGAAAGGTTATCACAACCGGAGATAAGCCTGGTTCTCTTCAATCACATTCTGCTTCTGCCTTTGGTGAATGCATTATTGTTTATGGTGGTACTGACGGATCTGTTAAGAATGGTCTATTCGTCTTGAATACTACTTCTTCTGAATGGAAGTCAATTTCTGTTCCAGAAAGTCCATACGTTCAAGGACACAAGAGCATCATCCATGATGGTAAGCTTTATATTGTTGGTGGTAGTAAGAGTGAAGAAGAATACAACCCTGACATTCATGTTTTGGAACTCCCAGCCACTTGTGCTGGACTTACCTCTGGTACTGCAAAGCTTTCCTGGACTACAACAAAGGTTGGTGGTAAAATGAGATCTTTCCACACTGCCAATATTTTGGATAACAAGGTATTTGTTTATGGTGGTATGACTAGCAAGCAAACTCTTGATGATACTAAAGTTTATGATCTCAAGAGAGAAAAGTGGCTCGACGAAACTACTATTGATAACTCTGATTTGATTCCTGCTCGTAGAGGTCACTGTTCTGTTGTTAAGGGTCACCAAATCTTTGTCTTTGGTGGTTCTTTCAATAAGAAGAATTACAATGATGTTTGGGTTTTGGACACCAAACCAGAACTTTCTACAAAGCCAGCTCCAGTTGATGGAAAGAAGGAATTCTCTGAATTGGTTGAATCTGCTGTTGCCACTGTTGCTGATTTGCAAGAAATTACAGTTGATACCACTGAGTCTGATTCACAAAAATCTGAAAATGAATTGAGAAGTCTTATTGCTGATGACCAAGAAGATAACTCATCTTCTTTAGTTAAGCGTATTGCTCAATGGAACAGAATTGAAGCTTTGTTCTTGGAACTCCAAAATAATAAGGCTAAGGTTCAAAATCTTACTGAAAATCTCAAATATGAATTTGAAGACATTGATGCTCTTGCTGATGATTACAATTCCCAACTCGGTGCATTGAAGAATATTTCTGAATCATTAAATGAACGTCTTCAAGAACTCAAGGAAACAGAAGATAAAGTTGCCAATAAGGAAAAGAATATCAAGGATTTGAATATGGAATTGCAATCTATTAATGCTGCTATCGCCGAATTGGAAAACGCTATGGCTCAAACCAAGTCTGCCTACAATGCTAAGAATAGACAAAGAGAAAAGGCTGTTAAGGAAAGAGAACAATTAGAAAAGAGACTCGAAGAACTTGATGTTATTTTGTCCACAGCTGCTGATATTCAAAAGGATTCTGAAGATAGAGAAAAGGCCAAGCTTCTCGAACTCGAAAAAATTCGTGAGGAGATTTCTGCTCTCACCGTTGAAGTTGATGCTTACACTCAAGAAGTTGCTGAATTACAAAAGAAGCTCACTAACATTGACAAAAAGCTTACTAGAATTGAAAATGAAGTTATTAACGCTGCTGAATCTGTCAAGAAGAAGTATTTGGAACAATTACGTCTCAAGGAAAGTTATGAAAAGAGTAAGGACGAACTCTTGTCCAAGATTCTTGAATTCGAAGAAGATGATGATGAAAAGGCTGAAATGTTGAAGAAGAAACAACAACAAGAAAGAGATGACGAACTCAAGAAATACGAACAAATGATTGAAAACCAAAAGACCAAACTTTTGAAGGCCAAGCAAGATGTTTCTTCCAAGCTTCAATCATTCTCCAACGATCTCAAGAAGAGAGTTGCCAAACTTAAGGAACTCAGAGAAGAAGAAGAAAAGATTTTGGCTGAATTGGCTAGACTCAGAGATAGAATTACTGAAAAGACTAATGAAAAGCAAAGCAGTGCTATTGAAAAGGAAAAGCTTAACAAGCTCTTGGATGACAAGTCTGATGCTGCTCGTTCTCTTGAAATTGACACTGCTGCTTTGAAGGATACTCTTGATACTCAAGATATCACCCTTAAAGGTAAAAAGGATAGTGCTCAAACAATTGCCTCAGAATTGGATGCTGAAACAGTTTCTCAAGGAGTTATCAAGTCCTCTCTTGATGAACTCAATGCTCAATTGAAAGAAAAATACGATAAGGTTAACGGTGGTTTGAATGCACTCCAGAAATTGAGTGATAAGATTACTGCCATGAAACGTGCAGCTGCTTTAAGAGGTTCTGCTTACTCTGAACAAAGAGCAGACTATGTCAAGTTCAAGTCTGAACTTGAAAAGGCTGTTCAAGAAGCTGACAAGATGTTCCTTGACAGAATTAAGAAGCTTGAAGATGAAATTCAAGCTCTTAAGTCATCTAAGAATGAAGAAACTAAGTCTGATGAAGCTTTCTAAATTTGTAAACAACTAATTTATTTATAAAATAAAAAACTCAATAAAATAATAATAACTAAATATCAAATTGAGTCAAGATTTATTAAAGTATTTGGGTGGCAGATTTGTTCAAGTCGTACCACTTCTTTAAACCTTCTGTAGAGATTTTAAAAACAAACTTTCCACCTCCTGGAAATTGGATTAAAGATTGATGTGGAATAGCAATATCATTATTATTTTCTACTGGTTGTCCATTTACAAGAATGTTTCTCTTACCAACATTTTGTAACTTGAATGTGAAAACTACTCTCTTATTGCTGGACTCATCTATTGTTCCAGAAAGATCTTCTACATCAGCAACTCTATCAATTTTTTCACCGCTTTCACCAGTGGCAATAATTGTCTTTACAGCAGGTTTTTCTTCAATTGTATAACTCAGTGTAAGAACAGCTTGCTTTCTTGAGATCTTTCCAATATCCTCAGATTCAATACTTAGGTCAACATCTACATTAAAGCTAGAATTCTTTCTTCCAATGATAGATTCTGATTTGTAAATATTTTGCTTAGATTGTATTCCATCAAATACAGCAATTACATTCTCTTCAAATGAGAGTTTAATCTTCTTGGTGCCTGTAGCCTGTTCATCAATATCATTTTCCTTTTCAAGTTTGTGAATTTTCTTTAGTTCATTCTTTTCTGATACCTTATTTTCTATCAATTGAATATTTTGTGCTCTCATTTCCAAATCATTTGGTATTGGAGCATTCAACACCTCCTTTTCCAATTCTGAAAATGTTTTTGTTTCATCATAATCCTCATCTTCATCATCCATCGTCGATCCAACAGCTGTTGGTGTTTGTATTGGTTGTGTTTCAGTGACTGACGAAATATGTTCCTTGATAATTCCTTTTCTTCTCATTCTCTGATAGTGTGCTTCCAATGTTTTTGGACATCTAGATGGATGCAAACAATCCCTATATTTATCATAAATTAATTCGAAATTTAATGGTACCTCCTTATGAGTTTCTGCCTCTTTAAATATAATTTGATTTTCTTCATTTGACCAAGGAACTCGTTTATAATTTTTCACTGATTGTAACATATTCATGTGCTTGCCAGTAATTTGGGAAATTGTCGGATCATATAAAATTGATAACCATCTTTCTGTAATTTCTTCCGTTGTGAAACTCCTCTCAAACTTGATTGATCCTCTAATTTCCTCTGCTGACATTCCCTTCTCTACTCCTTTAATTAATAAATAATCATCATGAGGACACCACTTGTAAAATTTAGATAATTGATGTGTTTTAGAAGTACAAATTATTGTTGATGATGTATCATTTGTTGGTAACGATGATGATAATGGTATTGTATTACTATTAGAATTACTATTCACCAATTCATTTGTTGTTGGTCCACAATTCTCTTGGTTGGTCATTTTTTATTAAAAAATTAAATTATTTATTAAAGATTTAATTTGTTGTATTAATAAAATTAAATTAATTGAATTCAATCGAATAAAACTATACAGTGACAGAGTCAGCGAATCATCATCTAGTACAGCAGTAGATCTATTGACAAGTAAACTGTAAACATAATTGTAAACGATTTTGTATCAATCACATATCAGTAAAACAACTCTTTTCACTTGTTTCAGTTCCTCAATCCGCTCCTTCTTATTTGTAAAGCATTTGACAAGATACTTTGATGATTTTTCAATGATTAGATATTCTACAATGATTTTCCAATGTACACAATAACTGCAAAAGATGAGATGATCAGTTAGGATGTGAATACACAATTATTGAGATGAAACACGTGCTCTGACCAATGGTCTACTCTGGCATTCGTCATAAAGTCTGTCAACCATCTTCGTAAATAAGAAAACAAAGGACAAAAACGCACCTATCACCAGTCAATCAAAACATTTACACAAAAAAAAGAGATTGTTACCACGCCAGAACAGAGTCATTATCCTGACTGAATTATTAACAAATATTAATTGGGACCACAGACTCTAGCTTTCCTATTATTCTGTTGTACCATACCACACAATATAAACAAGATGAGTTTCCAAACACATCACAGAGGTACAAAATATCATCTGGGTGGATCATCATCGCCTTCTTCACCATCAACACATTCTCCAAATAGTGGATCCCTTTTCACTGCAAATATTACAACTCCAAATTCTTCATCTCCAATTGTATTTAATTCATCATATAGTGCAGATTCATTGGAAGAGGGTAGACATGAATTTTCCAATAACATCAACTCAGCATCCTCAACCTCCAATCCTACAACAACAACATCATCTAAAAACTATACGTATACCAATCCTAAACTTCCTAAGAATCAGCAACAACAAAAACGTTTTCTAGTCAATATTTTAATATGTTTAGCCATTGTGATTGTTACATTTGTTTTGGGTTATCTTGTCTACAGTAAATTATTTAATAGCAATAATGGCGCCAAATTGAAAGGCTACGGAAGAGAAAACAATGACCCAACCCGATACACCAACAATAATGATCAGGCTTTAGAGAGGGTTCGTTCAAGGGAGAATAAGAGTAAAAATCTCAAGTACACTTCCGAAGATGATGAGCAGAATGAAACCTATGATAGTAAGAGAGCAGAACAGAGAAGAACACCACGTAGAGGATCTAAGGAGGAGAATGATGTTATCAGAGAAGGTGAATCAAAGACAACTATTGTACATGAGGATTATACTACCTATTCATCACCAACTGAAAAGTTTATGTGGCGTGGTATGTTTGGTGAGAGAATGGTTACTCTCTCCGATTGTCCTGTTCCATTCAGAAGTAAGAATGGGAAATTACTCAAGAAGGTTGCAAATACTATTTACACCTATTTAACTCAACCGATTGGATCTGAAAATTATGAAGAAGTGATTAATGCTGAAAAAATTACTGAAAGTGAAAATTTGCAAATTGACTGGGCATCTACTTTAATTAGTACTGCTCCAGATTGTACTTCTAGTGCTCTCTTAAATAAGAGAAGTGATAGTGAATTTCTCATATTTTGTGAAAATGCAAAATCCGAACCATTCTTAGCTCTTAGTCGTGATTCAAATGGTGATGGAACTGCCACTTCACCAAGTGCCTTTGTTAACATTAAGGAAAAGAAATTGGATTCTTTAACATTTGAACCAACCAAGAAGGTAATCAAATTATCCAAGGATCAAATTAAGGATACTGAAATTATTGTTGCCAAATGCAGCAAGGGTTCCGATAAAGCAAAGAAGACTTCAAGAGATATTGTAACTCGTGTTGCTTTCAATCCTGAGCTTAAGAAAGCTGCAGAAGAAACCTATACTAAACGTGTTAAAAAATTGGAAGAAACTGACAAGACTTTGAAGGATCAATCTAAGAAACCAAAACATGAATATCATCAATTTGCTGCCAATATTGAATATGAATACGAAATGATGCACCCAGTTAATATTTTGAATATTATTCTTGATGGAACCTCTAGAAGTAATTTCATTAGAGAACTCCCAAGAACTGTTAATGTTCTTGAAGAAATTGAATTGGACCAAAAACGAACCATGTTTAAAAAACCAAGCAAGCATAGAGTTTTCCAATTTTTCAGATACAATACTGTTGGACATAGTTCAAGAGAAAACATTTTCGCACTCGAAAATGGCTTAAAGATTTCTCCTGCCTTTATGAAGAATTACTTTGAAGAAACATCTGGAAACTTTGAAAAGGATGAACCAGCAAGACAACAAAAACTCTTGACTGAAACCTTAATTGGAGCCAAAGAAGGGGATTCAAGCAAGTTAATTACTCACAACATTTGGAATATTGCCAAACAATTGGGTTACGTTACAATGTTCACATCAAGTGAATGTCCTTACATCAAGGTTAAGGATCCAAATAAGAAGAAACTCATGGACACATCTTCACATCTCTTCAATGCTTGGCATCGTGCTGATCACAACTTGCTCTCATTAGCTTGTGAAAAGCATTTATTCAAGTCTTCAAATAACAGAAAATGTTTAGGATCAAAGGACTTGTTCGAGCACATGTTCGACTACACTACAGACTTCTTTGCAAAGTATCCTGGAACTGCCCGTTTTGCCACTATTCACTTTGAAGAGTCAAAACATATTAGAAGTCGTACATTAATGAATGCTCTTGATATTTCATTGGCTAGATTCATTGTTGATATTACCAAAGAACATCCACACACTCTGATTGTACTTTCCAGTGGTAATGGTATTTCACATGGACCATTCTATGTTACTGATGTAGGCCAAAAGGAACACCAACTTCCTCTTTTGAATTTAGTTGTTCCAGAACATTTACAATTGAGACATAAGGATATTTTCACTAATTTGGCTCGTAATCAACAACAATTAGTGACACCATTCGATCTCTATGCCTCACTTGCTCATTTTATGCTCTTCCCTCAAGTTGAGCTTCCAGCTCACTATAGTTTGATTCATCATGTGAGTACTGAACAAGAAGAAAAGGAAGAGAAGGATGAGTATGAAGCCCTTGCTAAATCTATCTTACAGCCAATCCACAATCCAAGATTCTGTAAACATGCTGGAGTTGATCCAAGATGGTGTTCTTGTAACAAGTATGAAACGCTTGATTTCAATACTCAACCATACTCTGCTATTGTTTCTACGATTGTGAAATCTGCTGTATCCTATGTCAACAAGATTGTAAAACCACATAAGGAAACTTGTCTTCCAATTGAATCCAAATCTGTCCTCAAAGCTAGCAGAATTACCTTACAATTACCTGAGGAATCAGAGGGAAGAACAGTAAGCGCCTACACTTCTGTTTTGTTTACTACTCAAACAGATGACGTTTTTGAAGCAGATTATTCAATGACATCAGAAAGAACACTGGACAAATTAATTGCTGTTCGTCGTGTTTCTCTCGTTGAACATCATGATGAATCAGTCAGAAATAGAGAAACTGTAATTTGCGATAAGGTTAAAGGATTTGAAACCAATCCAGATCTCTGTATTTGCAGACAAGACTAAGTTTTTGTACATTATGCGATATCATAATAAACATTCATCCGAAAATAACTTTTCAATAATAATACTAGTGTTCATATTATCTTTTAGAAATTATGTTGTTATTATTAATAAATATTCCCTCTATCGGGTTACAAAGAGCCAAATCATACCCAAACAAGTTTAAATCCTCTATTATTATCATACAAAATTTAAAGAATTATTCTTGTTGAGATGTTCGGGCAGCTCTTCTTCTGAGTGCTTCTTCTTTAGCCCAACTTTGAACGCTATAATCTGGCTTGAAAGCAAGACCAATAACTAAAAGAAGAACACCTCCGTACATGAGTGGGAGGAATCTCTTTTCCCATCCTTGTGATTTATATTGTTCTCCTTGAGCAATACCAAAGAGTCTACCATCATTATCCGTATATGGTTCTTCGTGATGATGTTCATCATGATGAGAGTCGTGATGTTCGTCATGATGACCACCTCCTCTTTGTGCAATGTTAGTTTGGAAAGATCTAACACCAGCAAAATTTCTAGCGATGATTTGTCTGCTGGCTTGAGAACGAGCGAGTGATTTGAAGAGCATTTTTTAAATTAATAAAAAAATTAAAAATATTTATTTTTTGATTAATATGTAGTGATGAAGAAAGCTGGAATGTGTTTTGTTAAGATAAATGGGAAAGTTGAGCTCGGAAGAGTTGAGATTTAAATGTTTAAATTGTTATACAACAAAAATTGAGCTTTTCAACAAATCAATCCAGCTTCAAGATGACAAATCCACCTCGGATTTCTCCACCAATATTATAAAGATCATCTCATTCTGTTTGATTGAAGGTGTATTTAAAGATTCATCACAACAATGATTCTTTGCAGTATTGTAGACAACATTAAATAATAATATGAAGACGATTTAAATAAATTAAAAAAAATGATTTCAAACACTCCTTCATCAAATCCTCCACCATCATCGTCATCGGCAACACCACAACCTGTTACCATCACAAAAAACACACCTCACACACAATATATTTACGGAGAAAAATTAGTTGTAACTCCATTAGGAGCAGGAAATGAAGTCGGAAGAAGTGCAGTCCTTCTACAATTCAAGGGAAAGACTGTTCTTTTTGATTGTGGTATTCACCCTGCATTCACTGGTATGGCTAGTCTTCCTTTCTTTGATACGATAGAACCTAGTGAAATTGATTTAGTTTTAGTAACACATTTTCATTTGGATCACTGCGGAGCACTTCCTTACTTTACTGAACATACAAATTTCCAAGGAAGAGTATTCATGACTCACCCTACTAAAGCTATCTATAAATTATTGTTGACTGACTTTGTTAAAGTGAGTGATGTTCATGTAGATGATCAACTTTTCACAGAACAAAATTTACTTGATTCACTGAAGAAAATTGAACTTATTGATTATCATCAAGAATTGGAACATAATGGAATTAAATTTTGGTGTTATAATGCTGGACACGTATTAGGAGCAGCCATGTTTATGGTAGAAATTGCAGGTGTAAGAGTTTTATATACAGGAGACTTTTCTAGGCAACCAGATAGACATTTACTAGGAGCTGAAACACCAACAATGTCACCTGATGTTCTTATTGTAGAATCTACTTATGGTATTCAAGTACATGAAAGTCAATCTGAAAGAGAAAAACGTTTTACACAAATGGTTACTGAAATTGTTAAGAGAGGAGGTCGTTGTCTTATACCCGTATTTGCTTTGGGAAGAGCACAAGAGCTTCTTCTCATTCTAGATGAATTTTGGGAAACACATCAAGATTTACAACATATTCCTATTTATTATGCTTCTTCCCTTGCTAAGAAATGTATGACCATTTTCCAAACTTATATTAACATGATGAATGACAAGATTAGAAAACAATTTGATATTCACAATCCTTTCGTTTTTAAGCATATCAGTAATTTGAGATCTATTGAAGACTTCCAAGATAATGGTCCTTGTGTCATTATGGCCAGTCCTGGTATGCTTCAATCTGGTTTGTCAAAGGAATTGTTTGAATTGTGGTGTCAAGATGCCAAGAATGGTGTTATCATTGCTGGTTATTCAGTTGATGGTACACTTGCTAAGAAAATTATGAGTGAACCTGAAACTGTTACACTTTCAAATGGTAATACAGTTCCATTGAGAATGAGTGTGAGAACTATTTCATTCTCTGCTCACTCTGATAAGGCACAAACAGAGGAATTTATTGGAACTATCAAACCTCCTCACATTATTTTAGTACACGGAGATCTTGCTAATTGCAATCGTTTGAAGCATTCACTTCAAAGCAAGTTTACAGACAGCAAGGTTTATGCACCAAAGAATTGTACAAGCATTAATATTATGTTCCAAGGTGAAAAGAGAGCCAAGGTTTTAGGTCAACTTGCAGTTACAAAATATGAAGATGGTGACGAAATTAATGGTATTCTTTTGCATCACAATTTCCAACATTTACTTTTGAACGAAAAGGATCTTAAATTGTACTCTGATGTTTGTTGCTCTGGTGTTAAGCAAACACTCCTTGTACCATTGAATGATACAGTACCATATGAACAATTAATTAGATCAGTATTTAGCAATGTAACTTTGGAAACCGAACCTACCGAAGTTCAAGTTAAATCAGAAATTATGGACACAACAGATGACAAGAAGGAAGACATCAAATATACTCCAATAGAGTTTGCTGCAGAAGCTGCCAAACCTATTGTCATTTTCATTGATGGTGTTGTCAGAATTGAATTGAGATTACAAGAAAAGACACCATGTGGTGTCATTGAATGGCCAAGTAGTGCAGCAAATGACACTATTGTTGATAGTATCTGTAATTTAATCTTATATACTGACAAATCTTTCCATGAAAGTTTACTCGATGAAGGAAAGGATGAATTGAAAATGTTATATTGCATTCAACAAATGCTTAAAGAACATTTTGGAGAATGCACATGTAGACTCTCAGAAAATAGAGAAATTGATGTTGTAGATAAGGAAGATAAGGTCATTGTAAAGGTCTCTAGCATGGGTGAAATTATCGAATGTGTTGAGGAAAGAAATCGAGGATTTTTGGAAATTGTCATTCGAAGAATTTTCATGTCAATGTTCCCACTTCCAACCATGATGGGTTGTTTGGATGATTGTGATCATGGTCACTCTCACCATTAAATAAAATCCATTCATTATTTATTGAAATCAAAAGAATTCCAATTATTTCTTCTCAAGAAAAATCAAAATAAATCAAAATTAAATTTGAAAAAAATTGAATGAAAAACGTATTGAGAGTTTTTTCTTTTAAATTTAAACAAACATCCACAACAATAAGAAATTGCAATTTTTTGGAGAGTTCTCCATTATTATTGAGTGTACAAAATTCCTCTTCCTCATCATTGCTTGTTGGAAATAATTCCGTAGAGTTGAAACGAGATATTAATTATTGTCTATTATTGAATAAGAAGAAGAATAATTTATTATTATTGGCCAATACGAACATTAATTGCCTAACCATGCCTCCACAACAACGTAAATATTATGCAGTCGCAAAGGGAAGAACTCCTGGAATTTATAAAACCTGGCCAGAATGTGAAGCTCAAGTGAAGGCTTTCTCTGGAGCAAAATTCAAATCATTCACCAGTATGGAACAAGCACAAAAGTTTATTGATGAGGAGAGTAAATCAGCATCACCTGTTGTTGAAGTTGCTTCTTCGGAATCATCTGAAAAATCACTCAAGAGAAAGAGTTCAGCTTCGGAAGGTGCTTCTTCTTCCTCGACTGTGGCTTCTTCATCGAATGATAGTGAAACAGCATCTCCTAAAAAGAAGAAGGTGAAGAGTGGTGCTGTATATAGACAAGTTTATACAGATGGATGTTGTTTTGCTAATGGAAGTGAAAATAGTATTGCTGGAGTTGGCTGCTTTTTTGGAGATGATGATCCTTTGAATTATAGTGGATATTTAGAAGGTCCACCTTCTAATCAAAGAGCTGAAATTAAGGCAGCAGCAATTGCTCTTAAATTACTTCCAAATGAGGAATATGTGGAAATTTTGACAGATTCAAAATATGTGATAAATGCAATGACATTGTGGAGATTTGTTTGGGAAAAGAATGATTGGAAGACTGCTTCTAAAAAAGACATTCAAAATTTGGATTTATTTAGAGAATTAATTGCTGAAATTAACAAAAAGACAGATGTTAAATTTACCTATGTTGCAGGTCACACAAATATTTATGGAAATGAAATGGCTGATAAATTAGCAAAATCAGGAGCATTAAGTTAAATTTTTATTGGTTATATTTTTGGTTATACTTTTCAGAGGATTCTATTAAATCGAATGGTAATTGAGAAATGATTTCGAAATATTTGACAGTGTTACCGATAACATCCTTATCTAATACTAGAGCATATTGGTCATAATACTTAGCTAGGAATGATCTGTCCTTCAAGATACTTTCAAAGAATTCAGCCATAAGACCTCTATTCAAAGCGTAACAAATAAATGTCTCGAATTTAAAGTCAAAGTCTAAAGGATTATCAACTGCCTCGTTCACAAAATCAATTGCAGTTGGTAAATTGATACCTCCAATGTCAATAGCACTGATTCTCTTTTGTTCAGCAACATCTTGAATGAATTGCCAAATGTGATATTTTGAAATGAAACCACTCTTGAACTTGTGATTGAATATTTCTGCAACTGTTGGTACCAACTTTTTACGAATCAGCTCACCAATGTTACTCTTCTCCCAATCTTCCTTGCCACTGAGTTCTAAATTAGATTTAGTTTCAGTTCTATTCGATACAAAGTAGTGTACAATCGATCTGACAATACCTTTCAGTCTGGAAACTGGAGAAGCAGCCAACACATCAGTTGATGATCTAAGTGAGAATGTGAATTGGAACATGGCCAATAATGACATGAGTGGGTAAATATCATCTCTGTATCTTCTATCAAGAACTACAGAATCCAATTCGTAGCAATCCTTTAGGTAGGCGTCAGATGTTAACAATAATTCAACCACAAACATGAAAGAACGTTCAGAGAGGAGGTAGTAAATAAATTGGACTGAAAGAGCTTCGTTTTTCTTTTCCTTCTTCAATCTTTTAACCAATTCGTTAGAATCAAATGAATCGACAAGTTTACCAATGTGATCATTGGATGCCTTCAAACCACTCAGAATTTCATATGGATCCTTAGACAAGTAGAAGAAACGTTTCTTTGTCTTGTGATTCAAAATATCGTAGAGAACTTTGATCAAGTTTTGGCCGAATACATTGTCTCTCTCGACGACATACATTTCCTCTTCAGAATGTGAGCCTTCTCTTGATTCACAGAAAGCTCTGAGCTTGTTGACATGATAAGTCAATCTTTGTAACAGTTCATTATCTGAATTCATGCTCTTGCTTTGGAATATTTCAAAGAGGTACTTTTGTTTTTCCTCTCTGGACAAGGATGAGTAATCGGTGAGCCCTTGAACTTGACGAAGCTTTCTTGTCATGTTGAATGAATCATTTTCAACATCAATTTCATCAAAATCATCAGAATGCAAAGCTTCTTTCATGAATTCTTGTGGATACAATTTGATCTTTTCGATATTTTCCTTGTTTGTAATTTCCTTGATGGTTACTTGGGCACGTTCGATGGCATTTTGAAGTTGAGTCTTGGATTGTTCAGCAATATCTTCGTTCAATAATTTGTTAGCAATTTCAATTGCATTTAACAATTCTTCCTTAGCATGAACGTCAATAGCATTGTTAATTTGTTCAATCAATTCAAGAGGTGACATATTTTCTCTTCTCAAATTGTTCAACTTGGCATTTGCCATTTTGAGTAAATTTCTTGGCATGGTATCTGAATTCTTACCAATGAAATCTTGTAATTTCTTCAAGTCCTTTCTTCTAATCAATTCATTCAACTCATCTTCCAATTGAACATCGTTTGTCTTTTGAGTCATTGCAGCACCAACAAGAATATTCACATCAATGTTCTCCTTTGAGGCCTTTCTCAAAATGTCATCGTAGCTTCTTGCTGTTGCCTTTCTCTTTTGAATTTCTCTAACATACATGTTGAAAGTCTTCTTCATTCTCACCATGTTTGCTAATTCAATTGCTTCATCTTCCAAGGAAGGAATATCCGAAACATTTTCTAATAAAATTTCAACCTTTTGGAAATTGAAAATTTCAGCTGAAATATCCTTAAATCTCTTCTTTTCTTCTTGGATTTCATTGTAGAGTTTGAATTCCATAGCAACCTTCTTTTCAATCTTTTCGAGTGATTCTTGTTGTTCTTCAGAGAGTTCACGTGGATTTCTCTCAGCAAATTCTTTAAATTTGAGAACCTTTTCAACATCCTTGTAGGAGTATTCCTTTTCAACACCAACACCAGACAACTTTCTCATAAAGTCAAAGGTATTCAAATTGTCAACAACTTCATCAATGATCTTTTGAAGTTCAGGAAGTTCTGCAACAAGAGCTGGTTTGATTTCTGCAGTATTGATTTGGGCAAGTTTTTGTCTCAACATGTCGTATTGTTGATCGTCGAGAAGTTTCTTCAAAGTCAAAGCAATGTTTGAAGCTTCTTGTTTGTAAATTCTCTTGGTTTCACGTTTGAGTTCATTGTATGTATTGTTAGCTCTCTTGGTCAACTCTCTATAGTCCTTTGTTTCTCCGTATCCTTTACGTTTACTAGCCAACTTTTTCTTACACTTTTCAATGAGATATTGAGCTTCTTCCAATTTGAAAACTCCCTTTTCAGTCTTATCAAGAATAGTATTCAATTTCTTTTGGTACTTTCTGATATTTTCAATTTCCTTGAGGACCTTTTCAGCTTCATCAACGAGGGCCTTATCAATGTTGGTATAACCTTCAGCTCCAATCTTGACCTTTTCAATTTCCTTCTTGAGTTTAGAATGATTACTCTCAATATCCTTTCTAGTTTGTTCAATAACTGACTTGAAATTGTGATTGTTGGATTTGTTGGTAATGAAATCTTTGGTATTTTCTTCGAATGTCTTTTGGATTTTGCCTTCATAAATTCCCAATGCTTTGGCGTTTTCAATCAGACAAATCAAACGATCGGCATCTGAGTCAAAGCTGGTATTCTTCTTCTTTCTATCGATGACTTCGGCAATTTGTTGATCAATGTAGATCTTTTGCTTTTCCTTGTCGTACTCTTGTTTGTACTTTTCAACTTCCTTTACGAAACCAGCTCTCTTGGCTATATCAACAGCTTCGAGAATTCTTCTCTCATTATCTGTATCAACACCTCCAGCAAGTAAATATTCGATTCTTGTCATGAGTAAGTGTTTGTTAATGACAACTTCCTTTTCAGTTTTGATACTCTTGAGATAGTCAGCAAGTACTTTGTAGATTTCTTCCTCACCTCTTTCCTTCTTGATAGTTTCAATGTGATCCAACATTCTACTCATTTCAAGGAAATCTCTGTTAATGAAAGCAGTTTGAAGTTTTTCCTTGATGAATTCTTGTAAACGAACATCAGCTAAGAATTCACTAGCTTGAATTCTCAAATCTCTAATACTCATAGTTTCTTGAGGATCTCTCTTACCAACCAATGCATCAGCGTAGGCCAAATATTCTCTAACTTGGTTAACATCTTTAGAACTAATGGCTGTTCTGAGCTGATTGTGGACTTGTAAAATATCTTCAGTTTCGTTCATCTTTTCCTTGAAACCTTGAGACTTTTCCAAGTCAAATGAATCAAATTCATTATCCTTTACATGTTGAACTAAATCCTTATCAAAATACAAAGTAGAGAGAACAGTTATAAAATCTTCAAAAACGTCCATATTTTGCTTTGGAACCAAACAAAGTGGATATTCACTAGGAACATCAATCAATACACCCTTCTTCTTATTTCTGTAAACTCTTGAGATTTCAGAGAGTTTAATTCTTCTCTTGAATGATTTTTGCTTCTTTGGATCAAAGACGTAGAGAGCTCTATTAGTAATGACAATGGTACGATTTTGATACTTGTTTCTCTTATTCTTCTTACCAAGGAGACCAGCAAATAGCACTTGTTTATCACCAAATTCACTCATAACTCTACATCTAATTGGTTCCAAATAGAGTTTGATAAAATCATGCTTCTTATCGATTTGGAGAATGGATGTTGATTCGAGAATATTCTTTTCATTCAAGTCAATTGGATCTTCCTTTTCAGTTGTTCTAACTGCTTGTCTTACATCATTGACAAAGAAGATTTTAAGTTGCAAACCTCTTTGTGAAAGGAAAATTGCTGAAATATAATCAAAGAATTCAATCTTTTTCAAGTAGATTTCATTTTCTTGTTCCTTAAAGAGAGCAGAACAACTGTTAGCAAATGATTTCCCTCTAATTCTCTCTTCATCTTGAACAGTAATGGATGTCTCATCGGCACCTCTTGTTTTTTTAGTTTCTGTGAATTGGAATAGAATATCGTACATTTCCTCTCTGTCCTTCTTTCTTACAATACCAACAATGTCATCCTCATAACCAGATTGAACAATGTGAACAATATCATTCACTCTGACCTTTGTTTCAGTTTTGAAACTCTTCGAGTCAATAATGTACAAATTTCTGTTACCCAACACGAGAAGTGCTTCCTTGTATTGATTCTTATTACCGACTACTCTTGGATTGAACCACACAACTTCGTGAGCCCAGTAACAGAATTTGTCCTCTTGTTGAAGAGTTTCCTTACACTTTTCCTTAGCATCTGCAAAATCATGAGGAACGAGAGTAGTGATGGATTTTTCATCAACTTTTTCTGATTTTTGAGAACGTTTAGTTTCAAAGCTGATTAATTCTTCTTCCCATTCTTTGACTTCTGCTATTGGTTGAGTCAATTCAACACGTTTACCATCATCAAAATAACGAGAATGTTCTCTTTCAATTGGGAAGATTGACATGATATTTTGGAATCTTCTCTTATCAAATTGATCTTCATCGTTCTTACGATTTCCAGCACCACTGTGTGATGATCCATCATCGAAAATAACTGAAGATCTATCAGAAACCTTATCAAACATGACAGAGTGTCTTCTAGCAACACTTGATTCGGCCAATTTTTGAGAATTTAACAAGTCAAACAAATTTCCTTTTTCTTTTCCTTTCAAAACTCCACTTCTTCTTGATCTTGTTGAACTTCTACTTCTTGCACTGAGACCACTCATATTATCATCATCTTCGTCATTTTCCAATTCATCTTCTTCATCAGAAATATTTGCCTCCGTTCCAATATCTTCATCTTCAAAAGTTGTCTTTTTCCTATTGAGAATAGATCCAATACCAGTTGGACTCGTACCTGCAGTAACATTTGTAGTGGATGGATTAATAATTGGGGTAGCAGAACTTCCAGAAATAATTGTGGAAGGAGTTGATGGAGTAGTTGCTGAACTGTCTCCAGTACCACCACTTGCAACACCACCACTCAATGCACCACCACCACCACTATTAGGTGGACTCTGTGAAAATAGACCACCTGTATCAATAGGTTTGTTCAATGAAAGTCTACTCGAAGATGATCGAACTCTTTGTGAGATGGAAGTTAATTCATTGGTTGCTGATTTTGCAGAATTTCTTGATGAAGCACCACTTGAAAATGTTGATTGATTGGTTTGAGGTGATGATTTTACATATAAATCTTTTTGTGATTCCCATTTCTTTACTTCATTGAACCAATTTGTATACGAATCCTTATTTTCAGTGAAAAATACAAATTGTTTAGTTTTCTTTTTCTTTTCTGCTGTTATTGTTAATTTGTTATCAGATTCATCTCCAACCACTGATTGTAAATCAAGAATATTTATAAATCCAAGACAAGTATCAAGATCGGGTTGATCTTGACCATTCTTTTCATCCTTCTTTACATCAAAATAATAAAGACCATCCTTTCGTACAATTACGTAACGAAGTGGTGCTCGATTGATTAAGTTTTTACCCTTCTTTTTTAAAAAACCTTCAATCAGCTGTTTCGAATAAAAATTAGTTTCGTATTTCGTTATTGTTGTTTGTTGATGATGATGGAGAAAGGAAAATTATTGTTGTAGAATCGTTGATGAACTGTAGTAGCGATGATGAACACTTACATTACCGGACTGGTGAAGACGAAAGTCTACCTTTATCGTGTCTTTGGTCATTTTTTTGAGTGATGATTGATGGGAAAATGAGAGAGCTATCTTGCATCCCAACTAAAGTGGACTTTCATATGAAACTAATTGAAACCATTGGTAATGAAACTATTCGAAACTAATCTAATTTATTGAGGATAGTTATTGCAACATGTAAAAGAGTCGAATATTCTTCATCATTTCAATCACTTGATAATTATCCTGCCTATCAGTTGCCTTATTTCGGTAGGTTTGCACAAGTTGTAATTTTCTATAATGCAAGCTCTCTTTTTGTTGAATAGGATCAGTAACTTCCTTCTTAATCTTATCTTGATCCAATAGACAATTGACTAATTCATCTATAAGATCAGTATCTTCCTTCATCACTTGATTCAGATTAGGTCTGTGATTTTCTACATAGTCATTATAATAAACAATAATTCCTCCTTCAGTAGGTGCTTTCAATGTTGTTGGTTCAATTTTGGAGGTAAAATTGCAAATTTCATCCACAGAAAATGGATTTGATAAACTTCCACTATTTAATGACATGTATGTCAGAGTTTCAAGTGCCTTCATCAAATCAACACATTCTGTTTGGATATATTTGTACTTTGTTGAGAGTGATTTAAGAGCTCTCAAATCATCATTGACATTTTCATTAGGACCTAGTTTGTAATAATAACTTGCCCTCAGTGTGGCAGCTAAAATTATTCCCTTAGTAGCATTGATTTGAAGATAGGGAAAGAATTTAGTCCTCGTCAATCTAATAATTTCACTGGAAATTTGAAGAATTTCATTCAAATCTCTGAAACTTTCATCTGAATTGAGTAGAATTTCTAACCAAATTTGCTTTGTTGTGATGCTCAAACTAAGCATGAGCAAATTACCTGCATTATCTGTGTCATTTCTTTCACTCTCAACAAATATTCTGGAGAGAGACATGTAAGCTTTCATAAATCCCTTTATCTTTTCATAGGTTTCCTTGTCTAGTTTTTTACATCCTCTTGATCTTTCCTCATCTGTGAATTTTAGTTTTCGGTTTGACAATTCCTCAATGGCCTCGAAAAGATATGTGTCTGGGTAGCATTCTTCATTTAGGTAAAGGTCAATTAGTTTTAGCTGAGATTCAATCAATAATGATGTAAAAGATTTGGCATTCTTCAATATCAGTTCTAGATCAGAAATTTCCTTCACCTTTTCGTTTTTCAAAAGGTATGGATCAATACCTGCTTTTACAATTAACATCATGGCTCTGGCCTTTCTTCTTTCACCCTCTCCCAGTAAATAGAGTGATGTAAATTTCATTGAAAGTAGGACGCTTATCGAATCAATGTCATCAAAGTATTTTCCCAATAATTGTTTTCCTTGAAGGTAGAGTTGAGTGGAAACATCTCGATGACCCATCTGTTGTAAACACAGTGCTTGTAATGTAAATAAAAGTGATTGATCCTTTTCAAATTCAAACTGATTCGTATAAAAATCACATCCAGATATTGAGAATGAAGGATGATACAAATTAGATTGATATTCCAAAACTTGTTCCAATTTCTTTCTTTCCACAAGTGGCATTCCACAAGCAATTACATTAAAATATACATCCAGAGTTTGAGTGGTAACAAATCGATAATTCAACTCATTTTGCAATGCATTAATACTCGTTGCATTATTTCCAATTCTATTCAAATTATTTACAATATTTACATAAGGTTCCCCTCTCCTTTCTATATTCTTTGAATTTTCACCACAACGAAATTGATTTGTTCGTTGTTGCTGCTGTTGGTTGACTTATTCGATGATTAGTTAGCTTTCTTCCTTCATCAACAAACACAAAGTTTGGTTGATTTGGTTTTACACTTCTCTTTGGTTTTTCATATATACAATTATATCCTCTCTTTGAACAATAAGAACATGATGGAAGTAATTTGTCACATTTTCTGTGTAATTTTCGACATGACAAACATGTGTATTCATTCTTTTCAACCATTGATGAAGAATTAATTGATTGTACCGGCACAGTATTATTCTGACAGATAGATTGATGTTGGTTCCGATCCGTCGTGTTAATAGAATTATTCATATTTAAATTAATCTCTTCCGAAGTATTAATTTGCTCCTCATTTGTTGGTGAATAGAGAAAGCTTTCAAAGTCATCATCATCAGTGGCTCTACCACTCCAATTACTGTAACCAAAACACGATGATGGCAACATTGTAAAGCCTTTTTTTTCAAGTCTAATGTCTAATTGAACTTCAAGTGGAAAATTTTTGAAGAAAGTTTGACATGTGTTGCTTTAGCACAGGTTTTTATAATTTTTTTGATGCATGTAAGGCGGCTTAGCACAGTGGCAGTGCATCAGTCTTGTAGGCAGTAATGCTGAGATAACTGAGGGTCGAGGGTTCAATTCCCTCAGTCGCCTTTTGTTTTCTTTGCCAACCGACTAAAAGGATTTGGAAATGGCTAAAAATTAATGATATTAAGAGTGAACGAATTGTTTAATTGATTTATTTGTTACGGGTAAAGATTTAAAAGTCAACTGGGAATTTCTTAAAATCAATACCATTCTTTGGATGGACATTCCTATTCTTTTCCTTCTTTTCATCTTCGTTGCTAATCAAACAACGATAATGGACAACTGATTGGTCAGGGAAGATTGCAAAGACAGCATTACCAATAGGTTGTTCACAAACTGGACATGATGTAGTTGAAGTAACAGTTATTGATCTGGTTGTAGCTTTGACATGACGTGCCTTAACTTGCATTGAGGCATTTCTTGCCAATTCATTCTTAATTAAAGTAGTTCTATTATTGTGATGAGTAAATTGAATGGCCTGAGTTAAGAAGGTTGATAATTGCCTCAATTCAGAATGTTCTGGAAGTACGGACAATACTTCAATAATGTTAATATCCGAAGCTCTTCTTTGAAGTAAACTGAGAACACTCATCATTCTACGGAGAGCACTCTCTTCATCATATTCATCAAAAAGTGTTGGATTGGTTGTAATTTCAATCAATCTGATTAAATATGGATTGTAATTACTTGCTTGATTTCCACTCTTTGAAAGTAAAACTGTAGATTTTTGTTCTTCCTCAAAGACAGTATCACAATACTCCTCAGCTCTCTTCAAATCAGTTTTTACAAGGACAGTTAATGCCTCCTCGTGTTTTCCCATAACATGGAAGAGTGAAATCTTTTCCTCATTCAAATTGGATGTTTGAAGTTTCTTGTCGACAATTTCCTTATTGTATCTGCTACTTTCCTTGATGTGTTTCAACAAGTATCCTCTAAATTTACCGAGATCTCCCTGTTCAGTACCTGCTGGAGGGGCAAGTCTCTTATCGAGATTGACAGGATAAATCAAGGTTACATAATCAATCAAACTTATTGCATATTCTGTATGATATCTATTCAAATCTCTATCTGTAATACCTTGACCCTTTGTTTCATAGATTATGTGATGCAAATATTGAACTGTCATGTTGAGAGGGAATGGATTCAAGAATTCCAATACCAAATCTGGGATTGGTGGATTAGCTCTTGGGGCGGTGAAAATCTTGACACTCTTGCTTGGATTGAGTGAAATGATCCATGAAATGAATTCTCTAATGGATGGATTTTGCAATAATGTATTACCATCCATCTGACTTAAAATATCAACAACATCATCCACACCATCGTAACGTTCATAGTAAATGTCACGACTAATGTTACTCTTGAAAATACCCATAACTTGTTGAGTACTTTGCCCAAGATTATGAGCTAACAAGGCAGCGTGTCTCCAACAACCAGTATCTGTCAAGACTTTGAACAATTGTTCAGTATACTTTTCAAAACCAGGTTCGTGCTTTCTCTTTACAATCTTTTCAATGTTCTCATAGCAAGAATGATGATAGTAGGCAAGGGATCTTCTATTGTTTTCATCAAATTCCTTTGAAGCCATGTTTGGATGAGGTAATGTGTAGAGAGCTAACAAGGCATATTCAACTGCAGCTTGTTGATCCAAAGTTTCAGGTCTATATTTTGGATTTGATTGAACCACTTCAAGGAATTCCATCAAGTACATGAAAGTCTTGTGAATGAGCAAGTTGATAAAGTGCTCTGTAAAGTTCATAGCCATATCTTGAGTGATAAAGTTCTGATCGATACCAGCTTTGATTTTCCCTTGTTTAAAGTTTGTAGTCAATTTTTCACGAATTGGTTCACTTGAAATTGAAGACGGGAAGAAACTTGGTGAAATCAAACTAAATTGAGAATGAGAAGAACCGCTATAATACATGAAATATCTCAAAATCTCACGAATATCCTTTCTATCTTCAATGGATAAATACTTTGATTGCTTCATTGATTCTAAGAAGAATCTGAAAGCTTCCTTCGGCCTACCTCTTTCCAAGTTCGCTTTACCATTTGCAAATTGGAATTCCATCAATTCCTTTCTGAAATCTTCACTATTTTTGTCTTGTCTCATTTTGAACAAGTGATGAGCTTGTGGTGAGAGCAACTCTTCTCTCAATGTCTTTAATTGAATATCACTATTTGGAGGAGACAAGTAACGAATGGCATTTGAATTTTCAGTAACCACATAGAAACGATGTTCATCTGCAAATATAGTGGTACCATCCTTATTGTTCAATAATGAATAAACTTTCTTTGCTTGCATAGTTGACTTGGTAGTTGTACTTTCTCTCCAATATAAATTGTAAATATCGAGACTGTCACTCATCAAACAAGCAACATATGGGAAACACAAACAAACACTCAAAGGTTCAGCACCATTTGTGTTAACATAGGCATATTTAAATTCTTCCTTCATGGATTGTAAAGTGTTGGTTCTTTCATAGTTGACTTCTTCAATTTCTGATTGTTCTTCAGAATTTGAACTTTGAATATTACTGGAAAGTGATGAAGAAGAATCAGTAGTATTGTTAGCATTTCCTGCAACACTTGAAACAATATTTGAGGAGGCATTTCTCACATAATACTTTTCACCATCCAAATAGCAAGGTCTCCACAATTTCAATCCACATCTAAAGAGAGCTACCTTTCCTTCTAAATGAATCATACTATTCTTAATATAAACACCCTTTGTTCCTCGAATTTCATCCATATCACTTTCTTTTGTAACAATTGATTGACAGGAAATGAAATTTCTCGTAGTTTGTGAAATATTCAAACTAAATCTCTTATAATACATGACTTCTTTTGATTTTGCACCTTTTGAAAGTAAACAAACAAAGTAAGAATCAACAAATAACATTTCATGAGTTGTCGTAAATTGATTTGAATCTTCCATATCAACTGTTTTAATTTCAGTCAACTCTTGAACACTATCTTCCAACAATTCCTTATATGAAAACAGTGATGCCTTTCCTTTTAACTTTCCACTTTTATAACTCAAAACCAATCTCTGATTTTCACATCTCTTATCCACAGCAAAACATGAAATTTGTTTACCCAAAATTTCTGCCTTTCTCTCAAGAAATTCCTGTTGGATGTTTCGGATCATAACCAAAATATCAATCATGTTGTTCATTCAATACAAAAAGTAACTTGTTTTTAGAGTCAACTTGAATATCTTCAATCGGTGCCTTGTCAATATTGATGGAAACACATTTCTCTGCTTCAATGGCTGAGAAATTATCAATTTTCATTCGATAGATAACTACACGACCATCCCCCAAACCAACAAATATAAAATCATAATCATCAATTACTGAACAAATAGTTTTGATTTGTCCTTGTGGTGAAACGAGGGAATAAAAATCAAATTTTTCATGGATTGTATTGGTGGATGATGATGGAGGTGCCATTTTGATGTTTTGATGCACGATTTTATTCTTCTTCTTCTTGTTTTTGTGTGATCAAAATGATGATGGATGGCAGGCAAATGTCTCCAATTTTTTTTAATGAGAGATTTTGATGGTTTGAAATGTGATGTTTGGCAATGGGCTAAATAAACAAGATATGGTGTTTCTCTATTGAAATTAAATAAATCGTTGAGATGAAATTATCTAATGAATTTAGAGAAACACCTTGTAGATTTAAATAGTTGAGATTTCACTTATTGATTTTGGAATTATTGGAAAACCACTAGCTATTCCAATTGGATAATATTTAATTTTAATCATCATTTTCATATGCATCATTGCACAAATTTCATTAATTTACAAATAAGGTAATGAGAAATGGTAAAAAAAATTTCAACCATTCGAATGTTATTATAAATGATGAGATATTTTTTTAATATTTAAAGATCTTGTGAAAAAATTGATTTCTTGTAATAATTTGCTGATGAAATCCAATAAGCTGAAGTTTCAATTTAGTTTAGATTTGATCAGAAAATATGAAACCAAAATTTGCATCAAGCAATTCAGCGAATCAATGTTCAATAAATACAAGGTTGATCAACCTATTGAATTTCCTCAACAACCTGTTATTTAAACACAACAAGATTCGTCCAGAACTCTTGCCTTCACTGTTCATACAGTCAAAGACTGTAGCGGGATTGTCGCCATATTCCTGGCAGGCTTCCCGTCCAAAATTAACAATTGAAATGTTACAAATATCACACTACTTGATTAACCAATCGTTATATTCTTCATTTCACACAACTACAAAGTGTGAAAAGAAATCAAGTCAAATGTAAATATTTGTAACTTTACTTGAAAATTTTAATGGAATTGGATAATTGATCAGCAACATAAAGAAGGCCAGTTCTCTTGTCAAAATCAAGACCACAAGGAACTTTAATATCTGCCTTGTATGAGCCAACTACATCTCCATCAAAATCAAAGATTATAATTCTTCCAGTATTGGAGAGGAATATCTTTTTACCCAAATAGTCAACTGTTAATCCAGCAGAGTCTTTAAGGCGAATATCATCCACACTTTGAATAATTTTAAAGAGTTTCCATTTGTTTTCTGTTTCTTCATCAAATATACAACAATCTCCATCCAGACATGATATAAACAATCGCTTTGGAGTAATAAATTCAATTCCAAACACCTTGTGAATATGTTCAAAATCCATCTCAGCAATAATTTTACCCTCCTCAGCATCTATTATATCCATTGTTCTGGAAACGCCAGCAAATCTGAATAATTGTTTCTTATTTCCAATTTCTCTTATTGCCATTCCAAACCTGTATTTCTTTTCAATTTTCCATAAAAACTGTGCATTTTCTCCCAAAATCAACAAGTCTTTAACTCTGTACTTTGTCATGCCCCCAAATTCTCCAAAATAAATTGCATCATTGTGTTGGCCATCAAAGTTTTCCTCGATAAACAAACTGTCAACAGGTGTAAGATGTTTAAAACTTGTTAAATATCGCAAGCTTGTCAATTCAAAAAACTTAATTTTCTTTATGTTGTCTTCTGTATCAGACACACATAGACAATGATGTGATGGTGAGACTTTAACATGACACATTAAATTGGAAATTGGTGTTATTTTCGCAACCTCTTCAAAATTCATGGAAAATGGTACAAATTTCTTATAATTTCGTAGTTGAATTTTTAATTGATCAAACAATGAATTGGGGGAGTGATCAAAATTAATTAAATTAACAATTACTTGTGAATCTTCTTCGGTCAATTGAGCCATTTTTCAGATCTATTTTTTTAATATTGAAAAGGAGATTTATTCGAAACTTTATTCTTTGTTATCTGAAGCCAACAAATCACTAAACAATGGCTCAAGAATTAAATCATCTCTATTCAAAATTCCCTTTTCAAAAACTTCATTCCATGTCTTGAGATTAAACAATTCAATATATTTTGAATCGAAATCTTCCAATTTGAATGAAAATGCTTCTGATTTAGTTCTCATACACACCAATTCTTCACCTGTTTTTGGATTCTTGACATTCTTTTCGTATTTTGACTTTTTAATAAAAGTTCCGTAACGATAACCCATTGGATAATCATTCCAATCAACATTCTTATCCTCTTTCAATTTCTCAACAACTTGACGAGCTTTCAATCCATGCATTTCCTTGGTAGAATAGAATGCTGCCCAAAT